GACGTCCTGGCAGTCGCTTGAGGCTGAGATGAGGAAAGCATATGAGGACGATAAGCGTCGAGTGCAGGCAGCGCAGAAAGCAGAACATATAGACGAGGTCGGAGAGCGGTACTTCAGGGTTCCAAATACTGGGTGAGTGGAGATTCTTCTGGGTCGTGTTTGCTCTAGCATCCAGCCATCAAAACCAACTCACCCTGATTATCTATTTACTAACAAAACCAGCGCTCTGCTAACTCTGGATAACGCCTCTCAACACCTCCATCATTTCTGCGCTCGTCTTGGGGGTAGCGCTTACGCCGATACGCGACCAGAAGTCGAGTTTACAAACGACCGCGGCCAGATCACCGCTGAGATCACATTGCCGCTCTCAGTTGATCCCAAAGTGAGGAAAACCAAAAGCTTGGAGACCTGGAGGACAGAGCGCATGGCTCAAAAAGATGCTGCCTTTGGAGCATATAAGGCTTTGTATTTGCACGGATTGGTGAACGAAAATCTTCTCCCTGTACAAGACGAAGAAGACGACGCAGCACAATACCAGATCCGGGACGATCGCCCATCCGTTGTGCCCGTTGCCCTAACTCTCGATCCTTGGTTAAGTGTCGCACAGTCTCATCAACATGAACCCGATATATGGTACCGTACCCTGCTTGAGGTAAAGGCGCCAGATGAGGAGCCGATACGTATCATACTGCTGACTCCTGTCGCCATGTACGAAGTCCCTGATATGTTACTACATTGGAACGAATCCAAGCGGTACACAGTTACGAGCTCTTGTCTATATGGTACATCACTGGCCGACATAGATATTGGTCTGCTGCGCTCTATCACGTGGAAGATCTTGCACTCAGTCTTTGGAGTTCACATCAAAGAAGGAGTTGACGACTTCCTCTGTCTACTTGCTCCGTGCGATTCATCAGGTTACATGATGACCGAGAGTGAACTCCATGAATGGCATGCGACGACAAACGGCCAACAATCAGCACCCAGACTTCTGATTCAAGGAAATGTCAACATAGCAAGCTGGGGTTTGACTATGCAGCAAGGCGACGCTCGGAAATTCATGCCTATGGCTATCACGCCATCAGATTCTCCAGATTTTTCGGGAGGATACGAAACTTTGCTACGAGCTGTGCGGTTGCCTAAGCGTCGAGACTTCTTACATGTTGTCTACCAAAGCGCGGACACGAACGACGCGTACACCAAGGTCGAAAGTCTTTTAGCTTCGACATGTATCGTCGAGAATCTTCCTGCCAGATTTGCCATCTTTGCTTTACTGTTTCCATCAATCCTACACAGACTTGAGGTATACATGATCGCGGATACGCTTAGAACGACGTTACTAAAGCCAGCCGAATTCGAAGCATCAGACCTCCCAATCATCATCACAGCACTCACCTCATCCGCAGTCGATGGATGCAACAACTACCAAAGGATGGAGTTTCTCGGAGACTGCATCTTGAAGTTTATGGCTTCTCTTCATGTGATGGCTGCAAATCTGCTCATGCCAGAGGGTATGCTAACGGGGAAGAAAGGAAAGCTTGTCAGTAACGGATATCTAGCACGGGCCACAGTAGCTGCAGGTCTCGACAAGTTCATCTTCTACAAGCGTTTCACAGGTGCTAAGTGGAAACCACGATACATTGGTCAGACACTCACTGGAACCGCGCCGCCAGTCAAGGAGGAGAAGTCGTCAAAACTGATCGCCGACGTTATAGAATCACTCATCGGAGCTTCATACCTTGTTGGTGGGTTTTCAAAAGCTTTTGTGTGCATGAAAGCTCTCCTACCGCTTGAGAAATGGACGCCTGTTCCAAAGGCAAATGAGATACTCTATGAAGCAGCTTCTTCTCAAGACAAAGTAGCGAACTTGGTGTTGCTTGAGCAGCTGTTAGGTCATACGTTCAACAAGAAAGAACTTCTACTTGAATCACTCACGCATCCCACGTTCCGGGGCCCTAACGTCCATTGCTCTTACGAGCGTTTCGAGTTTCTGGGGGACGCAGTGCTCGACTACATCATTTCAAAGCGGCTCTATGCTCACAAACCAAGCCTTCCACATTGGAAGATGCATGGTGTCCGAACGGCAATGGTCAATGCTGCATTTCTGTCTTACTGCATGTTCGAGACTACAGTAGCAGAGGAGTTGACAAACAAGGCGACCCTCCAGCCAGAGATACATCAGAGAGCTTTATGGCAGTTCCTTCGATCATCGAGTGCGGAACTTATCGCTGCGAGGACTATAGCTTTACAAAAACATGCCGAGACACGGGGTTTCATCGCTGCCGCTCTAGCGCAGGACAACCGCTTCCCGTGGCATGCCCTTTCACTCACTGATCCACCCAAGTTCCTTTCCGATATAGTCGAGAGTGCTATCGGCGCCCTCTATATCGATTCTCATGGCTCTATATCTGTCTGCGAAGATTTCGTCCATCGTCTTGGTATCTTGCCATGTCTCGAACGTATCTTGCGCGACGGTGTAGACTGCTTGCATCCGAAAGAGCGGATCAATACCCTTGCTGCTAACAAGGGTATCAAGTACGTTCGTATTCCGAGCGACGAAGAAGGTAACAAGAACGAGACACAAGGTTCTGAGCGAGGGTATAGAGTTCAGGTTCGCATTGGTGGGAAAGATGTCGGAGGGAGCGTCGAGGGAGTCAAGAGATTGCAGGCTGAGACTATCGCTGCCTGGAAGGTTATCGCGCTACTCGAAAGTGAAGGTGTGGGCGACGCGCCTACAGAACTTGACGAAGACGAAAGTGATGACGAGTTCTTCGACGCTGAAGACGGCGGCGGAGTCATGCTGGATGTTGGTGACAGAGTGGCGGCGTACAATTAGGAGGACCACATCGTTCAATACAAAATGCCATTGAGCGATGGCGTTATCTAGACCAGCCAATGTCAAGGAATGTGGAACGACTAAGAATGTTTTGGGTAATTAATGCGAGCAGAATGCTGTCGCATAGCGTATGATAACAGGAGGATAATGTGACCACGTTCCCATATTCGCCACTACTATCGTTGGGGTTGTGATTCGCCTCACATTCAAGGTATACACCTATCATGCTTGACGCCAATGGACGCCTAGATCTTCAGGTAACAGGGTGTTGTCTTCGTTCCCCATATAGTGAGACAATCTTCCAAAAACGTTTTTTGGTCATCTGGAGATCACTCGCTGAGCTTGTGGAGGCGTTGCTCAAGCTGCGTTTGCTTCGTACTAGTACTTTTATATCAACGATGGTAATTCCTCCGTTTGAATTGATACTGACTAGTGTGACAACATGCTGAGAGAGAGGCCTTTGCGAGGTTAATCCTTGGAGGAGCAGTTGCCAAGACACTGTAAATGGTGTGAGTTCGGCGACAGGGAAGGTGAGTGCGAGAGGAAGGATGCTAAGATCACGGCCTAGATCAGATGGCTTACGCCTGTAATACACAGCAGTGTTCCTGTCCCTGCCCTTTCAGCTCTTCTTCGGGAAACCGTCTTGCTTGTATTCCCAAATGTAGCGATGCTTCTTCAGTTTCAAGTCGCTCCTGTCCTGGTGATTAATGCTGTATTGTTCTCAGTCAAGCATAGCTCCTCTTCTACGACCAATTTCAAGTAATTCATCGATAGTTGTGTGGTTGGCCAAAGGTGCGGCTGGTGAATGTGGTCGTCGCAGCGAGCAAGTGATGCGGCACAGTCGTGGAGGCGATTGCTTGAAGCGCGTTTATGCGTTAGATGCACGGCTAGGAAACAAAACGAGACAGAAAACACAGTATGGAGTTTCTGAAGTGGCTCTGCACCCTGTGATAGAGCTGCTTGTTATGTTTGCTAGTTTGTTCCATGATCCCGCCAGTGGTCGGATCGGTATCGCAGCTCCGAGCGCAGGAGTCACCTGATTTGAGTGGCATTTCTACTGGCTCGTGGATGCTCATCCAGAATACCTACCAGGATGAGTCTGCTTCACGGAGCTCAGAATCATGATATGATTCCTTCTCTAGCATGTGTACTCCAAGTTCGGCGTCAGCGGCTTGGGAACTTGCCCACTGGCAGGGCTTTCCTCACGCCACTTGTGTGCTTCACTTCCTGCACATCTTACGCAGTCTTCAATAGTAGCAGTTAGATATCCTCGCTTTTGGTCTAGGCGTGATTAACATGGTGTTCACCCGATCGTTTCATAGGCTTGGGCTGTTGGCTACTTGACTGGGAAGCAGATTTACAATGGCGACTGAAGTGGTCCAAGATACGACTAGAGAGGCCATGATCAGTAATGCCGAGGAAATCCTACAATGGCTCAACACGCTCTCGATGCACGTACTGCTTGATGATAGTACAACCGGCCTCATGTTCGATAATGCGGCACCAGTCCTCAGCTCTTTCCGGTGAGCCAGCTTGCATGTCTCATCCTGAATATCGGGCCGTATACTGTGTTGTTCACGATCAGCCGTTGACCCGCTGCAGAATCATTAGCAGGGTGTAGGCGCAACGACGCGCCGGCTATGGGAGGTTCGGGTTGATGCCTGGCATCGGTTGAGCACCCTATGATGTAGCAATATTGATCAGCGGCCTATACAGACGTTGAGGAATCCTCAGGAGCTAATCCACTTACCATTAGCGCCTTGTTGGACGGCAAGCACTCGACAGGTAGCACTGTTGCTTCCAGGGGAGGCTATATGTGTGGGTCTGTTGTAAGACATGCGAAAACGCTCGGAGCGAAATACGTAACCTTTTTCTTGTAGACCTACTGATGTGGACCCGATATTCGATGCCTCAGGCTGTCCGATGTTGTTGCAATATGTAATCGATGTGTGGGGCGCTTGCCAAAAGGGCCGGCTCGGCTGTGCCGAGTCGAAGTGCAGAGCGGAATAGGCATCGCACGATAGGTATTGCGGGAAAATGAATGTTGTCAGAGCGGCTCCGGGATTTCTATACTAGCGTGGCGGAGGCACAGTTGAGGTGGTTTCCTTCTGACGCTCCGTTCTAATGAGGCGTTCATGGTGCCGTGTGGCGTATTCGCTGTTCTCACAAGACTGCCTGACGGCCACCTCCCGGGCCCGAACATCAATGCAATGTGACCGCTCTCGGTAGGGGCGAAATCTACCCAGCTAATGTTGCTCTGTCTAGTGATCTTTGATTGAGGCGCGGAAACCGCATAGAAAGGTTCGATGGTGAAAGATATCTTGTGCAACTATAAAGTGCACAGTATCTTCGATGCGAAGTATATAACCACAGAGCAGCCACAGTCTCCCCATACCTGCATCATACAGTCAAACGAGTTCAACAACAGTTTACAATCGTCTCTACATTCTCTGTTCAGTCACTACAATGCCTTCCCAAAACCAACCCCAACAATCTTCTACTGGCGGCAGGCCTACCGGCGCAACAGGTGGTGGCTACAACAGATATCCGTGCGATAACTGGCAGCAAGAAGGTCATCCACAGAACTACACTTTCGTCGACCAAAAGGGTCGATTGTGCGCCCATTGCATGGTGAGTCCGTCAGTTTCACAGTTTGGCACTGCGCTAACTATCTCATCAGTGTGCACCCCGCCAGCGATGAAAGGGAAGCATCTTGAGCACTAGTATCCGTACACTTGGAGGATGCGTCTCTGTCACTTTTGGTCACTTTTGGAGGGCACATTGAAGCTTTTTGTTGGGTGATAGTCGGGATTTACTTCGGTATCCCTTGGTTCAAGCTGCGATTTCTTGAATGTACTGCGATACTTGATTTGAGGCAAATTTTTAATGGAATAGAAGTTGGTTGCGCATGTTTCTCTTGCCCACTCTGCATGCTGGAGACGGCATTCACCCAACCGCTGGATGGACTCACCATGATGCAGGAGATTCGCTTCAAACTATCGACAATTTGCTTAGCACCCCATGTTCACGACTCATATCCAATTCTACGTCTTGCTCCCATTTGAGTGGGGAAGGCGTCGCTTGTGGTGGAAGGATCTGACGTCAAAGCGGCAGCAGTCCAAAACGACTTAGACACATTGCGACTACTTCTTTCTCTCGCTTCAGTTGTCCACGCCTCCAACACAACGGACCGAGCCTGATCTCACATGGCTGAAAGTATATGCGGGTGCCCACTTCTAGAAACGGCAGATGGCACGAGAATTGTCAAGAGCGGCGAGAGGTGGACCCCCAACACCAGAACCCACGTTAATCAGCGCCTTAGCCGGTCTCTCATCAGCCGTAATTGATCGACGATAATCGCAGCATGACCAGGTGGGGCAGCAACCGAAGAAAATCCGCTCCCTTTGTTTGGACTACACCACTGCGACGGAAGCGGCGCCCAATCACTCTGGCTAAAATCTCGAAACGAGTAAGTCGAGAAGCCGGTGAAGCCGGACAGTCACCACAGTCCTCAGTGCTGACCATGCTTGGAAGACCGTATGCTGTTGCCGGCCCGTGTAACAGGCATAAAGGAATGTCTCAGTCCCGCGCATACACCATGGTGAGCCCATATCTCCCCTTCTGCGCTCTTGAGACCCGCCACCATGTTTGAAATGATCTGTCAACTACGCTATCAGCATAGAGAAGTGACATTTACGAAGCGGTCAACTTTTTGGTCGATTGCCAACAGCTGCTCACGATGGAACGTACCAATTCCATGCCAGCACGTTCACATTGCTGCAGGGAAAGTGGGCCTCCATGAGGGGCCAGCGCATGATTCGTCGTCTTCATGTTGGATAGGTGATGCTTCAACGAATCATGGGTGAATTATCCTGAATCCGGAAGGGCTTGCCACACTCCGTAGCGCAAGACCATGACAAAGACGCCAAAAGTATGAGCTAGCCTTGTTTCACGCCCAGAATCTAGTCACATTGGGCAAATGATCTCTCATTTGCTCTGGTTGAGGGTCTTTGAGGAGCCTGTCATTGACCATTGAACGAAAAAAAACGGTAGCTAAGCAGGCGGCAAAAGAAAAAACCAAGATCTACGCCGATCTCAAGCAGACGACATTAAGCGCGCAGAAACGTGGCATGCCGGATTATTGGTAACGCACAGTGGGTCTTCTAGCTCATGAAGGACCCCATGAATTCCTAGTCCCCGCATCAGCAAATGCCACTCTCATTGAGTCATTAGCGCAGTAGGTTTCCAACGGCTACCTGGTTTGTCGAATGCTCGTAACCGGTCAAGTGTAGTGTGATCATTGTCCAAGCATCCGGGCAGTGACGTCGTACTAACAGGATCTACAGTACTAAGTCTAACACTACTGAGATAGGGAGATCGATGTTCACATCACATTTCAACGTTTCAAGAAAGATAGTAGAGGCAGTGGCTGATGTACTGCGCATGTCAATTATCAGAATAGTACAATCGTTAGACTCAAGCCTTGCCAGTACATATGCTGCTGGTCTTCTTTGCGACGCAACAATCACACTATCGCAGATTCGGAGATAAGCACAGAGAAAAGCAACACATACTACCGGACCCAACATTTGTTGAATGCCCGGGCTTTGGCAGGGTTCAGGCACGTTTTTCTACCGCAACGACCTCTTCTGCGACCACGCTGAGCCTTACGCACACACCAAAAGGCACCTTGATCATCTTTCAACCTATTTTTCCGGAAAGCGGCGAATAGGAGAATACATCTTCACGTCACACACGGCTGGAAATGGCGTGCGACTGTGCCGTCGATACTCTGAGCCAAGAAGCTTCGCAGCTGTGTAGACATTTCTCAGGTATATTATCGAGGCCAACAATTGAAGGGAACTAGGTCATCATGTACCATGTCATGGGTATGGTGTTACCATGGCTGGCGCTACCGGACAAAGAGCCACTGGGTGGAATATTCCAGCATCGGTAGCTGTAGACTAACCTGCCCCAGCTAATGAGGCAATCTCTTCCGAAGTATGAGGTGTGTGCTGGAAACATGTGACCGCAGGCGTATGCATGCAGGTGCAAGAAAAACGGTCACTTGCTCCCCAACAACCGGGCATGCATATGCAGGTTAACCGAATAAACGCATATTTGACGCGGCCAACACGATCTTCAATCTCGTCTCGTCAATCTGGATTGATACACAACACTCAACAGCAAGTCCACAATATTTCTTATGCTATGGTCTTTAGCTTGATGTGACTGAGAGCGACCCAGCTAGTGACCTAGTAATCTGAGCCTTGAGGGTTTAGGCACCCCGTGGACCGCACAGATGCAACGATAGAAAACTCCAAGCGTTTAATCATCGGTAGTCTCCATGCAGCCTTACCATGACTTGCAGTGCCTAAGACCGCCATATGCGGAGGCCGTCCCACAGAAGGATGCCGCGAAACGACCGGCACAACTCACCATGATCTAGTCAGATTACGATATGAAGTCTATTCGCATGTCTCACTTGTAAACACCCAACATCCAAGGCACGCAAATTGGGCAGGTGAGCAAGGCGTAAAGAATAAAACGTCCCGTCCGTCATCCTTCAGCTCTAAGCGCCCGCCATGCGGCGCAGCCGAGAAACTGGACCTGGACCCATTCTGATCAACGCTAGAGTTCCCCGAATTATGTCTAGTTCTGTAAGCAATTGTCAAGCAATTATGTGGCTTACCGTGCCTCATGCAAGCGCCGGCGCGTAAATGGGGTTGAAGCAAAATGGGTCGATCCTGCCTTGAACAACGACTCGACCGACCGCTATCCTGGAATGAGGGCCAAATTCAATGGTTCGATTGTCAACCAACGAGCTGGTATACTATAATAGCATAGTGCTGTGGTTCTTCTCAGGCCAGCAATGACACTGGGCAAGGCAGACGTGTAAGTCCGGCGACCTTCGCACTGCGTGCAGGTACTTCGGATACATTTCATCACTGTTTCATGACTACAGTAGCTGTGATTTCTGGACTCCCGCCCGCTTATGTTGGGGTCGTGCTCACTCCGCTGATATGATCGCCAAATATCGGTGTGCTAGTCGTGACGACAGTCCTGCCACAGCCAAGCTCAACGTATCATGACTGTGACCGCCATTACTTGGTGCGGTATTACCGATGAACAAGCTTAGAATCAAGGTTCTATTAGCTATTATGATTGCTACGGTTACTTCATCCACTTCGTGACATCATTAAGCTCACAGTCAGCAGCATAATGTACTGCAAAGATCTCCAGACTCCCTCAAGATTACACCCTTTCTTTTTGTGACATCGCGATGACCACTTTCATAGCAACTCACAAATCCTTTGAACTGATGCCATGCTCACGCACGTACTTATCCAGTTTCTAGAGAAATGTTAGCATGCCTCTCTTGTATAGGATGAATATATGTAACTCACCAGTCTCAACGCCAGGTTGCCGTCCATCCAATCCTCCAGTGACCTTCTTCTTCAGCTTAGCCAGCCCAATTTTGGCCTCGTCCTTCGCAAACTTTGCATTCCGTGCGGGCTTCCACTGCATCAGCCCACGATGTCTCCTCTCTTCGGCTCGCTTGTTTTGCTTGTTAACATCCTTACTGGATGAAGTGTCATCTGTCTCGGCTGTGGTGCTTGTACGAACTGTAGACATCGATTGGCGAGGCTGATGATCCTCAGTGGGCGATAAATCGGTCTTCTGTGACTTCAACTGGCCATTAGTTTTGCTCTGGTCACCTCCACCTGTGCCGCCACTCATGTTTTTCGCACTGCCAACCGTATCCGCATCTTCAACACCAATATCAGATGAAGAAGAGTCTTCGCCATAGTCATCATCAGAGTCATCATTGTCCTCGTTATCGGATGGATGATAACGGTCGTGTAAGGGTTCTTCGACGCCTGGTTCGCGTCTCTTCTGACGCTTGGTGTTCATGTAGGCTTTAGGGTTATCTCCGAAAGCACCGGACCAGTCTTGCCCGTCCTTTGCGAGCCACTTGCGCTTTTCTTCTTCGCTCGCGTTCTTCAAGATATCGCGACCTGTAGTCAATGACTGCTCATGTAACTCTTGAACACGATCTGGGATCTCCTTCTCGACTTTGTGGTTTCGCACACCTTCGGTAACACACGACTCCCATGTTTCGAATGTCTCGCGGGTGTCATTGTCGGTGATAAAGGCAGCATGTGACTCGTCAGTTCCGGCCTTGAATCGCGCCCGGAACTGTAGGCGACCAACTTCCTGAAGATCGTCGAGACCCGGTTCCTTATGGCAGTTTTCCTCAGTAATGTAGTTCTGCGTGAGTCGAGCAGGAGCAGCAGTTTTCCAGATTGGGATGTTGATGTCCGCATCTTCGTTATCTATGAAGTGCTGCAGCCAGATGACTGCGTACGCGTCCGCCTTGCGATGGTTGTTGATATGGAATTCGAAAACAATTGGTGACCTGTAGCGGTGCTTTACTGGTAGTCGGACGTTGTGCTTTCCATTGCTCTCCTCTAGGTCCCAATAGTAGCCATCACCTTCTTGGAGCTTGTGAGAAGCGGTGCGACTCAGCTTGCCGGTGCTGCCGCCAGTCCGCAATTTGATCTTGGGGTGGTGGTTGTAACCCAAAGCCAGGATGCGCTGAGACCGGAACTCAAAGGTACCAACGTCCCAGCCAAGCATTTGAGGTGGTAGACGAGTCTCGATGCTGCGGAACAATAGAGAGATTCGTATGCGACCAAAACCGATACCGCCATCGAGAGGATACCAGCGTGTGACTTGAGAGGATGTTTCGAGAATGTCAGATAGCTTCAGTGGCACCACGCCCAGAATAGGGTCATGTTCCCTGTTCCTCTGATCGCGCACTGTAACCGTGATGATAGCCGACCGCCAGTCACGAACGAATCGTTCGGTACCCGCGTTGAAGATTGGCTGAGATGAGACAGCTTTTGCCCGAGTTCGGTAGACTAGCTCGTCGTTGAACAAAATCGTGCAGTAACTGTTTGGGAGGTCTCCACCAGTCTCTTCTTTACCCTCCCCGTAAGGCTTTGCAGGCTCGTATTCGCGTCCCTTGGGGTTGGTACTACCCTTTACGTTTTCCAGCTCCAAATTCACAATTTGATGACATACCACACTGCAGATACCGCTAGGCCAGAGAGGATCCGGTGGAGTGTGCATGACAGCGTCATCCTCTTCAGAGTTTATGACACCCTTCTCGTCTTGTAGTTCGGGCTTGTCCTTTAACTCATCTGGAAGAGATTTGTTCTTGCCATCTGTTCGCATCTCCTTCCTGAACTTTGGCTTGGTGAAATAACCAACTTCCCAGTGAAGTTCGCCAGGCATCTCACTGTCAGCCTCCATACCGGCCAGCTTCGAAGTCTGTGGGTACATTTTGCCTGGATGCTGGATCATCTTTTGCATGGAAATTTCGACCTTTCCGACGATGTCATCGGCGGTGTGTCGATCGGAGTCCCAGAGTTCTACACTCAAGTTCTCGTTGGCCTTGATCAGTTCTGGACCAACGAGAACAGCTGCTGTCTCTTCCCAGATTGGATTCAGGTCGTCAGTAATAACTCGGGTACAGTACATGGGCTTACCGTATTTCGAGAATGCGATCGTTATGTAAGGGTCGCTACCACCGTGCTTTGATCCACGTCGATCTTGCTTGCTCAGACCGACAGCACGGTGAATACGGATCCAGAGTACGCCCAAGGCTTCGGTATCTTTTTGGACGGAGTCGCCTTGAAGGATGGCTCGCATGTCAATAGACATGGACTTCGGCGCGACATACATGCTGGCCGCTGCCTTGATAGCGTAGTTGACAAAGTTGCTGATGAGGGGAAGATTGAGAATGTTCACACCCTTTTCCACCATGGGCGTGCATCCAGCAGTCACCTGTGGCGCGCCCATCAAGGTAAAAGTCAAGGTCTTCAAGAATGGAGGTTCGGGGGTCATGTTCAGACGCAGGCGGACTGTACCAACAAGGCCTTGCAGTTCGACAAAGATGGGCAGCGGGACACCGAAGAGACCCTTAATTCCTAGGTAGAATACCAGCTGCATGTGCATGTTCCTTGCTCTCTCGGATACTCGCTTTCCGCTGGGGCTGGCGTGGTAGGCGAAAGAAACTTCCAGGTTGTAGTAATCACCACCCTCCTCATCTGCTGCTGCTTCTTGAGGATCCTTTGTCTTCTTGTTCTCTTCGTGGATGGATTTTTTCATATCGCCCATGTGTGAATCCGGAAGCGCTCGTAAGCTAAGGATGCGCAACGGGTTGCTTCCCTGGTTAATTTCGGCCACGCGGACGTTTTCAATGACACCAGGTACGGAAGCTTGCATAACGTCCTCAAGCATGTCAGCAACACCCGAGAACATGTCGGGGTTGATGAGGCCCCAGACGATGGCTAGCAAAGTGTTCATCCACTCGACGGACTCTGGCAACAAGTTCAAAGAGGCCTGCACGATGGTTAGTTAGTTCTGGCAGGGCATCCTTAGTAGACACGTACCATCTGGCCGCGGACTTGTTCGCTGTCCCACTCGACCTCTCTTCCGCTGCGCACAACCTCCTTCATCCAAAGATATACGCCAGATGCCAGGCACATACCAAGCGGTATAAGGCCCTTGAGGGCACCACCGAACATTTTACCAACGACAACCGTCCCGATGAGTATTCCCGCGCAAAGGTAGTTCGCTCGCGTTTCGAGGGCGGCAAACATGGGCTCGTAGCTAACCGAGGGCGTCGGATGGAAGAGGACGTTTGTCTTCTCACCGTGGATAGGTACATCGGTCGTGGTGCCTTCGGCGACTGGATCTGGTGGTGCTGTGACATCCTGGTTGTGCTTGTAGTCTTCGAGCGACTGAGAGGGATCGGTTTTTATTGGCTACCAGGTGTTAATGAAGGGTGATAGAGTCGGGAAGGGTGCCATACTGTTTGCTTGTCCAGGTTTGCATTGGGTACGACCAAATGCGGATTCTCGACTTCATCTATCATGTCCTTGTTGACATCGGCAATGACGACCTCCCTGCCAGTCGTAGGGTCTGTGACTGTCTTCTCTGTACCTTTTACTTGTCTTTCAGGCTGCTTGTGTGGTTGCGACTGTTGCTGCGTCTGCTGCTTGGCCTGTTCGTCCAATTTCTTGTCCCGGGCCGCCTTGTCCTTATCCAAGTTCTCCACGAACTGCCTGACGGTAGGGATCGGGTTGTGCCCTGAGTAATGTCCCCCCGGAGCATGTTGCTGCTGTTGTTCCGCCATTCTGTATATGTCTCCTTCTGTATGACCGCCCAGGTCGAGGGTGTGGACGTGCGACGAGACTCACCCAGCAATTGCGACTGTTGCGGGAGGATGAACGGATGTCTTGAAAGAGGTTGAGCCTAGCGAAGATCTCCCCGCTTAAGAGAAGCGAAAGCAAGGAACAAGCAAAGCAGAAACCATGAAAGAGATGCCGCGCGCGGGGCTGCGAGGCTGCCGATTGCAGTCAATGACGTAGGGCAAGCAGGACCGATACTGGAACTGGGGCAGCCGCGTTACCACTTGCGCACGACGCGTACTCAGCCTTTGCCTGTGCCACGACCAGAAGCTGACAAGAAGCTGTCAAAATCTCCACTGTGGCTGAAATTCTGATAAACATCCTGGCCGTCACATCGCGACTTCCCGCTGTGATCGGCTGATGACGTCAAGGTGCATGCCGATGCGTCGTCGACCAATCAGCGCGTAGCGGGGGCGATCATCCCCTCCAGCTTGGGACGACTCATGATCTCCCTACTCACGCTTGGTAACGGGAGTTACCCGCTACCAGTTTCCAGCACATTATTGGCCAGGTCTGCAATATGTCGGGCTGGTTCACCTTGTTCACGAACTGTCGCTACATCCTCAACGGCGAGCTTGTCGAGGACCATCTCGTAATCTCCGATGAGACCGGACTCATCCTGAAAAGAGAAGGCTACATCGGAGGCGAGGCCATCGATTTGGAAGACAGCATCATAGCCCCCGGCTTTCTGGAATTACATACTAATGGAGCGAATGGTTTTCACTTCACGCATCATGAAGACGAGAAGATGTATGCAAAGAAGGTAGATGAAATCGCGAGGTATTACGCGACTCAGGGTGTCACGGGATTCTGGGCAACCATACCTACCGTAAAGAGTGATGAATTCCACAAGGTAAGACAAATATGACGCGCTGAAGCGTCTTCGCCATGTGCTTCAAACATTATCAAGTGCACACAATGTGCAGCCTGCTGACAGTCCTCCAGATCCTTCCCTCTCTGAAGCCTCGCCAGATTGCCTCTTCAGCATCTCTTCTTGGAGCTCACACTGAAGGCCCATATCTACATCCTACCAAGAAAGGCGCCCATAACAGCTCCCTTTTCAGTTCTTGTTCAACATCCCCTTCTACCGTCTATGGATCCTCCAATCTGCAATCCACTGTCAAGCTCGTGACCGTCGCACCGGAGCTCCCTGACTCAGCGGCACTTATCAAGACACTGACGTCGCAGGGTATCAAGGTAGCGATGGGCCATTCCTCCGCCACATACGAAGAAGGATTGACTGGGCTCAAGGCTGGAGCAAATGGCTTGACGCATACCCTGAATGCGATGCCAGCTTGGGCATCGAGAGCCCCTGGGCTGGCTGGATTGATATCGCTACCAGAAGCAGGAAATATTTCACCTCCATGGTACACAATCATCGCGGACGGGGAACATCTTCATCCAAATACCGTGTCTCTGCTTCATCGCTCCAACCCGAAGCGGTCAATTCTGATCACTGATAGTATCGAGCTTGCATCCCTCAAGGACGGGACATACCCTGGTCACTCGCAGATCCCTTTTGAGCAGGTCAAGAGCGGAACACGAGCAACAATCGCAGGAACCGATACGTTGATCGGCGGATGTATTCCACTCCAGCAGAGTATGAGGAACTTGATGAACTGGTCTGGTTGTGGAATCGCAGAGGCTGTAGGCACAGTGACAGAAAATGTGGCTGCTTTCATGGGTGTTGATGGCGAAGGTGGTAGAGGTATACTGAAGGAGGGCAGGAGGGCAGACTTGACTGTATTGAGTGAGCAAGGCGAAGTACTTCAAACATGGGTCGCTGGACATAAAGTATGGGACAGAGAAGAAGATATTCGAGCATATGAGGACGATGGTGAAGCGAGAGGTTAACGCTGACTTTCACTGACGACAATCATGTTAGGACATTTCACATTGTGACGAGGGAACTAGATATGTGGTAGAACTGCGTAGAAATTTGAACACCGTACGGATCGAGGGCTTGCGTTGTCAAAGACCGTTGGCGTGAAGTCAAAGAACCTGTGAATCATCTCTTGTACTTACTTGATATATGAGCCACAGAAAATTCCTTTCTCAATAGTCTTAACCATACACTCCAAAAATATGAACAGCGACAAAACTGCCAATCTTCCGATGCATAGCACAGCATCCAAGTCCAGCAAGTCATCCCCACCCCTTATCATCTACGTGCTCGGCCCACCCTGCGCCGGTAAGTCGACGCTATGCACCACTCTCGTCAATAAATTCAATCTGGACCACTTCTCCATCGGCGATGAACTTCGTGATCTGATCTCCTCAGACACAACGGGCCATGCCGCACGTATCAAAAGCAAGCTGTCGGTTGCTGAGCTGGAGGACTTCGCCACGAACGTCAAAGCAGGAACATTGGCACCGTCAAACGTGACACCCAAGTATGTCAAGGAGCGTATATTTCCCGATGGTGTGGTACGACTAAACCTACGAATTTTAATCGATGGATTTCCGAGGGGAATGGATCGCTGGGAGACGTTCAAGGACAGCGTGAAGGACATATGGCAGCCTGATAGTAGTACCTGGACACTCTTGCTGTGCGTTGACCGGGCAGTGGCTCGACAGCGGTTTTTGAGTCGTGGTAGGGCGGGGGATGTCTTTGACAAGAGGTTTGATGATCACAAAAATTCTATTGACAATATCGTGGCTGCCATGAAGCAGGATGGGGTAAATGTCGTCGAGATTCACCCAGGGCCGGACCGCGACTGGGAGGATGTGCTCAGCTTTCTCCATTGTATTCCTGGGTTGCATGAGACCTGACGACAGTAGATCGCCATCACGTCACAATGTCCCTCTAATTTAAGCGTGTCGCAGCGAGTCAATATGCGGTTTAGGCACGACGGTAGGATCGACATCGCTGGCAAATGACTCTCGTTAGGAGAAGACGAGTTATCACAATGGAATAAAATAACGATTAACGTGCAGGAGTGCTACGTGTGATGAAGGCAAAAGCTTCCGAGTGTCTCAAAGTAATGTATCGCCACATTCGAGCCGCTAATTCAGGTGAAATCCAAAGCAGTAGATACCGGACGAGGTGTTCTTCTCACGCGCACAGGTCCAGATCAGTGAAGATCAAGATGCTGTTCGGACATGCCATACATAATGCCGGGATGTCCTAAGCGTGCGCGATGGTGAAGGAAAGCTCCTCGGCAGCGGTCGACAGATTTTGTCACCAGCCCCGCTTAGTCACCCACGCTAAAATGGCGCTACCATCTTCTCCCGACATTTGAATCTTTTCCTATAGCTCCAACATGGAAACTCTCGACAACACCGAGTGGGACGTGCTCATTGTAGGCACCGGCCTGCAGCAGTCTCTTCTCGCTTTGTATGTGCCTTGCTTGCCGGCGAGAGTGGCCGCGATCTGACTGACGCAGCGCTTAAAGAGCTTTGTCGCGCTCGGACAAGAAGATCCTCCATGTTGACGAGAATGACTTCTACGGCGGTGCAGAGGCTGCCTTTAGCTTACAAGAAGCTGAAGAGTGGGCACAGCGGATGAAAGATGGTAAGCAACGATGACTTGGAGAGATTTGGCTCTCGCTAACGCGTCCAAGACACAGTAGATACGGTCTTCTCCGATGTTACAATTACCAAGCCCGAGGTTGCTGACGCCGCTCCCGCACTGTCCTTCTCAAGGGCATACAGCCTGTCTCTAAGCCCCCAGGTCATCTACGCGCGCTCATCTATCCTCGGCTGCCTTGTCTTGTCAAGGGTTTATCGTCAGCTTGAGTTTCTTGCTGTCGGTACATGGTGGGTATACTCTACAGGTGCACAGAGCGAAAGCTCGTTGTCGCATGCGAGGCTGCTGAAGGTGCCAAACGGTCGAGAAGATGTTTTCCAGGATCACGACCTTGACTTCAAGGCCAAGCGCGCTTTGATGAAGTTTCTGCGCTTCATCAGCGAATATGAGGAACAGATCGAGGTGTGGGAAGAGCACCGTCAGCGGCCTTTCTCGGACTTCTTGACAGAGCAGTTCAAGGTTCCAGCAAGTCTGCAAGGACCACTGCTGGCACTCACACTCTCACCGGCCGGGCCTGATCGGACCACTACTGAATACGCTCTACCGAGAATTGCGAGGCACCTACGTTCGATCGGTGTGTTTGGGGCTGGTTTTGGAGCCGTCATCCCGAAATGGGGCGGCTTGTCTGAAATCAGTCAGGTGTCGTGCCGAGCTGGTGCTGTAGGTGGCGGTGTCTATGTCCTTGGAAAAGGCATAGCCCCAATCACTGAGGGCATCGCGGAGACAACCGAAAACGGTACAAAGCTTCGCCTGAAAGACGGCGAAGTTGTTACTGCGAAGTGGATTGTAGGAGGAAACTCGTCAACCGCGTCTCAAGATACCTACTGCAGGTCGATGACCATTGTGTCGTCGTCTTTGTCACATCTGTTCCCGCCCATCGCAGAGGAAGCACCAGCACCTGCCGCTGCTGTCGTTGTTTTCCCGTCCGGCTCCTTGACATTAGACTCTCAAGCTGAAGAGCTTCCGCCAGTTCATGTTTTCGTGCATTCGAGCGATACTGGCGAATGTCCCTCTGGTCAATGTAAGTTTGCTCTTCTCCTTACTCTTGCTGTTATGATGAACAAACATTACGAATACTTATCTACATTGTCTGAATACCATTGAAGACAATAACTCTGACAACCTGATACAACGGCACATCGTCTACACTTTCAACGCATGTTCTTATTGCTTCATGTTGCTGACTATTCCTTAGGTGTGCTATATGCTTCGACATCGATGCACAATCAAGACGGGTTTGCCCTGCTTCGAAAAGCTATAGAGTCGTTGCTCTCTGCCCAGGACATAACACCATCGCCTACGATACTGTGGTCTGTTGAGTACCAGCAACGGGCTTCATCTGGATTGGAGGCTCTACCGTCTGACAACGATCATGTCGTTCGATTCCCGCCCACTTCCATGGATCTCGCATTCGACGACGCAGTGCTTGAGAACGTCAAAGAGGTGTGGCAGAAGATCGTGGGAGATGAAGCGGGCGAATTCTTGGTATTCCAAGACCGAGAAGCTTACGACGATGACGAGTAACGAATTATAACTAGAGTGATGAAGCTATGATATTACAATACCTCAGTGCCTTCTCTTGATTGACAAATTTACTCCGAAAGCATGTGCAGCCAAAACCCAAGGAGGAGAAACTTATTGGATGTAATGCCTATCCTCATCTTACTCGTCGTCGAGAAAGTAAATCCGGCAGTCCTAACTCAGAATTTCATCTTCAGTTTCCATAATCGAGCCCTTGAGATCGTTCAGCCCTGGCCATCTAACCGCCATGTGTACATGATTCGTCATGTTGCAGTCCCAATTTGTATACAAGTTACACCTTTGTTGTGCGTCTGGTAAGTCTGGGGGTTGAGAGGTTGTCTCTGTGGCGGAGGAGGGTGGTGGCTTCCTTGGTGTTGGGCGAGAGTGATGTGTCGTCCTTTTTGTCTTCCGTGTTGTCTTCTCGCTTCAGGACTGCCTCAGGTAGATTTGTAATAGCAAGGGTGAAGGACGAGTCCTCGTTCACCTCCCCTGGAAGCTGTTCTTCACGCTTCGCAGCGTTGCTTGGTTGTACCCATGTAGTGACAGTGGTGGGCGGCAGTGAGGCCATCACTACACTCGTTATGACTGAAGTGACTGTTGTCACCCCGCCGCCTGGCGTTGTTGTGATCCAAACGACCCTGCCTGACGAAGTCCTTGTAGGCATGGGCATGGGCGTTAGACCAGGAATCAGAATGCTAGACAGATGCGGAAGGTCTATAGTTGATGGTTTGGGCCTAAGAGAAGGAAGATTGAGGAAACCGTGCCAGAAACCGGGTGTCTTCTTGAGCTGTGTCGGCGTTGAGGCGCTTTGGGTCACTGTAGCGGCATTGCTTTGCGGCAAAGCTAGAGCAAGAATGACAATCCAAAGCACAAATGCGAGCATCTTGTTGTGTATTGTTGTTGGTGTTTGCTCAACGGATTTGGTTGAAGGTGGACGATTCAGAGAGTTATTGTGGTAAGTTTGTCGGTGGTGAGTCAGATTTGTTACTAGGAACGCGTGTCATATATGTGCGGAATAAGTCCCTTCTAATGGCGGCAGTATATGAGGTGAAGGTGAAGGACTTGAATGCAAAAGTGTGAGTCGGAAGCATGTCACCCTTACACTTGAAGTATATGACGTGAAAGGATCGTGATGAATGTGAGTATGCTGCTAAAATGATTGATCCTAGCGTGATAGTCTCCGAGGGTTCCCTACAACGTTCATATCCGGCTGCATTCTGTTGTTTGTAACGCGCATGTGCGGTGGCTGATAATGGGGTCGAGTCCAACATGTATCGTCAGAATTTCAGCATCTTTATTTGTAGCTGACATACGATCTAGCATTTATTCCTGAATATACTTCTTGAGACTCCTTAGCCTTTCCATGGCGCTTTCAAGGACGTCATCGTTCTTACACACGGCAAACCGTAACCAGTCTTCGACAATGTGCGCATTACCTGGAGTAAAGAACTCTGTTGGCGGGATAGCTGCCACACCAACTTCTTTGATCAAGAACCAACTGAGCTGGAAGTCCCTCGGCCTTTCCGCTACATGAGGGGGGAACTCGTAATCACTTGGTAGTTTGACCTTGGACATGTTCACCAACACGAAGTAACCGCCCTCTGGCTCTGAGTAGGGTAGCTTGAGCTCGTCAAAGACGGCGGTAAACTTGTCGATCTTTGCTTTCATCTCCTTCTTTGACTCTTCCCAAAAGTTGTGTGCATCGGCTTGCTCGAAACCAATGGCCGTTGCTTCTTGAAGCGGCGAGACACTGCTGTAGCAGATTCGTGTATGCGCTGCACTGACATACTTGATCAGGTGCTCAGGACCGATCAGCCAGCCAACTCTCCAACCAGTAGCATAGAAGTTCTTGCCTCCTGAGCCGACAGTCAATGTGAGCTTGGCGATCTCCGGTGAAAGCGTAGCGACGCGGGTAAAAGGAACATAGTATAAGCGATCGTAGACTTCGTCTGAGAGGATGATGATGTTGTGTTTTACGCACACATCGCCAATAGCTTGCAGTTCTTCCTTGGAAAAGACCTTGCCAATAGGGTTGTGGGGAGAGTTGATGACAATCATGCGGGTCTTGGGTGTGATGGCAGCTTCCAGTTCTTTCATGTCAAGACTCCATTCAGCTGCAGACGTTGTCTTGGTCGCACCGTCTTTGGGGGGATGCAGGGGCACGTAGACAACCTTTCCACCTGGCATTTCAATATTGCTAATGTACTGGTCGAAGAAGGGCTCGAAGACGATGACCTCGTCTCCTTCTTCCAGAAAGCCCATGAAGGCACTAAGCATGCCTTCGTTTGCACCGGTTGTGATTGTGACTTCCTTGTCGGGATCTAACTCGCGACCGAAGAAAGGAGAGTAGGCATTGGCAATGGCCTTCTTTAACCGCGGGCGGCCTTTGGTGGGCGAGTACTGGTTGCAGTCTACTTGGTCGAGGGCAGCCTTAGCGGCATCGAGGACGAATTTGGGAGGGTTGTAGCCAAAGAAGCCCTGGCCCATGTTGACGATGGGCTGCACAGGCGAGGCCGCCGCAGCTTCATTGACAATGGACCTGTCGCTGTTAGCTGTTGTCGCACGCAGGAGCTTAACAACCTACCAGACATCCTGCTTCTGCCCAGCGACTCGCTTCGCGGGCTTGAAGGGGTCTTCTCTTCTTATTGTCGCAGACATGGCTCGTTGCGGGAGGGAGCAGCTGGTGGGGCACTTTAGAGTTGGAGATGGTCTCTTGGTGGCGGTTCGGATGGATGTTGTAGCTCGAGTCACGATACTTCGCATGGCAGTATCGTTGGCACATGGGAGATCCGCGAAGAGTCACAAATGGTAGCGCCAGGTACGAGAGAGGGTGCTTGTACAAAGTAAGTATTGCGTGCTCCAGTCCGTCGTCTGCCGTCATCAAGCGGGGGCATTTCCGAGATAGCGCCGGTCTCGCTCGTCGCGTTACCCCAGAATAATTCGCGTCGCGTGCGTCGAGCCACTCATCTTCGAATATGGTCGACTGCCCCATCTGTGCCAAAGCCGTCAAGGACGCCCGAATCAACGAACACATCGACAGCGGCTGCCAAGACTTTCTTCTTGAAGCAGAACCACAGGGCACGCCGAGTTTGGGAAAGGCCTACAGCTTCTTCACCCCAGGCGCACGCAAACCCCCGGGCGCGACGCAGAAGAATGGACACCCAACCTCATCGCCTCCGCCACCGCCAGCAGCCACGCAGCTGGTAGAGCGATCCAAGACACCGCCTGCCTCGTCCAAACGTCCTTTTGACGAGGCAGCAGATGCACAGACAAATGGCGAGCCGCATTCGCCATCAGCCCCAAAGCGGGCGCGGAAGCTCAAGGCAGTTGCCGATGCCATGCCGCTGGCTGAGCGTATGAGGCCCATATCGTTGGACGATGTATATGGCCAAGAGCTCGTCGGCCCTGGCGGCGTTCTTCGAGGCATGGTCGATGAGGGCAGACTGCCATCAATGGTGCTCTGGGGACGACCGGGAACGGGTAATGCTTCCTCTACATCTTGCACGCTCGACTCGAGAGCTGACTATTTGACAAGGCAAGACTACAATTGCACGCCTAATCGCCAACAAATCAGGCTCGCGCTTCGTCGAGATCAACAGTACAAGCACAAAGCTCGAGGAAGTGCGCAAGATCTTCACAGAAGCCTTCAGGGAGCTGCAGCTGACGGGTCGAAGGACCATCGTCTTCTGCGACGAGCTGCATCGCTTCTCAAAGACACAGCAAGACGCCTTCCTTGGGCCTGTAGAGTCTGGCACAATAACCCTCATAGCAGCAACAACCGAGAACCCATCCTTCAAAGTCATCTCCGCACTGCTCTCAAGATGTCGCACCTTTACGCTCGACGACCTCAAAGAAGACCACCTGGTGCGAATACTAGAACGCGCAATGGCCTCCGAAAACTACACATCTCCCATCCTTGACAAGTCAATGTTGGATTACTTCGCCCGCTTCTCGGACGGTGACGCCAGAACAGCCCTCAATCTTCTCGAACTAGCTATGAACCTAGCGAAGCAACCTGACATGACCAAAGAGAAGATACAACAGAGCCTCACCAAAACCCTGGTATACGACCGCGCCGGCGACCAACATTACGATACCATATCCGCACTGCATAAGTCCATACGAGGCTCCGATCCAGACGCCGCGTTATACTACCTAGCACGTATGCTAGAATCTGGCGAGGACCCACGATACATAGCCCGCCGCCTCATCGTCGTCGCATCCGAAGACGTGGGATTGGCAGATAACACCATGCTATCCCTCGTGACAGCCACATATTCCGCCTGCGAGAAGATTGGCATGCCCGAGTGTCGCATCAACCTCGCCCACGCCGTCACTGCCCTTTCTCTCTCACCCAAATCGACGCGCGTATACCGAGGGTTGCACAGTGCCATGGATGCGTTGAAGGAGCCAGGAGTCGCCGCCTTGGCCATACCGCATCACATACGCAATGCGCCGACAAAGTTGATGAAGGATATGGGCTACGGTGATGGATACAAATACAACCCGGACTATCTAGACGGCAAGGTGAAGCAGGAGTACTTGCCCGAAGCACTGCGAGGCCGTTCGTTCTTAGAAGACACTGATTTGGGAAGCAAGGTTGATCCCGATCTCATCGAAGACGACGAGTTGATGCCTGAGATTGACTGAACGCAAGATTTGGATAGCGTTGACTCGAATTAGTTGCATCTACTCAGCATTATTTCGGAGTCTGGCATAGCAAATATGATACCCATCACGCGATTCATCCTATGTCGGTCATACGCGAGTGGTGAATGTGTTCATTCGACTTACCTACAAATCTTGGATTCTCTAAACAAAACAGCTAGTCGCGATATGCAGAAGGTCTGTTTCAGGTGCTGTGTGCCTTGATATGCGATACGTGGGCGCCCGCTCGATATGTCTTACGTCCCCCCGCGAAGGGCGTTTGCTGACAGCAACATCCCTTGTAGTGCTCATCCACCCCTCATCCTCGAACTCAATGCTCTTTCCTATCGTTCACATCGTCTCCATACTGCGATACCACTCCTATCTCTAGGCCAAGCCATACATCCGGACGCGAAGTGCGATAGTCTACTATCTCAAACCACCTGAGTCGATATCTTGCTCGGTCTGTCAGGGCAAGATGGATAACGGTACAATCGGCATCATCATTTTCTTCATTGTTAGCTCTTACCTTGGTCATATCCTTCTTCATCGCGTTATCAAGACCCCGGCGCAGTACGAGAGGCCGAAAGTAGCGACGGTAGATGAAGGAAGTGAGTATAGCATGTCATGGATAGAAACAGCGACTATTCAGTGAGATGCAAGGTCTTGGTAACTTATTCTAGACAGACAGTAAGACCACTCCGTGAGACGCTACCAAGCATATAATTCTAACGAACTCAGAACAACCAAGGTGACCAACGTACGACACGGTCTCCCAGTCTCTCGGTTTAACTTAATTTCCCCTTCTTCGCCTTTCCCTTCGCCTTTGCATCACCACGTCCTGCTTTCTTTCCAGATGTCTTTACGGGTGTCTTCCCAGCCAGCGTATTCATATCCCGAGCTTTCTCGTTCTCCCGCTCCCGCGTACACATTTCGCAGTACCACTCTTCTTCTTCTGGGATCGCCTTGCGGATGTTAATGCAACGACCATGATACCAGCCGATTGGGCATTGTTCGTTGTCGCAGCAAATCATGAGACTGCCGTCGTCAGGAAGGCGACACGAACAATAGGGATTGGGGTCGTGCGCAGTCTGAACTTGGGTTTTTGGTTGCGATTTGCGTTGCGCTGTGGTCTCGGACTTGGCTGGAGCCTTAAGCTTTGCTTGAGGTCTAGTCTTGGGCTGCTTCTGTTTTGTTTCATCGGCAGGCGGGATGGGGGTTTGGTGTCGCTGAGATTGACGGCGTATGCTCTGGACAGCTTGTGGTTCGGAAATGACAGGAGCAGGAACATCCTGTACAGCTTGTGGCCTACCTTGCACTACAAATTCGGTTACGATTTGCGGAACAACCGTTTGAGCAGTTGGCGGTTCGGACAATTTCGATGTCTCGGGTATAGGTAGACGGAGGACTGGAACCTTCGAATCGGTACTACCCTGCTCCAAGGGCCAGTCTTCTACCCTAAGGAAGCTTCCATTCTCACTCAGCTTACCTTTCTCGATTGTGAAGCGTCGCTGGAGTTGTCCCTTCTCATTCATCACCTCGATGCTCTTCTCGTACAACTTGGTTTCGCCATGGCCTTGGAGGTACATGGCCGCTGATTGCTTCATCGCATGATTGGCTTCACCAAGGCTCTTGAAGCCACCAATGAAGAAATGCTCTGCTTCATCCCTGGTATCGCAGTGCAGGTCGATGTACATACCATAATGTACAGGCAGAGCAGGCGATGCGCTGGCACGCTGCCAGATACGATCACCGATGGCGTCTTGACGAACAGAGGAGACTGCGTCCAACTCGTAGCGCAGAAGAATACGGTTTCTACTGTCCAATATCTCGTAAAGGTTATTAGTGTTTAGCTCTGTTGTCGCGCCCCAGTGTACGTTTGCCTCAATCTCCCCAGCAGCATGCTTACGCATGGCTTCGTAGGCACTGGTGAAGTCTTCAGACACAGTAATGAGTCGTGACACTGCGCTGCCTGACGCTTTGAGAAGATCGTGCATGTAGACGCCGTAGTGAATGGCAGAATCCGGAGACTCATCAGCGGTAGTTGCAAGGGAATCTAGTCGCGCCATCTTTGGAGAGCGCTGAGGAGCGATTGCAGAATTCACTGATCGCTTCCGCTTCTCAGGAGTAGCGGCAGGTGCCATTAGACTCATGTCGGGCTCAGTGATCTCGGTCTCGGAGATGGGAGGAAGAGCTGTTGCAAATGACAGTATTGCGGATCAGAAGATGTTAAGATGTTTCCTTCCAAAATCACAAGACAAATTAGAGTTGGGTCAGTGGGAGTGGTTCATGGACGAATATCAGAGCAAATGTTGACTGTAATGCAGTGAGCTACCGAACAAGGTGAGTGCTTAGAAGTGAATTTGTATACGTCCGTATTTGTGGGTATCACTATAGAAAGATGTTTCTTTGATGATGTTGCGATGAAAGCCCGGAACAAGCGAAAAGTATTCTAGTCCAGTGAGAGCATTGGCTCTGGGCCTCGAGACTTTTGATTGGGGCCACTGTTTCCCTGCGCCGATTTGCCACGAAGACAACCTGTAAAGCCGAAGGGAAAGATGTGAAAAGTCCCAAAGAATAGCAAAAATCTGTAAGCGCCATGCAAAAACATAAATGATATCCATTTGAGCGGAAGCGAAAGCCGTCGTCATATAGAATCAATCAATATTCATGCTCCAACTGGTACCTCCGCGGCCTTCACATGGTCTATAGTAGTCCGCCCTAGGCCCTCTTTGGCGTAAAAGTCCATGGGATAGAGATTCTTCCTCTCCTTCGCTTCAGCTCTCCTCACTGTGTCGTCTTCCTCTAGCCATGGCGCGTCTCTCACGCCGAGCGTAACGAGTGCCTCGTAAGGGCTCAACAGCGGCCTTGGGAAGGCGTAGCCCCAATCGATGCTCAACCTGGGACATGCAATTTGTACCCAAGCCTCTACATCTGACATCATTGCCAACTTTCCAGGGAAGATCTCCGACATGAGCAAGTTGACACACTTGATACCTTGTCGCGCCAACTCGTTCTCAATGAGCGTCAGGGTGTGTGGGTTTCCCTGTCTGCCTAGTGAGCCAAGAATAACACCCCAAGTGCGTGCTTTCCGGGCTGTGAGGATGGCAGTGCGCCTCAAGTCGTAGAGAGAGTCGTGTTCATAAGTCTCATGTGTAAGTCGCCTCGAGTATGGATCGTAGCGGTATGCAGGTATATGTGGATTGGCGATCATGGCGCTCTCAAGATGAAAACGTCCATCGCCAAGATATAATATCATGTCGGGCACCTCCTCCTCTTTGCCTCTCGCATTGAGCTGACCTGGCTTGATGGCCATTGACGGTGACGTGCAGCCGAGAATTTCACCCTTGGATAGAGGTGCAATCTGCGGCACAAATGGGTTGTAGCCTTCCTTGCGCAGTATCGGCACGATGCCGTGTATTGTAGCGTTGAACTGAATAGTACCAACCAAAGCGATAGTCTTTCCGGCAGCGAAGTTTTCTGTGATGGTATTGATCAAGTGCTGTGTGTCGATACTGATGGAGACGAAGATGTACAACGTCGCGATCTTGGTCACTGCTACCGGTATCAGACAACTGTGCGCGTAATGTATCAAAAGGTCGCAGCCGAGCGCTCGCGCTGTGTAGTCGTCTATGCAGCACGCCCCGTATGTGACATCACCCATTATCAACGTCGAAGTACCAGGGCAGAATCGCGTCAGAATGTCGGATATGGTGGTTGCGAATAGCAGCAATCCCTCGGGAAACTGCAAAGCTATCGACTTGGCTCCTGATGTCCGTATGCGGTGTATACATTTGTGGATCTCGAAGTTGTAGTTGGGCGGTAGGAGCGCGATGGCGTCGTTGATTTCTTGGTCGTGCAGAATCTCGTCGGGGATCGCATTCAGGACACGAGCTGTACGCCGAGGCTGGGCAACTTGGGTACATGTTAGGTCCTCAGTGCATTAGAAAGCTCTTCTGTGGGCTCCTCACACCTTGTATCGCGCTCGAATCTTCAATATTGGCATTGGGGTCTGCTTGCTGCTCGCCCGCCTTCTCTCCCGCCTTTCTCCCTACGAAGCGCCTTTTCGGCTGTTTCTGCACGGGCGCGACCTCTTCTGGCATACTCTGGTCCGTATCGGGACCCAGGTTGGTTGCAGCTCTATCGTCCTCCATTGTGTGTGGTTCGTGGTTGAGCGCGTCGCGGGGATCGGGTGGGATGATGTGGCGGGGCGAACATTTTTGGCAGGGCTGAACTTCCAGGGTCCACAAGTGTCACTTCTTCAACTCTAGCCCGCTAGCTAGTACTCACTCATTAGAACAAGACGATATATACGCCGCTGGGCCTTCAAATATCGAGAAGAACGGCATGCCTACCAACAACATGACAACGTCTCCTCTCGACTCGAAACGCGTGTTCACAATCAAGGGGGCCACACACCACCAAGTGGCATTCTCGCGAAAGCGCATAGCCTCCATCCAACTTATAAGTATGTCTTTACAATCATTACATTAACATTATATGCTTCGGCATTACTATTCTAGGTCCACAGCCATGAATGAAACAAAGATCTATGTTGGGTATCACGTAACACAAACAGCCACGTACTGCACGTACAAGCACCAACCATTTCATATGTTCAGTTTCCCTCCAAGCCAGAATCCGCCAATCCACAGGGCACCCCAAACTGGCTGAGAGAAAGCTCGAAGCACCGCCGGGCCGGGACACGTTCCCGTCAAGCCCCAACCAATACCAAAAGCCACAGCTCCCATCACGAATCTTTTATCCACATCTTGCAAAGTCTTCGTAGGCAGCGAGAACTTGTCGGCGAACGATGGTGAGCCGTGAAGACCTTTCACTTGATTCTCGATCAGATTGGGTAACACGCCGAAGACTATGACCAGAGCAAGGGATGGATCCCAGTGTTGCAAGTTTGGGAAAGAGAGGAAGGCTGCAACTTTGTCTGGGTGTGCCATTTGCGAGATATGGAGACCAAGAGCAAAGAGTAAACCTGACAATGCTTGCGTGGTGACACGCGCAGCAGACTGTTCTTTGGTGTCCTTGGTGGTGGTGGGCGAAACTGTGACTTGAGCCACAATTCCGGGTATCGTTCGAGTAGCGATTATGCTCAACGCTGCCAACACAAGAAGTGACACAGTCGTCTCTGTAGACGGATATACGGGTGCATAGCATGGTGTACTGCTAGGGCATACCGACGTCGATAAACTTGGGTGAGCGAAATGATGGGTTATAACTGCCGTGGGAAAGAACGTAGCGACGGCGACGGCTGAGCGGCCACTCAGTCTGGAAAGACCACACAACATGTGTCCGGAAGTGCATCCATTCGACATCTGGTTGTTCGAGTCAGTCCTGTAAGATTCCTCTATTGAGAATCTCTCACCTTAGTTCCCCATCCTATGAGGGCACCAGTTGCTACTGTTGCAATGACAACTTGAGAACTGATCTGTAAAGCAGGGTACTCAGTGATCAACTGTGGTGCTAATGCCTTCAATGGCACGTAGCTGGCGGCCATGCCAGTGAAGAAGGCGAGCAGTTCTTTCGTGGGCGCTGAGAAGAATCTGCGTAGATAGCCACTGGCACCCAGAATATCTCCATTCTGATAAAGGAGGTTGCTAGTTGCTTGATGCAGCAGCAATGCGCCGATGGTGGTCTCGATAGGCGTGAACATTCTCTTGGTAAGGTATTGTCGTATTGTCGATAGTCTTTACTTTCAAGACTTGACTTTCATCAAGGGGTCTCCCTAACGGATGGTGCAGCAGAACGAAAGTAGCCAAATCAAAGAAAGCCACAGCCAATACAGGCCAGCAAGCCGTTTGTAGACACCTCATTATGAACCCCTAGATACTAATCAGTCCTAGATCTTCCTCGCTAACGGCCCAAAGCGGCACACGTGCCAATCGCCGTGTAAACATCCTCCTAGTCGGCGACCTCGAGATGCAAATGTGGACTTAGCCGAGATGTGGCTATTCTGACGATGGTAATATCGTGGAGGACGGACTGGTGGCGCGCCGGCAGCAGATATGCACATTCCCCTAAATTGCCTAGCGTGGCCCTTAAACGTGGCTCGCGTGTGGCAGGTGCGCGGGTCTTCGGCGACGAGAATGGACCCCAAGGATAAGACAAGGGAACATTACGCGGGTTATGGCTTGCACGACCGCATGGCAAGGCTGATGGCTTTGAGGACGACGTTTGGTCGAGCCGATGAGACGTGTCACGACTTGACATGTCGTATGATTGCTGCGTCGTAATGACGGATGGAAGTTGTCCCTGTCCAGATGTGTTCGGTGTCCTCGAGGATGGTCGGCGACTTCTTCTTCGCAACACGTAACATCGGGAATACCACGGAGTCACTGCAATACGGTATGAATTACTAAGATGATCCGAAAGGTACCGGTCGGTGTCTAGAAGGTTTCTAGAAGGACTTTGTGCGACAAGTGGAAGGCGCTGTCGGGCAACAGCCACTGGCGCAACTTCCATTAATGACGTCTACCACAGCCGCGGGTGGCCTCTCTACAAGACGCGTCGCTTGTCTTCCAGTAAACAATCTCAAACACGAGTTCTCGAAATTCTTCACACCGCCGCGGATCGACCGCATATAGGACCCGCTTATCTACATTATTCTCCGTGGTTGATCTGCAAGTCGAAGCGACCTCGCCGACCAGAAGGCCTGTTGTGGAAGCAAAGAAATACTTCTCAAATATGAGCAAGCATGCCAAATTGCCCAACGATTTGCGATACGCCGTTGACGCCCGCGAAGACACGCTGCGAATATCTTTGCATCCTGGGTTAATGCCAGCCTTTAATTACCAAACAACTCCTCGAACCACCCTCTCGCCCAATAAACCCTCAACCCGTTCCACCCCATCAAGCCCTCCAACCCAACCGCTGCCAGCCACCCATCCATCTTCCCCCGCCTCCTATTCCGTCTGGCCGTATGACTTCGCATCCAAATCTCACCGAACTCTTTCTCGATCTCGATATGCACCTTGACATGTCTCGCACAAATCCAATCCAGATCAGGATACACGAACACCTCCCTCACAGCCATGGTAAAGAAGGAGCGCCAAAGCGGGTTCGTGTGTAGAGAGAAGAGGGTTGCGAAGTAGGTGCTGGTATCCAATTGCTCGTTGCGCCTCAGCCTCTCGCGCATACACTCAGCGTCATCAAACCTGAATAGAAGCTCGGGTTGACGAAGTTGGAGAGTAAGAAGCGGCGCTATGTCAACGCATGATCGATTCGTTCGCCATGCATCCTCACCATCCCAGTTTTGCACTCCGATCACTACGTCGCCGACTGGCATGACAATGCCGCGTTTGGTTATATTGAGGTCCTCGACAGCAAGAGCAAAGTTGCGCATGCATAAGTATAGATTCGTGTGTGCTGCATAAATAGGGAGGTACTCTGAGCGTACTTGGCGACAAGTTTGTGCAAGGCCTAGGTCCTGACGTTGGAGACGGTGCCACTCTACGTTCTTGTGGTAGTCTTTGATGTGCTTTAGTTTGACTCTCGTTTTCGAACTCGAGCATGGATCATCTTTTAAACAGGCTGATACGAACAGGTAGATGATATCGCGGAGTTCTAGGGGTCGGTATTAGAGAGTTGGGATACTGCATAGAGATTCACGATGATGAACGTACCGCCCGGCAGATCCAAGAAACCAATTTCATGGTTGCTTTTGAGCCCACTGGATGCATCAGGTTCTACGCGAATTGATATATCCATCTTGCTGGTTTGCGATATTGTAACGTTTCTCGTCTGGGGGGGTTCGATCACCCAAAGTTTTCGTAAACGGTCACGGTCACAAAAGTCCTGCTACAAAAAGACTAAGCAGTATATCCAGAAACATCTTGACGACATTTATAACAAAGATTTGACCTAGTCTGTCTACTGGTATGACTCTTTCGCACGTAGTGTTGTGCACAGCCACAGCTTACATCCCTAAGATGGATTAGTCCTTGATCGATTGGGTGCGAGGCTGAAAACAAGCTGAACTGGGAACGGGAGTATCAGCCTTATGTTCACATACTAGGCTAGTAGTCAAACCACATATACTCAAGGTCTAACCACATCCTCAAGAAATTCAAGACCGATATCTCTGATACATTGTTTCATCGCCTATTCCTTCTCAAGTACAATAGTTCGGACAGAAATGGAGGTCTACGAGGCCAGCTCGATGAGCAAAACCCTTTCCGAAACGTCCAAGGGTCTGCGATGCTACAGCAGCATTATTTTCACGTTCGTATTCGACATGTCGTTCTTCCAGGAAGCTTCAATACACCTCACCAAAGCCCTTTCTTTCCGCATCTTGCATCTTGTCAATCTCCGTCTCTCCAATCTTGGTCTCGGTATTACCAAACTCGTCATTTGCTTCTCGCTCCTCCTCGCTCTTCTCGACAATCATGTTACCCTTGAGCGCCTCCACGAGGATCGGTTCTCCTTCCTTCTCCTTGGCGAACGCAGCGTCGTCACTAGTGGCATCGCCGTCACCTAGTCTGTCAGTTCTGGCGCCGTTTCCCATGCCTGATTCCTCCTTCCAGCTCTGCTCTGTCTGCTTGCGTTGCAATTTGCGTTCCTTGGACTGTTTGCGCTGTGTTGAACTTGCCCGGAGGAACTTGCGGTGGTGAACCTGTTGCATACCTGGGAAATAGTCTGAATCGTCAGAGAAGCCCTCGCCTGGTGTCTTATGGGGCTGCAAGTGGCGAAGGACGGCAGCGGTTCGCGGTTGCGCATGGTTACCCGATCGCGACATGGAAGAAGCTGCTTCCTCGCCCTCACTGCTCGTAGCATCGTTGGACGCATCGTTTGGAGATGCTGGTGTTGGTGGCATTTCCGGGATATTCTTAGTGCTCTGTTTTCGCGATAGCTTCGCTGGTGAAGGTTCATTGATGATGGGAGCATGTTCAGTCTGCGGCGCTGCGACGGGGTGATCTTCCTGTTCGCTTTCTACTGGCTCCATATGTGTGACTGCGGGGGGAGGCAGCTGCTGGGATTGATGTCCCATGTACTCCATGGTGTTCTTGCGCATTGGTCGGCGGGGGTAGTTGATCTTGTCATGGTCACAGCCGTTGACGCAACCTCCCCATCGGCGCGTAGGTATGGTAGGGGATGATGTGGCTCCTGTTTGACCTAATCCAGTCAAGGGTGTAGCTCTGCTCGGTGTAGATGAGGTAGCGCTCTTGGTCTCTTCTTTCTCCTTGGCAGCGCGGCGCTTGAGTTCTGACCATGTCCGTAGCTCGTTCTGGAGGATGTATCGGCCGTTGTTCTCGCTTCGCTTCATGATGATGAATTCGCAGTGGTTGACGTTACGGAGGTCTTCGAAATACTCAACCGACCAATGGTACCTGATTGTGTTAGCACTCTGAACGAGGACCTCGAGCTCCAATGCAGCTCACCATTTCATGAGAAAGACACGCGACATCAGCCCGTGAGTAACCAGGACGCAGACACTGGGAAAGTTGTCGTCTTGGAAGGACCTCCACAGGCTCTCGTTGAAGCCACTGACACGATCGTACGCGTCTGCCGCGCTCTCGCCATCAGGTATGCGGTAGAAGAAGTGACCATAGTCGGCCCTCTCCTGCCACATGCGCTCCATCTCGGCGGAACATGGCTGGAAGTTGCCGAAGTCCTGTTCTCGTATCCGTGGCTCTTCGTATACGGTTATCTTGTTGCGAGGAAAGGGCGATGGCGTGGGGTCGTCCGAGGTCAGCGTGCGGAGGATGCCTTCTGTCGTTTCTCGCGTTCGGCGGTAAGGTGAAGTGTAGAACTGGAGTGTATCGTCTGGCTTGAGGAGAGAGCGCAGTTGTCGCCCCGCTTCTTCTGCCTATGGTGGCCTGAGTCAGTCATGTCTCGTCTCAAGCTTCGGGGCACAGTGAGCGTACCTGTGTCCAGCCATGCTGGGTCAGTTTCACTCGGTGGTCAGGGATGAACTGGTGGATGTCGCGATTCTTGTTTCCCTCGGATTGGGCATGGCGGATCAATATGATCATCTGCGTAGCAATCAGCCATTGACCTTGGTGGTATTAATAAAGTGGACCTACGCGGGGTTTCCCCATGTTGGAGTAGGTGGGATGTGTGGGCGGAGAGACTTTTGGAGGCTTGTGTGTGGGCAGTTGCTGCTATGACAAGATACAGAGAGGTTTGCAAGGCACCAAGGAATTATGTACAGAGGTGCAGGGAAAGTGCGATCAAGGGCGTTTCATGTGTTGCTGCAAGCCCGACGATAGCGGCGGATGGCGACTTCGCTGGCGCAAATGGCTCGTCTCGCCGGCCGTAGCGGGCGTTCGCCGCAAATGCTAGCGCGTCATCCCTCGCGATTGCTTCCTAGTCCTCACAACTTTTCTACATTGCGCCAAACTATCTATTTCACGTCGCATCACACTGCGTAATCGCATCTGACTCGCCAAACAAACCTCCGCCTTCAGTCAACTCTGGGTACTCAACACCCATCATGTCTGAACCCATCCCCGAGTCGATACCCACATCCGCCGACTCGCGCTCTCATCGCCCGACAAAGAAGCGCGCCCTCACTCCACGCTCAGCACAAGCCTCACAGGTCGAGGCCCTCTTCGCAAAACCCGACCGCGACATCCACATCCCAGGCTCCAGCGCGCTAGCCAAATCCTCTCTGCCCCCAGAAATTGTTGCCAATGTACAAGGATCTAGCGCAGGTGCTGGAAGTGGCGAGTTTCACGTCTACAAGGCGAGTCGGAGACGCGAATACGAGAGGCTGAGGATGATGGATGACGAAGTGAAAAAGGAGGAGGATGAAAAGGAGTTTGCAAAGCGGAAAGAAGAACTAGAGAAGAAGGACAAAGAAAAGACTGAGAAGAACCGACTGAAGAGGGAGAAGGCGCGACAAAGGAAAGAGAAGGCTAAGAAGGGCGGAAAGGGCGGCGAAAGGGATGGCACGCCGACCGCAGAGGACAGTAAGACGAAGAAGAAGTTGGCGCCAAATGCGAACGCACCAAAGACTGGTGCAGAAGAGGACGCGGATACAAACAACCAAGGTGGAGAGGTCAAGAATGCCGAAGAGATTGGCTTGGTCATCGAAGACGACGATTGAGAGACATAGGCGCATAATCATAAAGTGGTTGCCTAGGGGGGAAGAATAGTAATTTCAATCCAGCAAAGCTTCGTCAAGAGCTGATGGAGATACCCGTCACGTATCTGGACCAGAAGGTGCGGTGACATGTTTTACTCAAGAAATTCAGTGCTGACCTTAGGTTCGAAAAGAGTCCTTACAGTTATCATCTCATGCCAATAGTTACACTGTCCTCTGCCTTGCGCAATTTCCTCATCAACAGTCGCAACCCCTTCGCAAATCGCTTGGCGACTGGCGTCATCAACTCGTTGCAACTTGCGCTCGATTCGCGTCACGCATGAGCAATCAAGGCTCTGTTGCTTTTCAGTGATCAGCAGTACGACAGGAGAATTATGCAGGTGCGGCCCGGTAAAGTTGGCGGCTTTTTACATTCCAACCAACCACACCCACTGTCTATCGCAGTACCTTGCCAGCGTCATATGTCTGGCTCATTGCAACCTTATTTCATCTACTCTCGACAAAAAACCATTTACTTCATCTTCGATCTGCCAATCGAAGTGACTGCGCCATGAGGGCTGGGTGTTCAAGGCATTACCGCAGTCAAGTTCCGATGAGGCGCAAGAATGCCGGGTTAAAAGCCGCCCCTCATATACCAATTTACCTGGAATTCAACCTTGATTGATACCCGCAGACCTTGTAAAGCTCCTTGTGTCTTACCCAAGAGGCAAGTTTGTTGGACCTGCATAACACGTATTTTGAAAACGCCGACTTGCCGACGCGCTCAGAGCTGCTTACGCCTCAAGACCCACAAAAAGTACTGTTGAGTACTTCATGAGCTCACCACTGGCCATGGCGGAGGAGACCCGAGCCGCAACCAATGCCAGCCTCTAAGCCCTCAGAAGAGCAGATCCCTCGTTGTTTCTGATTCAGAGCAGAGAAGTGGCCGGCTAAACAGCCCAGTAGCTTCTCTCTAAGAGAGACACGTCCACGATCTTGGTACCCAAAGCGGACAATCTGGACTTAGTCCCTATCCGACTTCAAGCAGCATCAGTCGGACCTTGGATATAGTCACCCACATACTGCCATATCTGCCGACTTTTCTGAAACTCCGATTCAATGCGAAGTCGGAGGCTTTAGGCCACACAGTCGATTAGACTATTTCTATTGGATAGTACAGATGAACCGTTTCAAGCCATACCTTTGCAGCGGTTGTACAGATCGTCTGCACCTCCAATGGAAAGCTTAATTAGACAACAGACCTGGCAACAGCCTGCGATAGATTACCCACTCTCCGCTACAACCTAGCAAGCCCTCCTTGTGTAATACCCACGCAACGTCATCTCTGCTCAACAACATGCCGGCCCCAAAGCTCCGCGAGTGAAAGAATTCTCCGACATCTGGGCTTTGATAGCCGGGCAATCATTGCGTTACTAACATGTTACATGCGATATTGGGGTTCATCTACGTAGGCTTGTGTTCAGAGGGGTGCGCTACAGCGGTAATCTACGCTGACGTCTACTAGCCGGGTACGCGTACGCTTTGAGGACACCGAGCCATGGATGATCAGAAGTATAAGACAACCTCATGTCAGAAGTCTAAGTCGACATCAGCAAACAGCATTCACTCCACTCTGACCAACTCAAACACTCGTACTCGATCTACCACTCATCATGAAGTTCACTGCTATTCTCATCATGGCCGCTGGGTATGCCAACCATGCCTATTCCTCAACAACATAGCTAACACGCTTTAGTGCCTTCGCCGCTCCAATCGTCGAGCGTCAGGTCTCTGGTACACCCCCAGTTGGCATCCCACCCTTCCCTACCGGTCCTTTCCCAACGCCTTCTGGAGGCTTCCCGCCGTTGCCTACTGGAGGCTTTCCATCTGGCCCACCACCATTCCCCACTGGTGGTTTTCCAGGCTTCCCTAGTGGAGCACCTCCATTCCCCACCGGCGGCTTCCCTGGCTTTCCAAGCGGCGCTCCTCCGCTCCCAACTGGAGGTTTCCCCGGTCTTCCCAGCGGCGGTCCACGACCAAGGCCTACTAGACCAGGCTCCGGTAAGTGGCTTATTGTCTCGCGTAGAGGAAAACGTTATGCTGATCTCTAGTAGCACCTGTGCCTACTCCCATCGGTCCTCCAGCCTAGTCCTCCTGATAGCGATAGTAGCTGGGACGGCTCGATCAGACGGGGACGTTTGACGGGGACGTGATATAATACCCACTGTGTATATACTTTGAATGGAACATCTTGGCAGTCCTTGAGATATCTTCTCCTTGTATGAGTCCTTTACTGTGTGCTGCACATCTTGCTGTCATCTCGCAGCGCACGCCAATTACTCCAGCTCGATAGCCTCAATGGTCCATTCGCCGACCTTTTATCTTGGCTGAATATAAAGGTGGCTCCGCTCCCCTAAAGTCGCGTATGTATTCCAATGTCTGATTAGATTCAAAGCTACTGGTATAGCAGTGCGATCAACAACAATGCGATCGTCCTGTGTGACATCACCCCATATATACCAACAGCGCGATATACTTGAAGTCGCTGTCAACACCTGTCATGATGAGTTTTCCCTGGAAAGATTCTGATCATTGACCCGGCTGGAGCTCGAATATGCGGGTGCAGTGGGGTTCGGGAGGTTCATAGTGAAGGCTAAGCAGTGGGTCTGCGCTGACGGGTGAACGAAGCTGGCAATACCTAGGTAGCGTCGGCCCTAATCTTCGTGAATCGTTCTGCAGAGTCGATAGTGTCGACACGGAAACAGTGTACAATTCCAAGGATATGAGACGGTAGGAAGAGGGTTGTTGAGGCAAGGTCAAACGAAGCCAGGCATGCTAGACAAGGCTGAGATCTCACATACTCAGCAAACGCAAAGTTCTTCGGTATGATCCGTTTCTTACCAAACACGATGCCATAAGATTCACGTGAGCGCAAAAAGTAAGGCTTCCAAGGCGTAGAGGTATACTCGTCAGCTTCAACAAGAAACTCCACGCGACAGCTAGATGATCCAACAAGCATAGAACTCTCGAAACTTCTCTCACATCACCTTACCAGTATTACTAGAACATTTGTGTGTCAGTTACGTTGCGCAGCGCGTGCTGACCCTGTGAGCAGCATATGCGATCTTAGGTAGTTCAACCTCAGAAGCAACGTCATTCACAAGCTGCGTTATCATACGAATAGTACGCAGCACATCCGCATTACAGAAAAAAGAGCCAAGACTCCAAATTAGTCATACCAAATGCGATGGACATGTCAAGTAACATCGGAAGAGTTGCGGCTGAGCACTCAGCCTCCACGTTACCTAGGTATTTTCCCCGCAACTTACTAGAGTCTTACCTCACTCCAAACCGGCCCCTACAACTACCGTGTAGGTTGGGCGTAATGCACCCATCACAAGAGCATCAGCATCCAGACGAAAATAGCGATGCGATTTCGGCTCTCTAGCGAATCAATCGCAAGCTGACAGCTGAGGTGGTGGCTGATGCAACCTTCCAAGGTTAGCTCCATCGTACTGTCGCTATGCTAAGCGAGAAGCTGGAGAAACCAAGCTTATCGTAGGATGTGACATCGAAGTGCTTATGCTTTGTCATAGCATCGGCTGTTCGCGTGGACGCTTGCCTGACCGCACCCCGAGCCCTTTGCTCCTCGGCGGACGAACCGCCTCCACCAAGCTGAGACCTCACGAGAGAACAGCGGAATCTGCTTCCCAAATTACTTGAGAAAAACAACGTGGGCTGAGCGCAGTACCGTCTCACGGACGTCAGGTCTCCCAAAGCGCACTGGTACGATGCTACGTGGAGGCATTGCTGAAGGCCATCCATGACAAACATCGCAAGCTACAATGGCAAGGCTGGAGGGTGTTCAGATATATAAGAACAAGACCTATCTTCACTATATGGAAGATCATCTCATTACACAACAACAAACCAACAACAACTTTCTACTATCTCCTACTTTCTATCTTCACTTAATCATCTCCTTCCAACACTCACTCAGACAACCTTCCAACCACACACCAATTTTCAATATGAAGGCCTCCATGATCATTGCATCTGCCGCTGCTCTCTTCACCTCCGCACTTGCGGCTCCAGCCATCGCCCGTGATGCGCCCCTCGTCTTCACCGTCCAGCTCGCCAATGACCAGAGCGGCAAAAACGCCAACGCCGATGTCATCGTCAACAACGCCGCCGTAACTTTCGGCCAGCTCTTCGGTGGTGCCTTCGGCCCCCAGGTCTGGGCCACTTCGCTCCAGGCTGTCAGCCCCGGTGCTGGTGGCAACAACGTACAGTGCGTGGTCAAGGACCCCAACTACCCCGGACAGGCCATTGCGCTCAATGCCTGGAACACTTTCATCGACCTTGATGGAAACGTCAACGTTGCTACTCCTACCGACGTAACCTACTTCACTATTGAGTGCCAGTTGTAAACGGCTATCTGAACGGGTCAACAGGGGAGTGACGTGAGGGTGGTAGACGGATAGTAATGATTTGCGAGGACGTTCCTTTGATCTTTGGTACATTTGCATAGCGATTCTGGTGTTATTCTTTTCTTGTTTACTGTTATACACATTCCTTCGCCCTTAACATGGGAACTAGAGAGGCTTAGTAGCTAATATCACTCCTTTGTGAGTGTGAAATATAACTCACATTCATACATTTTCGAATCGTTCCTTCTACCACAGACCTAGACGCTAAAGTATGCTAAGAATATAAATCAGATAACAAGAAACCCAGACGAAAAACAAAAGCCTAAATACATCGAGCACGCTTTTCAATTGAATTGCCATGTAAAAACTACCAGAGTCTCAAGGCGCTTCCAATACGACGAGTAAATTGCCTCATCTGCTTGGGCCCCGCCCTCGCCCTCTACCTCGCCCTCCCCTGCCGACTCTAAAGGGTCTCGATATTGGGGAACTTTCAGCTCTTCTCTTTTCGCCAACACGTGGTCTACTAGAGCCTATGGTATCACCCCATCTGTTGTCGTTCTCCAAAAGTGCCATCTTCTCCTTTGCCTGCTGCACCTCGTGCTGTTTCCACCTTCTCTCTGCCTCTTCGGCGGAGTCCCCAAACTCTGCCGTCATCCTTTTGCAAGCTCTTTTCTGGTGAGGTGCCTCCGTCAGATGGTTGTGAACCTCACACCATCGCTTCCGCACTGCGATATCGCCTCCAGTAGTGAATGGATCACGTATGTAGCAGATTCCATGGAGAAGCTTGGCGAGTGAGCGGAACTTTGGCTTGCCATCTGGGTTTGTGTTGATAAACACGCCCCATTCACCCTGTGCTTGGGTATCCCAGAGAAAACTGTAAGATATTGCTATCCAACGGCAAAGCGGAGCATGGTTGGAAGGTGCTCAAAAGCGCGTACGACGGTGTCTATGGTGGGTAGTTGTGTCGTCTCCTGGTAGTTTGTGCTCTGGAAACGAAGCAAAACGACAAAGGCCAAGCCGTACTCTTCATGCAGATACGTGAGTATGTAAAGAGTGATCAGGTTTTCGTAATACTGAGCGAGAGTTGAGAGGTACTTTCCGAATGGCTCAACTTTGTCTTTTTCCCTCAAGAATTCATACATCGTATAGATAACACTTCTCACCTTCTTATTTGAACTCTTGAGGAGTTGGAGCATGTCTGCCAGTTCCAGAATATCCATTTTAGGGGATACTCTTATTGGAGTATCATTGTCGTCATCCTCCTCTTCTCCGGCGTCAGGTCGTATTCTATTGGGCGCCGTTATTCTTGATGCCAGGGATCTGGATGTGGTCGTCGTAGGTGGAGTATTGACTGCTTCTCCGTGGTGATGTGTGCTCTGTGTACCAAGCCTGAGCATGTTTGGTGCTTTAGGTGTGTTCGGGTGATCTTTCATGGCAGCGGGAAGGTAACATTGTATTTGCCTGAGCCGGCAGTGTTGGCAAGAATGACCAAACGTTATACGAGACAAGTTGCCGAGTTGTGGCAGATAGACTTTACACTGATAACCATGGGCTTCACAGTAGCCGCATCCTTTGCCATCAGCTACCTTGCCATGATAGTGTTGGATCGCCCGCGCATGGGCAATCTCAAATTTCCGCGAGTACGGAAGACGATCCCAGCCTTCGCCTATGGGATACTTGTAGCCAAACTTATCCTCAGAGGGTGGCTCTATAACGTAAGCGGCGAAGTCTTCGATGTGTTTGACTGGGTCTAGCCTATGTGGTGTCGCAACATTGCTGTCCGTCATCCTTCTTGCACGCTTTCTGGATATGTTTGGACCGGGCCTTGCTTCGATCACCGCCCATGGGTACATTTTCCGAAGATTGCTTTCTAGCTCCGGGGTTTGGGCAATCTCTGTCTCGTCGAGCTCGATGATCATTTGCTTGATCCCGTCGGGTCTCTCTGCCGTCAGAGCCTTCCAGGCCCTTTCTTTTTCGGCTACTATGCCTGACGATACGATAGTAACACCGGAATAGCTAGACTTCAGCTTTTCGCGGAGTTCTGGAACCAGATCCTCGTCATTAATAGTGAAACTGATTTCCTTAACACAAGGTGGGATATTGGCCTCTCTTATCGCCTCCCACGACGCGGTCTTTCCTCCAGCATCCTGCTCAGGCGGCAAGTTGTCAGGCGGGTCCTGGGTGGGGAGTCCTGGGTCTCTGAGCCCAGAACAGAGTCGCAGTCGTCAATGTGAACACCATTGTCGGTCTCAACTAGCGCTTTCTTTTTTTGAACAGATTTCCCCACTAACTCATTCAGAAACCCGGCTGCTGCGCTGACAAACTCCATCACCATGTTCTCGGGGTTGACCTCACAGCTGCCCAATGAGTCTCCGTCTTGATCTGTGAGGTGGAGTTCCAGCTTTTGGTGTCTGTTCAGGTTAGCTCTGGTGTGAACCGTAATGATAATCACCTACAACGTCATCTGCTTGGTGGGCGTGATGCTTCGCTCAACAGCCCGTATAGCTCGTATAAGCGCACATTCTTCTGCTGTCAAAGCGAATTGATATGTTGACTCGTTCGCCGCCATGCTGAACGATCGCGCGCTCTAAATATTGGACGATGCAGATCTCATGTGCTGCTTGTTCTAGACGCTGTGGAACTCAGGAGGGATCGCAGATAATCGTTCTCGCACAACCGAGGCACGGCGTGCGATGCAAATCGCCGGTTTCAGTAGCAACTGTGCGACAGGATGAAGCCCTGATGTCGAATGTTGTCTTGTACAGGATAGTGAATGACGTATCTTTCGAGCGAGTGTGACAAGCGTGTGTCCGCAAGCCGCATCTGCAAGTACCAATTGCTTAGTTGCTTCTGCTCGCTTCATGCGCCACTCAGACAAGTCCTTGGGATGGCTGATAACTGATAAGCAGAGGAAGGAGTAATGCTACAAATCATTCTTACGAAAATGGTTCAGGTTCCGCGACAGCATTGATAGACTGGGTCGACAACGCGTTGGTGAAATCGTTCGCAAGTGGTCCGAACGCGTTTGGGAGGAGGCCGCGTAAGCCTGGAAGGGTTTAGCGCGTTCCGGTTTGGGTTAACAGCTTAAAGCAAAGTGATCCGCGCTGTTCTTATTCAGATATCGCGTACCCATTCTCCTGCACGAACACCGACTACATTTTTGTACGAGATATTTCTGTTATTAGGCTTCATGAAGGGGTTCACCGCATACTGAACGCGCCACGCTAAGCTCTCGACTCAAATGTTTGCGCAAACACGAGATGATGTTACGGCCTTGCATAGCTACCAGGCAGTAATGCTGGGTTGATTGACGACGAGAAAGCCACCTCAAAGTACAAGCAGCTCACTGAGTCAAAAGCAAGCGCCATCTGATAGAGCGGTGCGCAAGAATTTATTTACGATGAAGTGAAGGTATGTACAGAAATTTGCAAAGAAAGTTATTCACAAGAAAGTATCATCGCTCTCGCCGTCTCTCATCGCTACTCCCATCCATAGTCGATTCTTAGATCCGGGATCAACCGGATCTACTATTTAACGAGGCCATCAGCTTAACCAGAGCAGGTACCAGCCTTCTTGGGCTCGCAGCCACCAGCGCAGCCAGTGTACATCTGGCACTTGGTCTTCGCATCAGAACAGACGTTCTTGAGTGTGGCAGTGTCCTTGTAGTTGCTGTTGATACCAGCGAGCTCGCCACCGTTGACAGCGGTGACGCCCTCGATGTAAACGTTACGGGCGCATTGCTTGGAGCACTACAGAGTTGGTAAGCGAATATTCTGGCGAGAACCCTGTCATAGCATGAATCACTTACGTTTCCGCAGGAGCGGTAGAGCTTGCCGTAATCATTGACGTAGAAGTTGATGATGTTGACAGTTCCGCAGCCATTGTGCTGGACGACCTTGTCTGAGGCGTGGTAAGCACCGCCACCAATGATCCAGGACTGCTTTCCAGCCTTGTCCTCTTTGATAGAGATAGCGTCCTCGCAGACATCCTCGAACCAGACGAACTCGAGAGTGCAGTGACCCTGGCAGTGTACACCTTCGGCCTAGCATGTCTTTAGTGTTTGTCTCTCGCTTGATCACAACTGATGCTTACCTGGTTCTTGCCAATGATCACATTACGAAGGGTAGCACCCTCCTTGAGTAGGAAGACGGCGTCGGCAGCACCTCCCTCAGACTGACCAGAGCAAGCGCCGCTACCGCGATCAAATCGGTACCACTGACCATCATAGGTCTGGCCAGCAGCGACCTCGATGACCTTGCTGTTGGTCTTAGTACCAACAGCCTTAGGGACACCACCAGTGTAGCCGTTGCATGCAAGAGCAGTAGGAAGGAGGGCCGTGGCGGCAGCGAAAAGTCCAGCGAACTTCATGGTGAAAGATGGTGATCGAGAGCGGAAGATGAAACGGAAGTGATGGTAGAAAGAATGTAATCGAACGATTGAATATCAGAATGCTCCTGGCTGTTGGATAGAGCCTTAACCGGTGGGATATCCAGCCATACTTATAGGGACCTGTACATCCTCTCTCTCACGTCCTTCCCTAGCACGCTCAGGTATCTTTGCCATGCCTCCTGCACTGCTGACCTCGCACCCTCAACTCATCTCATCTTACCGCATTAGGGTTGCCCTCCTTGTTCTTCCTCCTCTCATTCGCGGACCTCGACATAGATCTTGGCGATGGTCTTTCCGCCCGAGTCACAGCAGGGCCAAGAGCTGCTGTGAAAGCTTGGTACTGGAAGGATGCGCTTGAAGGCGAATATCGGACGGTACCATGTGGTTTTGGCATGGTGATAGTACACGTGAAACGCCTAGTAGCCTCCACTGTGTGTTGGCGCTTGTATGTTTAGGAGAGTGACATGCTGTAGCGCAAGGCTTAGCGCTGCAAACCTCCTCTCATTTCCTCTTCGACCATTGCTTCCGCCAACCGGTATTTCGCCGGTGTCTATCCTGTATGCCCGCTCTTGGACTACTCGGATAGTATCGATAGTGGAGACTACACGACGTCGGTTTTTGAGGGGTTGCGCCACGCGCACGGCGATAGAAAGAGTCGGAAGGTAATGCGGAGAGTTCTGGTTGCCGATGCCAGCAAACAGCGATCTTCTAGTCTCTGCGCTCAGGTCCTAATGGAGCTGATCGCTAGTCACTGGGTCAGGCACTTAGTGGGCAACTGGCAATGTACTCTACCAGTATCTACACTATCTTATCTCGTCCAGAAGAAATAAATGCATAGTTAATCTGGTCTGCGTTCTTTCCGCCAAGAAGGGCGACACGGATGCAGCCCATAGAAAAGGATTGGCAGCGGGCATACCGCTTGCGGCGGCCTCACGAAAACTAGGAACTACCGTCTAGAACGGTGTGTCGGTATGCACGAGGCTGCTACAAGAGTCAGTTATGGAGACACTGAGAAGGATCTGGGCTCTCAATAGATTAAAAATACGCTTTTCAATATCGCAGCAGTGACGGCGCCTTTTGCATGCGGCGTGATAATCGAGATATTCTCCGAACCCACCTCACACGAGTGCGACCTGGCGTGTAGCATTATCGTGCGGAATTAGGGTGTGCAGATTGTTCTGCGAGGGCGCAGGACTCAAGTGGATACCACACAATAATGTTTCTCGCCTTGCGGGTACTGATCAGTAAACATAGGTGAAATTCGACACCAGGAGGTTCATGCGCTACCTAGCCACAGAACACCAAAAGCATGGGAATGATCAATCCAACATTTCATTCAGTGGTTCACGTGAAAGCGGCCAGGCACCTAACATGGCAAGGCGATTGGTACCGTTTTGAGCCAGGTTACAGCTATGCTTTGACTGGTGGAGTGTCTTAAATCCATCAATATGGGGTACATGATGGAGTACATGGTGGCGTGCATGCAGAGTGCGTCGGCAATGCAACGGCTTCAAAACCCCAGATTTCGGAGAAAAGACGGCATCTGTGAGGAAATAAGAGAGTGTATACAAGATTACGGGACAATATAGCAGGCGTTCGTGTCATCAATTCCACGAATCAGCGTTATGCCCCTCTGCCTTGTACAACACAGCGGTACACCAGTTGTTCTTGGATAGAAACACCTCTACCACGATGCAGAATCCGAGCAGACAATGGTTATCTGAAGTGCACTCGTTCTATTCTTCGGAAATTATGGAATGGGGTGGCACAAAGGCTATAGTGGCTCAGCAAGTGGCGCAGGCGTGCTCTTGGCTAGGGTCTAAACTGGGAAACAATAAATCCCACCAGCATTGTTCTACCTTGGAATCTCAATACGCGAAGCTGCATCTTCTTATTCCCTTCTTCACAACCAACAAGAGATATATTGTCGTCGAGATAAAGCCATAATTAAAGCCACGCCAAGTGGAGTGAGCCACACTCGACTCCACAGCCACGGGCTACGCCACTTTTTATCTCCAGGATGGACTCGAACGTTTCATATCGAAGGATTCTATCTAAGGCCCGAAAACGACGCCGGCACCTGAAAAGGAGGAGATTAGGGGTATTAGTATCCGGCTATCCGTCATGCCCGGCCACGCATTGATTCAAGCGCGAGTATCTGCTATTGGCCTTCTATTTCCGGTCATGTCTCCACTTAAACATGCGTCCACCATGTTATGAGTCGCACGCGGATAGTGTTCGGCATCCAAGCCGGTTTCGATTTTTAGACGGTCATACAGCATATCGACTAATTGCTACGAAGCTAAAGTGTACACCTCATAGCAATGCGTACTTGTGTCAGATCTTGATCAAGAGTTGGGGGAAATTTTCGCAAATGTGAATGCGATCCGGAGATCTAATGTACTGTACTTATGTTCTGACTTGCTAGATCTAGGCACAGCCAGACTTGATCATGGATTTTGGTTCAGGGTTGAGTGAAGCCACGGAACTGCAAGTACGTCCCGTTGCCCTTCCAATACTTGGGTACCGTTGACCCCGACAATATCGTTGTTGTGGTCTTCACGATCAGCTCGTCGAATTCTCTGTCCAAGTCATCTGCGTGTAGTCGAAAGGCTGCGTTCTTCTATGTTGATTGACTCACGACAGTCCAGTCAATCTTTGAGGGGGTCTTACACAGGCTCATATTTACTACAACACGCGTTTGCATGATACAGGAATCAGGACGCGTCGAGAGACCATCAGTTCCATGGTTCGTGAATATTGCGCCTTCTATCGATCACTCGCCAGCCATTGCCAACATTTGTATGTATACACAAACAAGATCCACTCGAAGTACCAGCTACAGCGGTCATGACGCGAAGTCTAGCAGCTATAGCAAGAACACTACCCTTCCACAGAGTGATAATTCTTCACGCTGATTATTAGTATCCGTAATGCGGTACTGCTCTTTCCATACTGGGCGGTTGATAAGTTAGAAGCATGTCAACAAGATCTGTACTATCCTTGTCAGAGTAGGTCTTTATCTACTTCTATAGTCGAACACACCACTGACGTAACTTAGCAATACGAGCCATGCGGTCGGTAGCCTCCGAGCACTCAAACGATCGAACATAGTACCACTCCCCACCGCATCACACGATGAAACGTGCTGCATATGCTTGGATGTATATGGTCCTTCGCACAAAGTCGTCACTGTGCTCATCAAAGACTGCTACCATCGCTTTGGTCAACAATGTCTTGATGACTATCTCAACAGTGATAGTCCTCGTAATAACACATGTCCTCAATGTCGGAGAGAATGGTATACACGACAAGCTGCTTGGATGGCAACAAGGGACATAAGCACAACAGAGAGTTTAATAGCTTTCAGTTTGCCGCGAGAGCCGGCTCGATTCGAGCGACGGGCGAGGACGCATCGAACGCAGCGTACTTGGGCATATGACCGGGCTACAAACAACAGTCTCATCAATAGTCATATGGATGAGATCTTCAGGCGACTGGATTTAATCCAGAACATTAGCGATGAGCAACACACTTCGAGTGCAGATACCCGCGTGCGTCTTCAAGCAGTTGAGCGCCGTGCCCGAAGGCTTTACCAGGAGCTTCAAAGAGCATATGAAGACAACGCAGCATATCAGGCGCCTTCAAGTGCAGGGGTGCGTACGCAAGAGCCAACACGAGACCTGGGCACTTCTGGTCAAGACAGTCGTCTAGGAAGGAGACGCTTGATGGAAACAAATTCGCTCGAGCTTGACCATAACCCTTACTCCCCAATGAGCATCGCAAATCACAACACAGATGCAGTGCCACGTGCCACTCCAACGTTGGAACAAATTTCAGCGAGAACCAACACCTCTTCAGACAGTACCTTCGATATTCATCGGGAATCTCCATCTCCGCCTCCAGAAGATCCGATCAGTCCTGGTCACTATGCAGAGTATCTGCGGTGGGGTGGAGACATGATCTCAAATGATGACCTACCTAGATTACGAGAGTCTTCAGAATCTTCTGCAAATGGTTCGGGTTTCGCGCGTGTATTAGGAGCAAGAGACCGTCAGCATACCTCGATCATAGGTTCACCGAAGAGGACGTCACTACTACCACGACTCGTATTCATACCTCGAATGTTACACCCTAAGAACGCTATAAACGTCTGGCCAACTAAGCAGTGCCACAAGATACAATCTCAACTACACGGCTGTATCTCAACAACGTATTTCTAGTACACACACGCCTACACAGCTGTCTCGAGGTTAGCCCCAACCTCGTATAAGTCTCAATGATGTAATGAGCCAATGAGACTGACCACAGATAACATACCGTACGAGTCTCGGTCCGGGTTGGGAGACTTTTAGTATCTCTTATAGGTTTCGAATGGCTCGATGCGCTGCCTAGAAGGATGTAAAACCCAGCAAGTGGCTGAAGATGTCTTGTAAATGTTCTCAGAGAAGCAATCCGATTCATTGGTTGAAGTCGGTTTTATCCCAGTTACTTGTTTGCCTCTGGAGCTAGCTGTTGAATTACTGGCTGCGTAGCATCAATATGCTGCAGCTCCCTAGATCTTGTCGCATCTTTGTTTTCAACACCGTGTTCATCGCACTCGTGCTTGATCTATTGAACCCTGAGCTCAACTCACTTTCACTACAGCAACGCATCTGCCTAAGATGACGTACTATACTCACACATTCTCGCTCTCGACATTTAGATTCGGTTCTTCACTACCTAAACCACCCTCATTTGTTACGTTGCCACCACAAAGGAGTATAGGCCAATCGCACTTCCCTTCCCCTTCAACTTCACTTACTGAGAATTCTATCACAGCACAAGGCAGGAAGCCTCTACTTGATTCATTTGCTTTGAACTCTACGCTCATCCGACTCTGACCGATCACAAACTACTACACGTCAACCCGTTGTACCCAGTAATCTCACGCAATGAACGCGGCTACCTTCGTCCGCAATCATACTACGCATGATAACGACCTCCCACACCATGATGAATGCCCGATTTGTCTCGATGACTACACTAGTGAGCAATGCTTACGCATCACCAATATTCCCGAATGTAGCCACCATATCGGCGCCAACTGTCTTGACGACATGCTCCGCAGCCACTCCCATGAAGAAAAGCGATGTCCTCTGTGTCGCGCAGTCTGGATCCCTGCACGGTCTCTTACCATTCCTCTAGACGCACAAAACCTAAGCGCATCACAGCGCATGGCAGGCATGTTCGCAGGTCTCGATGGAATCGGCGCGGATATCACCAGTCAGCAACTTGGCACCCGACGCGACTTTGGGAATGATGATGATATACCACAACAGCACGCCCGACGACTTCGCCGCGAACTCCTAAGCCCAGCTGATCGTTACGGATCGAGGGCCCTAAGGGAGGAGCAGCAACGTGCTCCCATTGTGATTGACTCGGACTCCGATGACGCGGATTACTATACGCACGTTCAGAACTTCGAGGACTTCAGGAGAGATCTCGCTGATATAAGGAACCGGGCTCCGTACAGGCAGGTGTCTAGGAGTAGTAGGAGGCGACGGGTTGCAGACAGGACTGGTAACGACAGGAACATAAACGGCAGTTCGAACGAGGGTGCCAACTCGAACAGTAACAGTGACAACGCCCCTGTTCCTCGTGGTCTCAGGAGGGTGAACACGAGTACTCGAGGAGTTACCGACGTTATCGCTGCAGGTGCGTTCAACCGCTTCCTGAACAATCGCCGAGCTCTCAACCCTTTCCGACCTACTACAGAAAACAACATTACCACGCCCTCTGCTCTCACTGGCAACACTCTAGGCGGGCGCCGGCGTGAAACCGAACGTGAGGATGAACAATACCGCGAGGACCGGCACCTGCGCACAGCAGGATCTAGTCCACCTCAAGAATTCGCAAACCGGTGCAGACTGACAGAAGAACAACAAGCAAGTAATCAGCAACATACCCCGGGTTTCGAGTCACCGCCGCCCCATCAGCCAAATGCAGGCTCCCGTCGAACAAACATCCCGCACGCCCATCTTTCCGGCTCCAACACTCCAGAGACCCCTATAGACATTGACATGACAGCAGACGAACTCATTGATCTGTCGGCTAACCAACCACTCCCTGCGCATGGAGCGGTCCGTAGCCGGCAACTTGATCTTCGCGAAGGTAATCTGAATCGGCGGGAGCAAGCTATGACCATGCGACAGACGATACTGGCAAGACGCGAGGTAGACCTCATAGCGCGAGAGACGAGGGTTGATGAGCTGATGCGTGTGGTGAGGAGGCATCAGGAGGAGGGGGAGGAATTGCTTAGGAGACACGGGGAAGAGATTGCCGAACTTTTGAACCAAGAAAGCTATGAAGGTAGCGAATGATGCGATAGGGAAGCAGCAAACAAGCAGAGTGAAAGGTACACGATTTTTGAACATGAGAGCCGAACTTGAATACACATACAAATCATTTTTAGACAGCTTTGAATTTAAAAAGGCTTGAATTGCTCGCGGTATACATACATTCCACGCTACATAGCTTCATGCCTAAACACCAACACGTATGCCAAACATATCAGTTATTCCCATTCCTTTCTCTACGCCATAATCCCTATTGTTACCGTAGACTCGAGAAACAAATATTGGGATAGAGCTCTTTCTTTCAGAATACACCACCGAGAAGGAAGGAAGGCTAGAAGCCAAAAGACCCCCAAACGCCGAGCGCAACTCTAGACTGGTGCGCTACACTAATTTCAGAAAACAAGAGGAAGTAACATTCCGGTGTATAATCGCCTCTGTAACGCCAGTGAAATGTTACCTGAGCACACCTCCATATATACACGCCAACGATGGACAGATTACTGAAGGAAACGGATGAAGAAAGTCATCACCGACTAGGAAGATTCGTGTTCGCGTGCATGAGGTACGTAGCCAGCCCCATGAATCCCTGCCGTTCCAGCCGTCCGGCCCGAGAAGGAAATGGTAAAATGATGTTTTGGTAGTCCGGGTTGTTGCATTTTCCTTGATGTGAGAAGGATGCAACAATGACGTAACGCCAAGCGCCGTCCATGCGTTGAGAGTGACGACGATGCGTCCTAGGAGAAGGAGAGGAAGGAGAAGATTGGGTAGATAGATTACAAGGTCGTACGAGGTAGCGCATCGTGATCGTCGAAGCTGCTGATGCCCCACGCTTTTGCGTCATTGCCATGATAGAGAGTCATGACACTAGCGGTGTGCACGTGTGGATTGGTCAGGCAGCTTGTTTACTCCCAATTACCTGAAACAAGTGAGCGACTGTCTCAATACTTTGATGGATACCGGCCGTCTTCCTGTTCATCAGGGCTCTGGTTCCTTTGGGATTGGTATACGAACCGGTTCATCATCTGGCCTTGCTGCATCGGCATCATGTGGACGCCATTGGGTTGCAGTTGAGCGATGCCATATGGGTTTTGATGGCTGATGTCGCTTCCGAGGAAGTTATTCATGGCAGCTCCATGTAGGCCCTGAGCCTGCGATACGGGGCAGTCCTTGTGAGCAAGAAGCAGTGTCTTGAGGTTGACAATCTCTTCGCGAAGCTGTGTGACAGTGGCAGAGAGCGCGTCGTTCTCTGTACTGAATAGTTCAACCTTGGCTTGAAGATTTGCCAACCACTGCTTCTTGCGCTGTCGGCACTTGAGAGCAGCGACCCTATACATGTTAGTGATTGGCAGTGTGAGTAATAGGAAGCAGACATACCTGTTGCGCTCGAGGAAGTTCTTACGCTTCTCCTCATCGGTCATCTTGCGACCCTTGCTATCGTATTCCTCTTCTTTGATGTTGTTCTCGTCATCGGAGTCGCCGTCGTCCATGTCGTCGCCCATGGATTGGTTGGCGTTGCTCTTCTTTCTTGAGTTCTTGGGGCCATCTTCGGCTTTGCGCTTGTTTCCGGCAGCTTGTTTGCCGTTAGCGGCACCCTTCTTAGCGCGCGACCGTGTACCAGTCTTGTTTTGCTCACTCTGGCCGCTCTCTGAGAAGTCACCGGTCTCTGCAGATTGAACGCTATTAATAGAACCCTTGGTATCACGGCGACCATGGTTGGCGTTGACAGGCTGGACAGGCATATGCCCAGCGTTCATCGATTGCTGTTGTGGAGCCATGGAGTAAGGTGGTTGGTTGTTGCGTGCAGCACCATTTTGACTGGCAAAGGACAATAGATCATTAGCTGCACTGCTGACGTCATGGTTTGGATATGGGTCGTTCTGGGCGCGCTGTTGTGACTGCTGCACCTGCTGGTAGTTGTTGTTAGGACGATCCATGCCTGCGGTCACGCCTTCTGGCTGCGACGTAGGTGCGTTAGACGTGGACTTGTTATTGTTAGCAGCTTGGTGTTGAGCAGCTGCGCGCAAGGCAGATTGCTGGAAGTCGGCAGTGCCGGGTGTTACGCCAGCGCTCTGGAGGTTGAAGATGGCTTGGGTGTTCGGGCTAGGGGCTGGGAACATGGAACCACCGCCGCCAGGAGTAAGGCCGGTGCGGAGAGAGGATTCGTTTGGTGTTGGGAAGCCTCGGAATGACTCGCTGAAATAATCTGTCTGTCCAGTCGGGCCGCTCAGCATAGCAGGGCTCAAGGGTCCTGCGCGTAAGCCCTGCCACCCTGGTGTGATGCCCGGTAGGGGTGCCGGTGACGTAATGTTCGCAACGGGTGGAAGAATAGGACGGCCTCCAGGTGTCTGCAAGTTTCCAGACTCGCCGCCAAAGGACTGCTCAAAGACGTTGGGCTCGAGGGAGAATGGGTTGTGTACGGTGTTGAAGTAGTCTGGTGTATCTCCAGTGGTCGCGGGTGCTGGCTTTGGTGGAGGTGCAAGCGGCTGGGCATTTGAGGTTGGGGGCTTTGCTGTGTCTGCGTTGGTGGCCGCTTCCGTGGTCGCAGCTGGCGGTGGGTTAGCATCGTAGACTGACGATGGACGAGATGCACAACGACAGTTGACAGTCTCGGGGCAGGGAGCTACTTACGCTGTACCTTGGGAGACGACTCGGACTTTACTGGCTCCGCTGCAGCGTGGTGGTTAGTAATGCTTCGATGCGACGACGCAAAGGGGAGGATGACGACGAAGTATGCGCGCGCAATGCAGGCAGGTAAAGGGGAGACATGGTGACGCAGTAGCGGTGAGGTACCGCGACGGCGGCAGCGACGGGGTCATACATACCTTCAGTTTTGGTCACGGTAGGAAGACTACTTTTACTGTCCTTGGGAGAGGACATCTTGGAGGTCGGGGGAGAGGTATGGGCGGTTTGGGTTGCGGCTGCCATACTTTGGGGTGGTGACGTAGGGGTGGTGTCCTGGTCGATCGCTTGTGGTACTCGGGCCTTGTCCTCTCTTCGCTCGTTCGCTCACACCCACGCGATCTGGCTTGTCTCGATGTCTCGACGTTCAGGGACGGAAACACTGGCGACTCGAACAGCAATTCACCTGTGCTGGAGGGCGGATATGTCAGCGCACGTAAATTAAAAGTGCAGGCACTCGATGCGACGGGCTGGGAGCAGACAGACACGGGCGCAAAGGGCTGTCGCAGGACGTTGAGAACGTGGCAAAGTCGGCAGCGAGCGATAACAACAGCGCGACGGGCAGCGGCAACGACACAACTACTACGTACCTCAGCAAAAGGAATCGAAGCGAAGGCGGCAGATGCGGGGTACGGCCGTCTCAATCCGATGAATATCGATATTGTTGACCGCCGGCTCTCTGGTCGCGATGCTGGTGTCTGCTTGTCGAAATCCAATAGTGACGTCAAGCCCCTGTGGTGACGCTCGCAGCCGTCGCAATCTCTACACTTACGGTCGCGCTGGTCTACACGACTCTTAGGGCAATCCGGGGCTGTGGTTGCGCGTGATGGATGTTCCTGCTTCTCAATGAGGCTCAAAACCGGCGTTGACGGGGATTGTGCTCGTGGTGACGATGACAGTGAGGCGTTCGCGATGAGGTCAGAGGACAGGACGAGCGAGCAATTTCTGGGAGTGACGCAGCTTTGCCAAGCGCATAACGTGATTTCTTGGGTTCGTAATCAAAGTCTGCCGCTAGATGCCACTAGCCAAGCGCTAGAACCAATCACTGCAGCCGAGGCCCCACCGCCGTCCATGGACCGCCGATCCGCAGCCCCTTTTGGCTCGCTTGCCACGAGACGCCTCTCCGGCACTGGCCCGCGGAATCACGCCAGCCTTCCATTCACTGTTGGCCTATTCCCGCCCACCGCATTTCTGCATGCCTTCCCATCATCCTTCCCGATGGCCCTCGACCAAAAGCCAGCAGAGTTTCAACTGACACGTGTATGCGACTCTCTCTCTCCCAACTCTCCCCATGTCCCCTTCCCCCACCCAGATAAGCCATCGAACCCAGCACGACGGCCAACGGCTTGGATTCTGCCAGATGCCGGTCCCGTTCCAGACCTCGATGCACACATGTTTCGCCGATCGACACATCCTCTAATTGTATCGGCTCAAAGTATCAGCCATCGCGCGGACCTTGACACCGCCGTCCCAATCACATCATGGCAAAGTTTCATCGTCTTCCTTTTCCCGATGCTCATCGAGATCCTGATGTCGACGGACGGGTCTTGACAAACCCAACTGCGTGGAATCGAAAAGTCGCATGTTTAGAAATCCGTCACTGAAAAATGAGCCATTGACAGGGCGATGCCAGTCTACGACATGCAGACGTGTATCATGGACGTTAGGGAGGACGGCTTTTCCGCTTCCCCGTACCCTATTGCTTCTTGATTTCATACATCTGGCTCATGCGAGCGAACAACCGTCCGCACGTAGCGCGTCGAGCGTGCAGCAGTGTGTACGGCAAAGCTTAATTGTGACGTAATTGTTGATAACCGATCTCTCCTGCTGCATAGCGACGACGGTGTAGCCATCGAGTCTCGCTATACTTGCGTATTGATCGATACACATGTGCTTGTTCCGTACGGAGCAAGTGTGTCATGGTCTAGCTTTGCCTGAAACCTACACATTGATGCTTTTGATAGGTGCTACTACACCAACCGGACCCATCTCCATACACCACATGCTTTTACTTTTACTTTCCAATACTATGCGAAACGTCGCGGCATCAGATTCTACCAAATACACCTTTGCATTACTTCGATATCCTTTTACCATCGACCGATGCAAGTGACCGGGAACCAATGGGTAGTCTTGGAGTGATCTGAGAAGACGCCGGTGTGAAGCAGTAGCGCTTCTCAAAGCCTAGAGAGAAAGCGGTGTGGTGAAGTATGAGATGTGCTCTTCTCTTGACTTCAGTCAAAACCAACGTGCTAACAATAGCTTTTCGAGCAAATCAAGCAATTTTCAAGTATACATAGGTATACTAACTAACCAAAGTATGAGATATGAAGGTAGAAAAGACTGTAACGATGTAAGATAAAACAGATAGACTATGCTTGCTGTGGCATTTGCTACAATCGATGAACCAAACGGATATGCTCAGTCACCTGTCAATCAATGTACGTGTTTGTGATATATACCTGTATTGCAATCATCGTCCGAGTTCCCAAACAGCGTTGCGCCTACGTCTCAGTATCAAAACGTAATAACGTCAATCCACTATGTTCATCAAGTGGAGTGATGAAAGAGAACTCTCCAAGAGTACTCATGGTCCCCTCGATTCAATTCGAGCAATGTCGGCCCCTAACTCTGTCTTTGGCCATCTAAAACCCTCCCAAGTGAAGGCGAAAGTCATATCCCTGATATAGCTACCTCTCAACTTCCCCGATACGTAGTATATCCAAACGGCCCTAACAGCACCGGCACATGATAATGCTCCCCTTTTGCCTCCTGCCTAACCAAGAATTTGACCTCTACCTCCGGAAAGAAAGTCTTCACTCCCCTCTCCCCGAAATATGCCTCGGTATCAAACGACAGTGTGTACTTCTGGTCGCCTTCTTGTTTGAAGACTTCTTCTAAGCTGGCGGAGGAGAATGGTGAGGAGGGTGTCCAGGAGACGACGCGACCGTCGGTGTTTGTCAGGCCGCTGAATTTTGTAGGGCTTTCTGCGTTTGCTGCTGTAGCGGGATGTAGGGTGAGGGTGACGGGTATGTTTGGGCCGGGGCGACCCAGGGTCGTATCGAGGACATGGCAGGTAATCGGGGGTTTCTTTTCTGTAGACATGCTTGGAGTAGACGTCGAATGCTGAGGTGGCACGGAAAGGTGGTTTGAGAGGGCTTTGATGCGGGCCGATGCGCTGGTGGTGGACATGCGTTGGTCGTGAAGCTATGCAGCTGATCGGGTATGTGAGAGGATGTGGACGTAAATATTCAGAAGACGATTCGAAACCTGAATACTGTGGAAGAGTAGAGCGAGTAATAACAATAGAAGCGACGATTACGAAAAGAAAGACTTGTTGTATCTTTCTGCTGTTGCTCCCATCGCGGTAGCTACCTACAGCTAGCTACCCCTCCAGCCCACTTCGGAGCTCCCCGATGCTGTTCAACGCCCGTTTCTGTATACGCCGGACGCCGCGTACCTGACCAGAACCGCGTCCCGCATACAGATCCACCTTATTCTCGACATGCTCCACATACGTGTCCGGCCGTTAGTAGCACCTGTCTCATCTCTATCTCGTCGTCGTGCTCTAGGTGAATTACAGCGGTAGCTTGCATTACACAACAGTTCTATGCCACCAGTGTACAGGTAGCGCAACATGCGACAATGTATAATAGAAGACAGCTGTGTAGAACACATGTACCAGTGCCGCAGATACAGCCGTCTCACAATGCGGCTGTCTGTGCTTCCGATGCACTTCAGACGCTATATCTAGAACACGTTGAAACATCTCATCAGTCCAAGCTCTATGGTTATCATTTCTACAATCATGTCACTGAAGCAAGTCAACGGAGTTTGATGGTAATGGGGTGGTATCGATATCTTCATTTCAGCCTATCTCCCATCCTGCTTATCCCAATCCTTTCCATCCACGTCGCTTCGCTTGCTCGCTCAGCGCTCGAAATACATACATACAGGAATATAAAACCGTGCGGTGGTCATCGCACTACGTCCGTCAAAGCTAGACGTTAAGTTGAAGACCAACCAGATCATGACAGAAAGATGCTTGGATATCAATGAATGAAAAAAACGAAAGTTAGAGTAATGCATCCGAGATGCCAGATCTCGGGAGTCGTAATGCCCAGATCTTCGATAGAAGAGAATTGTAAGGAAACTGTGATTGCCGCAATGGCTAGATGTCTTTGCAGATTGAACAAAGAACCTCATTTACAACTCGCTCTTGTTGTTATCAGAGAAAGGACTCTGGTCCCTCCTATTTGAGACGGTGCTGCCGCGTTTCGATGCTGACGCTTCCTCTACAATAGGCGTCATCGGTGTGCGCAAGCCTCGCTCAGTATCGTACGAGGTGATACGCTGCGACATCATCGGTCGTGGCGGTTCGAGCGACGAGCTGTCTGTGAAAGGACTTCGGTCCTTGGTAGGTGTGCTATCCTGGAATTCAGTGTATTCTGAATTACGGTCACTGCCCGAGTTACTGCGAAGAAGGGTCTGTCGCGCACGCTTGTGATCATCGTCGGAGTCGTCGCCGGAGTCGGATGCTAAGCTTCCCCTGCGTGCACGCGAGTGCGCAGCGCCGTCATCTGATGAGGCTGTTGAGTAGCCGGTGAGTGGTCGCGCAGAGGGTACGAGGACTTCGGGAGTGTTGACGAGGGTTCGGTCTGCGCTGTTTGTCGAGTTCGAGGAGCTCTTGGGTGGTGTGATGTCGGTGCTCTTCTTCTTGGTGATGTTCAGTGCTCGGACAGGGCCAAGTTGTGCGGTACTTCGGACGGAGTTTGCGGGGCTGATACCAGGCATGTGGATTCGGATGGGCTTTACAGTGTGCTTGGGATCGATTTGAGGTACGGGTGGTGTTTCCATGCTTGGAGTCTCTGCGGGACTATTGGTCGCAGTCGACTTGACGCTGACGACAGCTGCCTTTCCGCGTACGATGGTCTGAGCAGGGAGTGGAGATACGATGGCGTTTTGTCGGTACATGGTCGATGCAACGCTGCCTCGTTGAGCGAGACTTGGGGCGATGCTTGTGCGGCCGGCGGTGCTGGAGGACATCATCGAGTCGCGGAAGTCAGGAACGAAGAAGTGCTGGTCGGCGGTCGAGTACGGGGTGCTCATGCCAGACGAAGGCGACATGGCAGGAATCGGAGGAACGGGCGGAACGAGCAGGTCGGGCGATCCGGGTCCTGAGCGGTTCGTGACACCGGGAATGTAGGCGATTTGGATGATGTTGGAGGCACGGGTAAGGACGGACGAGGCCATCGAGGCAACGGTGTGTGTAGATGCGCGCGCGCTCCGCCGTGACTGGAAGTCGTTGTCCACCTTCTCCTGCTGTGACATGTCCACATCTTGCCATTCACTCTGTTGTGACATTGGCCTCCTCTTGCCCTTCAGACAGTACTTCCATACGACGAATGTGAGAATGGCGATGAAGGCGACGCCTCCAATGACACCTCCGGCTATGGCGCCGACGTTTGGTTTGCTAGGGGCAGCATCGCCTGCAGTGGGGTCGAACTGGCAGCCTACGGAGGCGCACTGGTCGCATGTTCGTGAGTTTTGTACGCAGACCTGGTTGGCAGGACATTTGATGCCCTCGCACGAGAGCGGTGCCTGTTCACATGCAACGCATCGCTTTTCTATCCGGAAGACGTTTTCCGCGTCTGGCATCATGTTAGTTTTCTGTCAGATGCTGTCATGTCGCTGCAGGGTCGCAGATCGTACCTCTGAGCGCACGGATAGACATGGCAACGGTGGTTGGGGTGGTTAGGGGATCAGCAGCCCCAGGTTAAGAAGCAATGTGCGACGCTGTCGGGCTCTGTCTGTGTCGTACTGCGGGAAAAGAGCACGGTGCGACGCTTCTGGGTGTTTTGCGTGTGTCTGGTGACGGGGGATAAGGAAAGAGCGATGCAGCGGACGGCGGTAATAAGGACGAGCGAGCCGGGTGCGAGTGGCGGCAACAACGGTGAGGCGGACAGGAATAAGGCGAGCAGAAGGGTGTATAACGAGTGACTAGGAACAAAGACGGGCTGCGGGCGACGCAACAAAGAAGCAAAAGGCGTGATGCGGCGCAAAGGTGGTGAGGAAACCTGAGGACGAGGGCGCAGTAGCGTGGTAAGATGAGCGTGTGCCGGCCGGCGCCTTTGGTCGGGTTGCGTGTTGGGGGTGGGTCAGGGCCTGGCTCGCTGAGGAAGCCGCGCGTGTTTCGTCCCTTCCCGCTGGGGCCAGAGGATGAGGTGTGCAGGCGGGCGACAATGTCGATGTGCACAGCAAAATGTCCGAAACGCTCTTCTTTTTGTCGTTGCCTCAGGGTAGCGATGGTGTTGCCGCCGACTCGAAGCGTTGCGGAGGGGAACACGACGATATCTACCTGCTCTCTTTGATGCAGCTGACTGGCACCAGAGCCACGGCCGTTCTTGGTCAAGCCGCCCTCGTGGTGCATAACCTTAATCTATTTTTTGCAGCCTTAGCCGTGCCTGCGAACGCCTGCCCCAGCATCAAAGGCCCATATCACCACTTTGCACCACATCACCCGTACTCGTGCGCCTCTCACTTCTTTCACCACGTCTTGCAGAATGCTGCACACACTTGCACCCCATCTGCAGCCGGTGCTGACCGGGACGTCGCTGCTGGCGAGGTACGCGGTCGCTGCCGCTAGCAGAGCCTCCCCCAGCCCTTATTGGCCCTTCGTTCTTGGGTAAATAGCCAACCTGTGCGTCTAGATTCGTCTCTCCGCAGGGCCAATATATCGAGCATCCACCTTATCTCCCACACACGTGCAACGCCTTCACCAACTCATGCTACTGGATACTAATGGCATTTGCTGACCCATTCACGGCGACACCTCAGATTCCGCGCAAGCCACTTTCAAGCCTCAGGATGCATGTATCCTTTCCCACAAACATATCCACCCAGCTGACCGAAAGCTCCACCCGTCTGCAACACTTCCTCTGGTTGAGCACCTGTCAAGCCCATTGCAGCCGCAGGTACCGCAAGAATGCTGCCCGCCCATGTTGCTCGGCAGGCTTGTCGGACTGCTAACATGCATGCGAAACACGACCAACCACGGCCGTCCATTTTTATCCTTTTCTGTGGGGTTATTCCGCATCCGCCCTTTCATTTCCCTTCGCCAACCAGTCAGACCAAGGGGTGCGAAACTTTTGTACCACAGTCTTCTGCTATTGTAATGGCTGTGTTATGGGGTATCCCTTGCACTACCCATCGGTGATTATCTCCCGTTCAACGCTTGCTGATCGCGAACGGTCGAGACCGCTACGATGTGACGCTGAACACTCATGGCAGCTTTGCCGTTGCTGACATCCGAGATTTGCTCGACCATGATATAGGTGTGAAGTAATAACAGTCTTGCTGAAATTTTATCACCACATTAATCTCCCTTTGAGCTGTCTGTCATGTAACGCGTACATTACCCGAATACTACCATACCGGTGCCGCACAAAGTTGTTTGTACCCATGGGTTCCTAGATTGGGTTCTGACAGTGGACGACCTACTTTTGAACTACTTCATGCTTTGCAGGGAACTGAGCTGATCGGCTCTGCGATCTGACCCACTTCGCAGTAACGGCCGAGGCGGTCCGTCACTGGTTCGCAATGCGAAACGGCTATCGGGCCACAGCCAAAGGTTATCACACATCGCTCGCGATCCTCGGGGATGTACTACTTGCACGGCCACCTTCGTCATTTGTCTTAAGGTCGCACCTGCCATACTTCTTTCCATGTTGGTGTCATTCTGGTTCGACATATAGGTTGGCAAAGTGTGTTGATATCAAAGTTTCTCAAAGTTGCTCCACTGCATCGCTGACGATTTCTCTTTGGCCCAGATGATATACATGAGAAGCAAGCCAATTTGATAGGGAGTCTCTGTTCTAGTCAGACGCTAGCTATTTAGAATAGACGTACTTGTGCACCTGTCTGGTTATTGCACGTCATACACCCGATGCCAGTAAGCAAATATGAGAGAAGAAGACGTATATTCGAATCTTCATCAACTCTACCTAGAAGGTTCACAGCCTCAGTGCAGTATCTGTTAGAAGTTTTACCTATTGTCTGATGTATTTTACACGCTAAACCCAACAAATGGATATACAACAGCGACCATACCCCATGGTAGTTCCGGGGGTCGCTCCTCGATTTCGCTAATGGCGTCGAACAACTGGCCCCGCCAGTCCTCGCCAACACAGCACAACCCTCTCTTTCCTTTCAACCAAATGTTGAACCTGTTTAGGGTAAACATGTTGCCTAGAGAAAAATTATCCAGCTTTGGTAGAACATCCTCTGACGAAGCGATAGTGCTGAGAAGATCCATCCACGTAGTAACATCATCAGAGAGACGAATGTTGACCAGACTAAGAGTAGCAAGCGTCTTCTCGGATGGCTGAAGAAAAGCGAGAAGATCTTCCGCCGCCTGTATACGCATAGTCGACAGTTTGCACATCTCCAACTTCTCAAACCGACAATGTCGTGCCATCTCCCCAAAGACATCGCCATCCAAACTGCTATAGCAGCTGAGTTCCAGTCTCTTCACATTCCGCGCCTTGGCCAGGAACCGTACTACAAAAGGTGCGCGTGGAGCCTCCAATTCGAAACCCGAGTGTGAAGACCGCAGATCCCTCAAATGCAACTGCAGCGTACCTAGCTTCTCGAAAGCGTAGTCGAAATGGCGAAGCGAGGGTGCTATATTCTCAAGTCTTCCGATACCCACAGCACCAAATGTTTGCACGCTATCAAGTTTGATGCTGCGAACTTGTATCTTGGACGTCGCGATAGCAGACATGGTGGATACAAAGGGCCGAGACATCTCATGCTGGCTGCTCTTACAGTACCTTGTTGCGAATTTGGCGTACCTATCATCCATGCCTTCATACGCAAAGGTAATGGACTCTAGCTGCTCCAATCTCTTGAAGAGGCTTACTAGGCACTTCCGATCGAACCTCGTTTCGCTGAAGAAGGTAGCTATATCATCTGCTATCTTGCTATCAGCTGCCCACTTTTCTTCCAGACCACGGGTGGCTGATACGACTCCGTAGGGCGTGGATATACCCTGGGTATTTGAGATGTGTGTTTGTGTTTGCCAGAGATGAATCGAGTGGCGAGGTGTGGCGTCTACGATGAGATGTCGCAGGCCGTTGCCAAAGTGTGAGTGTGAAGTCATCTCCTGTAATCTAGAGAATGCTTCTTGAGTCCATTGTAAAGTGTGTTGGTAGAAGAAGCGGTCTTTGAATACATGTGAGGTTTGTTCGCTGAGAGATGAGCTGGTGAGACGGAGGGAACAACTGGTTGGGAGGTCAAGATAGGAGGTTATGTGCTCGATCAGTTCGGTGGGAAGATGTGGTAATGCCATGGATTGGGGTACTGCTTGTTGTAATAGGTCTGGTACTGATAGTGAAGCAATCAACGAACGTTCGTGTAGTATGTGGAGGCAAATAGGCGGGGATCCCGATGCACGTTGACGATGCACTAACCATGTTGGGTCTCGTACATGCATCGATTGGGTATGCACAATGTACTATAGGAAATGCTACTGAACTTCAGGCCAGTACTGTCAGATGCCTTTGGTATTGAAAACTCGGAAGAGAGGCTAACTTCCGAGCACATTTGGTATGTACATGTGCAGCAGCATAAGCAGCACAATGTCATGTCAGCTTCGCGCCTGTCTCCCACAATGATCGAAAAGACAACATTGATGGTACTATCTTCGTTCGTTTCCATCATCCACATCTTCACCTAATCGCTGTCTCCATCGCTATCGCTATCGCTGTCACTGTCGCTGTTGCTGCTCTCTGACGAGCTTCCGGAGCTAGTTGTGCTCTTCGCAGGAAGTTCGTTGTCAGATCCTGACTCTGAGTCGCTGCTAGCTTCAGAGTCAGAGCTATCATCATCGCTACTGTCCGAGCTGCTCTCATCACTAGAGACTTCTGTCCTACGCTTTCTCTTTCGCGCGATCGGTTTCGCTGGCTCAACATGCTCCACCAGCGGATTGATGCTTGACTTCGGATTCACGGCAGGTGACACAGGCGCAGCGCGACCCAAAGCGTTAAGGAGCGCTTCCGCTCGTCGCCTTTGTAGTCGTCGAACAAAGCCAGGGCTGTACTCATGGTTCGCGAGGTCTGTCATGTCGCCCTCTGTCTTCCTCCGTTTCCGCTCCTTAAGAATCCGCTCATGCTCTGCGTCCTCCTGAGCAACCTTCTTAGCATCAGCTTCGTTCATCTGAGCGTCTTGCTCCTCAAGATCTTTGACTGTTGCTCTGCAGCGTTCACGTAAGCGATCGATTACACCAGCTCCCTTTAGACCAGCGACATATTCAACTAAGGCGTCAGTGTGTTCGTTAGGAATGCGGAAGATGTTCAAGGCGTTGTCAACAACGTCGTTCTGTTTCGCTTTGTTGAACTTCCAGTTGTCGCGATCGTTGTAGTACTGTGTAAGGTAGGCAATATATACGGAAGGATCCTTCTTTTTGCCCTTTGGCGCTGGCGCTGGCGCTGGCGTTGAAGTTGTGCTTGCTTCGACAGGCTTGTGTGAAGGCTTTGGTGTTGGTTTCTCTTCAGATGTAGTGTCTGCTGTTTTCGGTTTAGGGGCTTCTTCTGCTTCTGCTTCTGCTTCTGTCGTCGCCTGCTTCTTGTCCAATTGTCCGTTCCTTCTAGCAGTCTTCTCTTCCTCAGCGATCAGCGAGTGTAGAACAAAGTTAGAGACTTCTGGTGGCTGAGAGACGGCTCCAGTTCCTTTCTGATCAGCAACCCAGGCTTTAAAATAGTCCTGACCAGTATTGCCGTCAGACTTTTTGGTGTCCGGAGTAAAGGCGACAGACTTTCTTCGGTCCGTTAATGGGGGTGAACCTGAAGCGTCTTTTCGATTGGATTTCTTGGTGAGCTTCTGCGGTGTCAGGGTTGCGGTGGTGTCGGTGTGATCCAGCTCTGTGGAAGCAAGTAAAGTTGGGTGCGCTGTCGCGTACGCCGGCTCATCTGGTGAGGTAGCGGATCCGTGCTTTGGACGCGCCTGAGGTTGAGAATCACCATCCTGAGAATCATGTTTCTCTCTCCGGCGTTTGACTGGCTTCTCTTTCTTCTTTCGATAATTCGAATCTCCTTTGATTGGCTTGCCTGATGCTGGTGCTTCCTCCATGACAGCATCTCCCTCAGCACCTTGAAGGATTGGAACAACGGGAAGGCTGTGGCTGACGGCTCCGTTCACCTCGCTCTCGGCAACATGGTTCCGGCTCTTCTTAGCATCCTGTTGATGGTCGTCGGCTGGCTCATGTTGGTGTTTCCGCTTGCCAAGCTTTGAGGATTTGCCATTTACGGCAGGCTCATCGGATGGAACAGATGGCTCATGAGACGTCTCATGCGCACTATAGGCTGTAGATGGTTGTGGGTCGGCAGAAGATGTTTGTTGTTCAGGTACGGCGACTCCGGACGAGGTTTGGTTCTTCAGGGCGAGACCTAGTCGCTTCCAAGCGGGAACTCTGGCGCCGTCTTGAGCCATGATCAGATGGGGAATATGGATATCTGTAACATTAGATGCAGAGGTTAAATCGCATCGCGCATGACCGAATCAGCTGAAGTACAACGTCTTGCCAGTATGGAAAGGTCGAATGAGAGGTCGCAGGCAGAGAATTTCGGGGCTGATGCTAGGAAGGCACAGACCAAGTGACGGCGATCCCAGAGCTCCAGGCCACAAGCAACGCGTGTAGTGACAGCCAACGCCGACAACCTCGCCTTCGACCCAGAGACCGCACCCGCCCGCAGAGCTTACGCAGATTACCGCAACCTCGTGCTGAAGCTGAAGACGTCCATTACAAATACCCAACCCCACGACCCGCCATCATGTCTGGTGCGTTGGAAGCTATAACCTGGTGTTTGCCGCATTCATGCTAACAGCTGCCCTCGTCATACAGGAAGCGCAGGCTACGACCGACACATTACCATCTTCTCGGACCAAGGTCGTCTATACCAAGTCGGTACGCACACTCTCGCACACACATACACACATAGCCCCGCGGCTTCACCCATCGAGCACCACTGACACATGCACCAGAGTATGCGTTCAAAGCGATTACGGCAGCAAACATCACATCACTGGGCGTGCGGGGCAAGGACTGTGCAGTAGTCATCTCGCAGAAGAAGGTGCCCGTACGTATGGCAGGTGCCGAGGGCTGCACATGGTACTGACACTTGCACACAGGACAAGCTCATCGACCCGTCCTCCGTGTCCCACATCTTCCGCCTGTCACCCTCAGTTGGCTGTGTCATGACCGGATCCATCGCCGACGCGAGAGCTTCAGTGAGCAGAGCGCGGGGTGAGGCTGCCGAGTTCCGCTACAAGTACGGCTACGAGATGCCCTGCGACGTGCTGGCCAAGAGGATAGCCAACATCAGCCAGGTCTACACACAGCGCGTAAGTCATGACATGGAAGCAAGGTGCGAGTGAATGCTAAGCAAGTGCAGGCTTATATGCGGCCGCTCGGTGTGGCCACGACCCTCATCTCCCTCGACTCGGAATTTGGCCCCCAACTGTACAAGTGCGATCCAGCTGGCTACTACGTAGGATACAAGGCAACAGCCTCTGGCCCAAAGACGCAAGAGGCGCTCAACTTCCTCGAGAAGAAGCTGAAGAACAAGGAGCACGCTGAGGGTAACTGGGAGGAGGTTGTCGAGCTGGCAATCACCGCATTGAGCACTGTCCTGTCGGTCGATTTCAAGAAGAACGAATTGGAGATTGGTATCGTAGGAGGACCCAAGACCAATGGACAGGAGGGCACAGACCCAACCTTCAGGGCGCTGACCGAGGAAGAAATCGATGAGCGACTGCAGTCAATCGCAGACAAGGACTAAGGAGCCACGGCCGTGGGGCTGCAAGGAGGATGTGGGTCGCTGAAGTATGACCGAGACGTGAACCATGACGATAACAACAGGTAGCATGATACGACCTCTCAGACGTCAAAAGTGCTCCAGCAGCACCATGAATGAAGACGTTAGACTGTACTCTCCTGCATAAGCGCAACTGTGAACGAAGCAGCCGAACCGGGGACCAGAAGATGTCGTAAGTTCAGCCATGACTCAACTTGCCCATGACACCAGATTTCCATACCACCTCAGCTGCAACGGTCTGCAACAACTCAGGAACTGTCCCATCGACGTCATACTACTGGCTCCTAGTCGTCGGAGTGCCCAGCATAGCCGTCGCGTGGCTGATCGTGGCTTTCGCGAGCGTTGTTCGTTTGAACGCACAGGTTCAACCCTACGCGGGCACGCACTTTTCACGTTCACACTCAGCGGACGACCACGCGAAGGCCGCACCGCTAATTATAAGCATCAGCCAATCAGAGCGGGTACTGCGGCTGAGATACACGCCTTGGCTTGGCTGCCTTACCCGATGCAGGCTACCAGGGCTTGCTCGCTAAACTACATTGCGCGATGTGGCGCTTCTAGGGCTGCTGAAAAGGTCCAGCACAACGCTGTCCATTCCAGCTGGAGAGCAATGGTAGCGGAGGGTCGAAAATAGGCATGGTTAGACGCAGACGCACGGTTCCTGCATGTTTGGCTATCCCGTTGTAGTGGAGACTGATACAGATGGTCATGTTACTATGCCGATTCTCACACCTCTCCACAAGCCTCCAAGTGCGGGATGCCAGTTTGTGAGTGGTGTATCGAGGTAGGGCCCTAGTACAGCTGGGAGCTACTCGCGGTCCCAAAGTGGAGCTCGTCCTTATGGTAGCGGCGGGAGCAGCCCTGCAGGTATGGCTATTCCTACCCTACGCTATCGAGAGCCTTGCTCATGGACACTACCACCATCATCATCGTGAATACATGTCTTCTACATGCTATATAATACTTGCCACGCCGCCACCCTTCACCATCCATCCACAGCAGCAAGCCTCAGTTCCATTCCATCATCTACAACTTACTTCTTATTAGCCACTTCAACAATCTGTCGCTAGCCGATCTTCATTTCGAAACACCAGAGCCATAATGTCTGACGGTCGTAAGTCTCATCCTGCTCCAGCACGAGATTCTCATCTTTTCAACACCACCAAACCATACTACCATCAAGACTGCGCAGACTGACACCATCACAGTCAACGATGCCCGTGCCATGCGCGTTGCCGAGATCATGACCGACTTCCGCAACCTACAACACTACCTCGTTCAGTTACGCGCCACACCCACTGCGGAAGAGTATTACCTTGAAGGTTACTCCCTGCTCAGACAGTGCACCAGCGAGGCACAGACTATCCTCCAGACACCTTTCTCTGGCAGTGCCAGCTCGGGTTCAGGGGACCCCGAGTCTGAGAAGCAGCAATTGAGGGCGTGAGTCACTCCTTTCTATACCATGTCAAGTTGAGAGAGTGTAGAGAGAGGTTATGCACTGTGTGGAAGAAGAGCTGACAAAGTTCTGCAGTATCATCACAGACGCGGCTGTACGACGCTTTCAATGCCAACGCGCTTACTTACGAGCTCACGCTGGCCTCCGGTGGATGAACAGCCGCAACAGCATCTTACGAGGCCAGAAGCCCAATGCGAGCCATTTGGGTGCGCTTCAGCAGGCTGATGCTACGATGAGGAATGTACGTTAGATGAGCCTTGCGAGTCTTGACAGGATCCTCACTGACAGTTGATTCATAGGAACTACTCGCAATCAGCGATGCCTACGTAGAAAACACGCTGCGTGCTGCGGATGCCGCACAAGGCAAGTGGCTGAACGAGGATCCTTCGCTGGCGCAGATTCAACAGATACTCATGTCCCGACGATGAGCATCCAGACATCGACGACACTACTCGATTGTAAAACGGGCCCGACTGTACGGTACGATCGTTTTACTGGAACGCTTCACGACTACCTCCATCTCTCCATACCGCGGTGAACCCAGTCACCTCTACGTCGTTTTCCATACATTTCTCGTCGGACAGCCCTCCTGTGGCAGGTTATGCTTGCGCGTTCTTCTCGTATGTCCGGGTCACTCGATCACTCCTCCATTTCCAGTGCTGGTCACATTGTTCGGAAAGCACACACTTGTTTCTTTGGGGTAGCCTGGGACGATAGCCTGCTTTAGCGTTGGCGTTGGCGTCTGGAGTTTTTTGGTGCATGGAACAAGTTCCTCTCTTCTGGGAAGTCCAAGCGACTGGTCAGCAAGTCAACAGGTATGCGAAGAATGGCATAGCAAAAGCATGGGAATCTTCGGGGATATATGACCGATGGATCTTTATTGGAGTCTTTCTTTTGTTCTTACCCATTTGCTATCAGTTGCTGCTTTTAGGCTGCATTCCATGTCCTAGTCTCTCTCGAGTTCTTCTATTCTATTCGCCTCTTTGCTTCTTTTCATGTCAATATTATAATTTCTATTGGTATCCCAGCACGTTTGACACCACCTCATAAAGACACACACCCATACTAACCACCCCCTCACCAAGAGTCAGAAGCCGAAGCAAGGGCGACTTGGGTAACTCGAACCAACTGTCTTTAGCGTTACGCACTAACCTTCAGCTTGACAGGCACCTGCGAGTCGAGCTCGTACCATCGAATCCCATACAGCGGAGCCGACCGGTCATGCACGTGGACGACATGCAACGGAGCTTCTACCAAACGGCTGGTCGTAGGGCAGATGCTTAGCGTATGACGTCTGCTACATTACGTCGTAGTAGTAGGGCTGAGCAGTAACGATGACTGTGTGCCAATGCGCTTCACAACGATGCAACCCTCTCAAGCCAAAATGCAACAACGCTGTAGTTGCTACTAGAAACTCCTCATCGATCGCACAAAGCTACCATCATCAGAGACGCCATGCACGATCATGCACCGCCCAGCATCATATCCACCGTTCCAAGCTCCATGCATTCGGCATCGCCTTATCAAACAAGGATTCCGGATATACTGTTCGCTTACGTCGTCTTCCCGCACGCCAGAGCTTGAACAAGACTAGGGGATCGTCGGGGTTCCCGAAGACGGTGGGCTTAGCGTGTCAAGCCACGCTTCGCTACCGAGTGGACGAATATCATGTGCGATAGGTGTTGCGACGCCGATGCACGATGCTAAGCTGCCTATTACTAGAAGGCGGGGTCGATATTCAGAAGAGGGGCACTTGAAGGTGTCGGCGTAGGCGCGGCAAACGACGTGAACCGGCATATCAGGTGCGAAGACGTCCACTTGTTTGGGTATGTATGGGATTTTGAAGTCGATATTGCCGCGTCACCTCCATCTTGCGCTTTTGTCGTGACAAGTTCCTCGTGATTGAGCAGAATCATTTTGGGATTTCTTGCTACCCTTGGCTTCTAATGTTCGCTGTTTGTCATGCTTACTTCGCTCCTCTAAATCACAGCATGACCAGAATGCTGCGTCCCCAGCTTGTGCTTGGCAACGCTCATTCACACTACGTAGAGCAATCTTCCGTGGGAACGATTCATTGACTCTCACGATCCAAGAAGCGCTAATTTTGAGCGAGAGGATACAGATTGTGATATAAGCTGTTGTGGTAGTCTGAACTTCGACGACCCATAGTAAACGCTAAGTAAGCATTTTACCGAACGCGCACCAATTGATCGAAAATCTCCAGCACAACACAAACAAGTACAATATTCGCAATGTCTTCAGAAAAGAGCCACCGCCGTAAGTAAGAACGGCTGCAATGATGTCGTGCACATAGTAACAATGTGTGCAGTATACGTCAAAGCCCGCCATGTCAGCTACCAGCGCGGCAAACGCAACACGAACCCCAACGTGAGCCTCCTCACGCTTGAAGGTGTCGACAACACGCAAGACGCGCAGTGGTACCTCGGCAAGCGCGTCGCGTACGTCTACCGCGTTGCAGGTAGCAAAGAGGATGGTCCTCGCGTGATCTGGGGCAAGATCCGCAGGACACATGGTTTGTACATCTTGTCATGCCAAAGTCACAAATGTTGAGTCAAGAACAGGCAATTCGGGTGTCGTCCGCGCTTCTTTCGCGAACAACCTCCCGCCAAAGTCGTTTGGTGCTAGCCTAAGGGTTATGATGTATCCCAGCTCAGTTTAAGAGTCGATGGATGGACCGGAATAGCATTGGGACGGCGTTGAGGTGATTCGGAACGGCTAAAAGCCATAATGGAGATTGCATTCTACATTTTATATATTATACCCAGCACAATGCAAAAACATTTCAGATTATGGAAGAGTGTGGATGTGGTTGTGTGTATGAGAGCACAACCTTTATGTGAAACGCTGCAAAATCGTCTGCGTTATTATTGCCTTGATGCTCTTCCCGTACTTCTGATGTCCAAAAAATAACTACTCACGATCTACAAGAATGTGCAAAAAAGTTGGTTGGTGCGACACCTGTGTGATTCGAACACACGCTCCCGAAGGAACTGGCTGACTTTCCTGTGAAGGACTAGCAGGCCAGCGCGTTAACCACTCCGCCAAAGTGCCAAGACTTACAGCTGTTGAGCCGCTTGATGACAAATCGAAGAATTTGTAGCTTATTATCCGGCATAACGATGTTGTGGTGCCGTGATCCTGCGTGGGTGCGAGATGCGAGAAAGTGGGTATGTGGGGTATGTGGATGTCTGGCAGCAACGCTACAACTCCGGCACGCGACTCAAATTCAGAATGCGACAACTTCCTCCTGGCGCCCATGTCGTACGTGCGATAAGTTACACTGTGAGAGACGAGGTGAAAAATTGGTTACTGCTCTCTCAGTGCCGCTGGGATAGACTAGGCCTTAGTGCGTTAGGACCATTGCAAAAAACCAAGGTTGTAGGTTTTCGGCGAGACACCAACGAAAAGATCAACCAGACAATTTTCAGATTTTTGCAATGTCGCAAGCGGTCAGACCGGGTTTCCTCGACGTAGTCACTCTCAAATCACTCTGAGTAGTGTTATGCGTAGGGACCGCATCCAGGAGTAGCCTCGTGCAATCATGAGCCAGGGCCAGATCTTGAGATCTGTACTGGCGTAGGCGATCTCAGCTAGACATACCTATGCGCTGTTTCAGGTCGTGATGTGACGGATGCTGCGTTGTTTTGTGACGACACTTCACCAGCCTCTGGCTCGCTTACATGCAGACCAATCACACGCCCCTCGTCCCTGCGTCCTGGAAGCGGCTCACGCTCCGCCTCATCACTACAACTCAACAGTTCAACAACACCTGGTTTGTCCTTGTTTTCTTTCATTGCGTGTGTGTACGTGAAGAGTCAGATGTGCGACGTGGCACCAATCCGTTCCTCCAGCTTCCTTTCGCCAAGATAGTCGTTGCATACATGACGGACCGGGTGCCCAAGTGCTGGGCAACACTCTTAGTTCACATTTCCGCTCACCAAACTCCCTCACCCTGGTCGTCTGGCGAGGCAAGAAGACAAGACGCGGATAATCAACCGCCAAGATCAATACAACAAGACTGAAATCACATCAGAAATAGCCCCCAGACCGCCTCCCTGTAAGAAGATATCGCTATACCCCCATACGCCCAGAGCGATAGCCTTCAGACCTCGTCTATCCTGCAAAATGGCTGTTTTACCCCAAAGAAAGTTCAACTTTAGACGGATACACACTCATTTGTGGACGCATTGGCAAATACGATGAACAAAAAGACCCTTTTGTGTTGGGACTAGAATACATTTTGCTGCGCTCCTCCAACAGTAAAGTGGTGGCTAGTGTGTTATCCATTCTGACAAGACCGAAGACGCCAAACCGAAATACCGAGACTTCATATAAATCCGTATACCATAAACTCGTCGACTCGTTTCCGCCCTGGGAAGACATGCACGCTAAAAAAAATACTTGACGAAAAGAGATTGAACGTATAATACGTGGAACTATGGGTATAGGGCGAATGCTCTTCGAACTCCTAGACCGGGAACTGAAGCGAAATCCACAGCTGTGTTCTCTGCCGCGGTCATGTACTCCGTCGTATCCGTTGATTTATTGGGATAGGTGCGTTTACGAAGACATTAGACTCGTCGGCGATGCGAGACTGTTTCTCTTCGTATTCTAAAGAAGACAACTTTAGGTCGTCGATTTGTGCCTGCTGAGTTAGCCTCCAAGCATAGTGTCATAGTAGAGTCAAGCTACCTTGGTCAATGGTGGTCCAATAGTGGTTATCAGAAACCCGTCGCGTCCCTGGAAGGTGTATGGTCGAACGATTGCATCCGGGCCGCAATGGTAGCGTATTTCGCTCTGGATAACAGCTCTCGAGATGCCGAAGCCTGGAACAAAGTACGAGTTGGGAACAGCCATGATGTTTATGTTGGAGCAATCACGTCGACAGGGTATCTGTTAGGTGGATTATGTGTTCGTGCGCTGGGAGATGATCGTAAGGTTGGGCACGCAGAAAACTTATACATCTGACCGACAGCCTTGCGACTGGCTAATCGGTTGCATACATTCTGTCTACACCGGTTCCAGTCCGGATGAGGATGCGATGCATCGGCTGCGATTAAGTCCCTCCGTTGGGCGTGGACGCGCACTGACGTTCGCCTCATTGTTCGCCTCAGAAGCCCAATCACCGCCATTGGGCAGCGACGAAGGCCGGGTCACACAACACCCTTCAAGGTTGACCATTCATAATATTTCCGCTGCATTGTTTGGTATATCTGCTACTCTTGGAAGGACTATGGCCGTTTCGATATGCTTCACATCTCGGCGCTAATATCTGAAGCGGCCAACACAGCTGCCACGTCTACAGAGTGGTGTTCTGTCAGGACGACTACGGATGTTTAAAGACGATCTCTTTGCCACCATACTCTCTGGCGAGTTCTGTAATGGGTCATTTCCTCTACACCCTTCCGCAGAGATCCAAGTCAGCCGGCTGATATTGTTCCTTCAAGTGCAACGGACTTCACACGAGAGACACCCTGGCGGAGACCCCCAATGCCGATCCATACCCCGGCTGAGCTTCCACGATAGGTGACACCCAGTCACCCCACGGTAATCGCACTGCATGAAAAAAAGTATCTCGGTGTCTAAAGTTGGGTCAAAGTAGCTTCACCGCTAGATCCGTTAAGCGAAGGATGCGATCGCGTCAGGGAGATCCCTCCAGGCACGCGACGCACTGGGTATGAATGCATCAAGCTACGAGCATGTCCCAAGTTCCATATATTCCAAGATCCGAGCCGAGACCCCACAGAACTCACCCTATGTATCTTAGTTGACGCAACGACGGTACCCGAGCAATTGGGCTTCTTCTACCGCAGACGGACTAAGCGCCAGCACGATGTGGCGAGTATACTATAACTAACTGTGAGGCAAGCCTGGTCTACCCCGCTTGTCATCAATGACCTACTTTGGTGCTACTGGAAGGGCGGATAGATTACGGCATGTACCATCAATGGTGAGAGGGACGTGGTCGACAATGCCCTTCGTTATCGCCTCGAATGTGAAGCTGTCCTGTCTGAGGTGTTCATGGGCTTTGTTCACTTCGGCATAGATCATCTCTCACACCCAACAAACCTAAGTCGAGCGCGAATCATTCCTCGAAAACATGGGATCGTCTTCTGAGCTCCATCGTAACGGCGGTCTCGGCTCTGAAACCGCCGCATGAGTCGTGTACACGTGTGCGACTACACGAACATGTGCCCAATGCCCAACATCCAAGCGTCCAGGTTCGATTACAACAATAAGCATCGCATTCTTATAGCAAGCCTAGCTACACTACAACAAACTATGCACCGGACTACCCCGCAGATTGTATCATGCAGTCCCCCCCATACGCCAGCTCACCTTGCATCCGTCGTCAAGAGAACGCCATCACAATACCTTATCCTACGTCATGTCCTTCGATGAATGAGACAAAACGATGCAGTGTGGGCTGTGATTTGGGAAGGAGAACCTGGTTTCCGGCCTCTCTGCGGGCACACAAGGTACCCTTGCGACCACGAATGCGTAATCACGCCATAGTTGAGTCGGTGCCCCCATTTCACCGACCTCATTGGAAGAAAGCGGAAGATGGCGCAGCCCGAGGTACTCCGCACCTAATACAATATTGGAAAGCGTCTACCTACCATAACTATTCAGAAGCGCACAGGGGACTTTCAAGCGGCCTGCGAGTGCTGCAACTAGTGTCAAGGGAAAGCACAGTCAGGTACGGAAGATCGTTGTAGGACTCTACATGCAAGGTACGGCGACCACTTTCAGCCAGGAACTACGTTTGTATCCAGGTGTTAGTTTCCTCAGACTCAACGACTCGTCATAGACTTTGAAAGCACAATTCTGAGAAGCCGTCTTGCTATCTCTTGGTCATAATGCGATTGGCCTCGAGCAGCTGTGTGGCAGTCGGTACGAAGAGCTTGCTCACCGGATATCGACAAGGCTCAATCTCTTTGTGGTTGTTGGAGATGATACCCTTGGCAACATCATCTATCTCCCTGTAGCCAGCTAGCCACTGTACAAGCATGTGCTGGCTGAAGTCCATGACTCTCACCGGAGCGCTACTAGATCGGCTGATGGTCCTTCGAAAGGAGCACTCCTATCGGCTGCCCGCGCACTGGAGACGGAGGGCCATTAGCCATCGCCATCTGCGACCTTCCTGACACCAATTTTCAGATCAACATACAAAGTACAATCCAGTGAAGTCGGAAATGCAATATGCATGGGACAACACACTGTCAAAGCAACACTCAACCTAGTCTAATGATGTGCAATCATCCTCTGTTCGACTTGTTAGAGACAGCCACCAGTACACAAGTCAGCAAGACTGCAGGTGGAACTTTTGGCATCACTTGTGCCACCGTCTTGAATGTGCTGTCATCTAGACCTTCTTTGAGCAAGGGAATCCTTTCAAACGAGAACTGTTTCAGGACAGTCACTCACGTCAGCTTCATTCATACCTCCACACCGCTGCCCTAATTCGGAGACCGAGATCCCACAGCCGCAAAGGCCTACGCATGACATACGCTTCATCCTGGGAGTGAATACGACTGGTCTATCGTTGACTAACAAAGGGCTGCTAAGTCCACAAGACTTAGGGGGCTTGGTAGTAGACACGGGGTTCATCCGTTCGTGTCGATAGGGAGACAACAAGACGGCAATACCGTTCGCGTCCGCCTCATCGAGCTACACAGGTTTAGTTCGCGACCCCCGAAAAGAACATCATTTATGGATCCAGTAACGGTATGTTGAGCGTGAACCGTTGATCTCGTGTGCCACGTCAACTACTCTGGTTGATGCGCGGTTACCTTTGCTAATCCCCGATGTAATGCATACGGCACATCGTTCGCGACTCTGCCTAGGATCCACTGCCTAGCCAATGGTCTCCAGAATCTTCTGTGAGCAGTTCTTCACAACGAGCGCTATCTGAAAAGTGAGGCTTTACAATTTCCGAAAATGTATTCATGTTTGCCGATCCGATTACGCCCAGGGCACGAATCGCTTCAACACGCGGCTACGCTCCCGAGCCGAACAACGTGTCTCTGTAGAGACGACAAAATTGAATAAATGTGTGTAATTGATTGTTCTCGAAGCAGGGCGACCAATAGCTGTCGCGGTGAATAGTCAAGCATTCTGAGTGTCGATCTTTAGAGATTGGCGAACCGACCCACTTCACTTTGCTTGTTGCGGCGTCGGACATGTGAGCCTCACAAAAACCTCGGCAAGCTCCTTAGACATCACGATGTGGAGCTGACCCGACCTCTTTCCAATTTTCAAAGGTGGCATTTCTATACTCGAACAAGAAACATGCAAAGATGGAGACACTCTGTCTTGGATGTTGTACTGACATTCTCTAGATGAGATAGTACTACGCTTGACATGTCAACCTTCTCCACACCGTTTTTCCAAGCTTACTTGGTCTTCATGGGTCCATGAGGGGTACGGATGATAACGTTCCCTTTCCCCGTTCCCATGGGACGTGAAGGTATTGTACTATGAGATCGTACATTGCATCACTTCTAACGATCAATAAACTGCACGATACTGAAACAGCCTTCTTCGCATCCGATCTGAGCACAAAAGACTCGTACTGACTTGGACTCGATAAGCCTCTTCATCGATGAAGACAACCTCGTTGTCCCAAGTCCTCAAAACGAGCCATGTTATAAATCGCAATTAGTCGCCACAGCAGTTTGCAATCTCGCAAACACGGCGAAAATACGCCGTTCATCGAATGATTCACAGGGCCACCGATTATTCCCAGCATACACGGGGGAAGCGTGTAGTTTATACAACTATCTGGAAGATGCAAGGCGGTCGAAGCAATACGAACGATGTGTCCACACCAGATTGGCTATGCTTCAACCAAGACAAAACAGCAGGCTGAGTAGCTGTAGGGCTCTTATCGGACGTCTGGATTCTCTCGAAGCAGCAGCTGGCACAGCGATGGATGCTGTGGATCTTGACGAAGCGGACGTCTGCCCTGTACTGGTAGCTAGTCTTCTCCCCGCCTCACCATCACTTTTACCTTATTGTCGGCAGACTTATTTTCGGCAACGATATTGGTAACATCGATCTCATCCTTAAGATCCTCTTCGGCCTTGCGCTTGTCGACTACCATGGGTTCATCGTGACCCTCAAGTAGCCCTTCCGTTGTCAACATCCTGTCGGTTTCGGATAGGCTTGCAACATTCTTAGCACAGGGAGGGCCTTCAGGGTCATGTATGGTTCTTCCTAGAGTATACACGAGATTGTCGTTCATTTCTCTTAAGTCTGAGTTGTTGCTGCTATACATGTCCATCTCTTCCTCTTCTTCCTCAACAGAGTTTGGACCAGGAAAGGTGTTATCATCAGCCAGGACAATTTGGCCACCTTGTTTCTGTCGACAACTTCCATGGCGAATTCGGTGCCCTCCAGAACCCTGCCCTCATTGTCCAACTCACAGAGCATATCCTATGCGGCCTCAGGAAACCTCGCCTGCATTAAGCTGTAATGAGGCACCACGTTGCCATATCCTGGACACGACTGTCTTGTAGACGCCGGTCCTGGAAGACATTTCGCGCAGCCTGTGCAGCATGTCGTGTTGGACGACATGTTGGTGCTTGCGCGCGCCGGTAAATTAGAGTCAAAGGGCGTGATACAGGTAGACGTAGCTTGCCATGTACGGCAGATTGAAGAATATCGGCCTCATTGTCTTGACGTATAATGTGATGTTGGTGCGTTTTGATGGCACCAGACCGGCATCTCGATCGTATGTTCTGACTTGAGTACTAGATCGGGACACAGGAACACTTTGGTTGCCTAGCCCAAACAACTGTTTAGAACGATGTGGGATCCCGGGACTTGCAAAATGATCTCATGGAAACATTCAAGGTACCCTGGTGCTTCAGACCTTTTCTTTTCATCACCTGCTTTTTAGCCTCGATGTCAAGATGTTGGACTGACATCACCATCGAACGCATGCTTAAATCGAAAACGCATACGAGTTTCTCAATCACTATTAAGACTATTTCAAAACACGCTACCGTTAAAAACAAGCAAGCAACGCAATTACCAAACTCAAATGCGCGCCTAGTCCGACCACAAGGGCCGTGAGGGGTATACAGCAATCGTGAATCATCCATTTTTTGTGCCCCTGGAGAACGCCAACAAGAAAATGCATCTTCCATCCCATCAGTGGTTCTAACACCGAAGAAAACAACGCATGGCTATGCAAACACAAGAGAACGCAATACAGTGATGAAAGTTGCCCGTAGGCGAGGAGTCTGACTCCAGCCAATCGTATTGGATTCATAGAAAGGATAAGAAGCGCCGTGACAATGCAATAAGAACGATATTTTTAAGGGGAAGTAGGGCTCGGCTCCTCCTCATCTGATTCGTAGGTGATGATAGGAGTTTGCCATTCGACGGTGAGCTTTTGTTGGTACTCTTGACTGTTAATGAGCTCGTCGAAAGCGGCTTGGCATTCATCGTCAAGTTCAATCATCTCCGCTACAGGCATGTCGTCCAGTATGTTAGCCATGGTAGCCGCAGAAGCAGCCATCTGTGCGGGAGTGGCGGCAAGAAGCGACTCATTACCAGCTTCAGAAAGAACGCTCGGTGAAGGGTAGGTCGCCTCTCGGAGACGAGAAGGCTTAGCAGGTGTGTGCTTCATGAGTCTCTGGCGCTGGCGCTCAATCTCATCTCCTGGCTGCTGACGGGTCGGGGTGGGAGGCGCATCGTCTGTAGACCCTCCTGGTAGTGGGGCGTGCGCAGGAACGGGGGCTGGTGGTGGTGGTTGGGTCCAGACTGGAGTAGCCTCGGTATCAGATGTCTCGCTGCCCATTGTTGAATCTTCTTCATCAGAGTCATCAGGAACGCTGAATGAACCCATGTTAGGGTTATGAGTGTGGGCGCCCTCAGTAGTCTCCTTGGTCGCAACTTTGAGAATCTCGCGGTCTTTCTCACGGATCTCTGCCGCGGTATCGTGTCCTTGCAATTCGCTGAAGATGTTACCGCCGGTGTTGTGTGACATGGAGTTGGAGAACATGGGTGAGGGGTCAATTGAACGACGGGGGTGGAAGTCGCGGATGGAGGCAGACTGGCCATGGCTATCAAAAAGATTAGGAGAAGCACGCGCGCTGTTGCTGGCGGCGAACTGCTCGTCAATGGTGGGAACTTCGTCATCGGTAATAGTGACATCGTGAGTCTTCTTGTGCTTTTTGGCGGCATGCTCTTCTTCCTCGGCTACAATGTCCATGTAGACGGCCCAGACTGGTACTTCATCTTCATCGTCCAGATCGCCAAGGGGGTCGCCAAAGCCAGTCTCCCAAGGCTTGGCTGAAGGGAAGTTTGACAGGTCCTTGCATAGGACTGGTGTCTCGAGACGCTTACGCTTCTCGCGGAAAGCGGGATCGTTCCTCAATGTGGGGATGATTTGCTTGGCCCACTCTTCTGCTTTCTGTTTGTCCTCACGGTCGATGCCTCTAAGTAGAAGATTCATCAACGGGTTGGTGGGCACACGCCTCTTTCTTGGTGTCTTGACGCGCTCGCCAACAGGTGTGGGTGGGAGTGATAGGGTCTCAGTAATTGTGTCCTGAGGTGGTAGAGGTTTTGTGACGGTGGGTGAAGCGACCTCGGGGGTTGGGGGTGGTTTGGGGGTCGAGGAGAAGAGTTTGGATTTTAAGGCGGAGAATGACCTGCTGAAGATATTGGATGGTGTCGCGACGGGGCGATCAGGAGTTGCTGAGACCTCCTGAAAGGTTCTCTTGACAGACTGTTGTGGTGAAGGTTCCATAGCAACGTCATTGTCTTCAAATGTTTCACTGTCGTTGCTTGGTGGCTCGATACGTCGGGTCTCCTTGGCGTTGCTCTCGATCTTGTGGAGGAGCGCCAGAGCTTCCTCATTGCCGTTTACAAACACACCCTGTGCTGGAGATGACTCGCTGATTCCTACTAGTTCACTGTCGAATTCTGCGTAGTTAACGTTAGCCGGGAACCGTAGCTATGACGTGAGAGGTTTCGCAAACTTGTATGCAAACGCGTATTTTCCATGCGCAGACGGAGGTTCTCGCTCTCATACTCGGCCATCTGCTGATCTTTCTGATGCAACATCTCGGCGAGATTCTGGTTGCGAGCCTCAAGGTCTGTCACACGCGCGCGGAGGTGGTAAGTCTCCCTGAGCTGCGCCGCGTTCTCCTCTTTGAGAATCTCATTGTCGATCGCGTGTTCTGGGGGTGGGTTGCTGTAGAGAAAACGGTGCTTACTTTTGGTGAAGAAGAGGCCCACGCCATCTTCGTTATCGGCAGCAGCCTCGTCTTCGCTGCTCTCAACAGTCGTAGCCGCCAGCTTGGCAGCAACTGCTTTTCGCTTCTGACTGGTGGCCTTCTGCCGGGCTGTACCGCGAGCCTGCTTCGCAGGTTTTGTCTGTTCTAGACTGCGCTGTGGTGAGGCCTCTACGCCTGCTGCTTTCAATTCTGCGCGAGCGGCTCTGGTGAGCTTCTTGGCCACGACGGGAGCTTTTGCCGTGGTGGTGGTTGTGGATGATGTGGTTGTTGTCGCAGTGACTTGGGGCGCGGCATTTGCGCGTGACGTAGCGCGACTCTTTGTGACTGTCTGCTGCGACTCCGTCACGGTCTGCGACTCGACCTTGGCAGCCTTGGGCTTGCGGCCCGGCTTCTTCTTGGGTGCCGTCTCTGGAGCAGGCGATGCCGACTGTGAGCTTTGCCTTGATGCGGACTGCGAGGACTCGGTAACTGCGGCGGCGGCGGTGCGACGCGTAGTGCGCCGTGTAGTGGTAGACATTGTGCCTTGATGGGGTCAGCAAGAGCGATGCGCAGCAGCAGCGGGGACGTACGGGGCAGTTGCGATGCAATTGCCAGGAAGCAGTAGATGATCTGATGCCAGATGCGACTGCGTGGGGGAGTTGGGATGGTTGTGGTGTTGGGGTGTGTGTTGGCAGAGGAAGTTGCAATGGAGTTAAGAAAGTTGTCACTGCACCTCCGGCCATTGGGGCTAGCGCGTCACCCCGGCTCGAATCAGGCGCGACACGGGCCACGCCTTGGCATGACGACCAAGCTGGAGCTCTTTGCCTGCGACAGTCGACAGCAGTCAGCATCAGCATCATGGAGGGCCTTTACTACAACGTCAAATACGGGTACGAGACACGCCGCTGACCTGTTCCTGTCCACGTCTAACCAGTTGCCGCAGCTACATCGAGGGCATCGTGCGCGGTTACCGCAATGCACTGCTCACCAGCCAGAACTACAGCAACTTGACCCAGTGCGAAACCATCGACGGTACATCACAGCCAGTCGCCGCTGCCTTGGGACCCTCGCTAATCATGTTGTAGATGTCAAGCTGCAGCTCTCGCCCGCGTACGGCGACTTCCTCAACTCATTGCCCCCGAACCCGTCGACGTCTGCCCTCGCCGCAAAGACCACCGACAAGCTCGTGGCCGAGTTCCGCTATCTCCAGGCCAACGCTACCGGCTCGCTCTCCAAGTTCATGGAATACCTCACGTACGGCTACATGATCGACAACGTCGCGCTGCTGATTACCGGCACGCTGCACGAGAGGGATACGCGAGAGCTGCTCGAGAGGTGCCACCCACTCGGCTGGTTCGAGACCATGCCGGTGCTGTGCGTGGCGACCAACATCGAGGAGCTATACAACTCGGTTCTGATCGAGACGCCGCTCGCACCCTACTTCAAGGGCTCGCTCAGCCACCAGGATCTCGATGAACTCAACATTGAGATTATCCGCAACACCCTGTACAAGAACTACCTCGAGGACTTTCACCAGTGGATCAACTCTTGCTCTGACATCGCCGGAACACCCACGTCAGACGTCATGTCCGAGGTCTTGGAGTTCGAGGCCGACCGCAGGAGCATCAACATCTCCCTGAACTCGTTCGGCACAGAGCTTTCCAAGGCAGACAGGAAGAAGTTGTACCCAGCTTTTGGCAAGCTGTACCCAGAAGGCACTTTGATGCTATCGAGAGCAGATGATGTCGAGGGTGTGCGTATTGCCGTTGAGAGCGTCGCCGACTACAAGATGTTCTTCGACCAGACCGGTCTCAGTGGAGGTGGCGGTGGCGGCGTAGGCAACATGGCTGGTGGTGTTGGTGGTGAGACGAGGAGTTTAGAGGACCTCTTTTACCAGAAGGAGATGGAGATCTCCAAGCTCGCATTCACCCACCAATTCACCCACGCCATTGTCTACGCATGGGTAAAGCTGCGCGAGCAGGTATGTTGCCAAATCTCACCATGAAGAGAACATGCCGACTAACATGATCTACAGGAAATCCGTAACATCACATGGATAGCCGAGTGCATTGCGCAGAACCAGAAGGAGCGCATTGGCAACTACATCAGCGTCTTCTAGGTGTACGCATCATTGTAGTAATAGCATGTTTGGGTCCAAGTAAGGAATATCTTGGCTGGCGTTAGGGTACGGTTCGTATATCCAACTTTGTTAGATTGCATATCTTCTCACATGTGTCTTCTGTCTTCGTCGCTGTTCCCGTTCTGTGTCAGATGTTAGGAGACCTGTTCTGTACTTTCACCGCCTCAAGTATCGTCTTGCCCTCGTCATTGTCACCAGCTAACATACAGCAATTCATCACCGTGTCCCAATCTTGATAGCAACCCAGACATCTGTGTGATATGGAGTACTCGCAGATTCGGTTTAGTCAGACCTACAGCATCCAAGTCTGATATTTTGATCAACAATTCAGCTTACAATCGCTCTTATGTCATAGTGGTCGTATAATAATTGTCATTGGTCATACTTGGAATCAATAATCGACTCCAACGAGACCCCCGCAAAACAGATATCAGCATGTCATAGTCTGTACGACACATGTGAAGAGTAGAAGAAACATGTGAATGCTCCAAGCCCTAGCCCTAAGAGAGCACGTGAGGTCATCAAGAGCGTCGAAGCAGGAACCATATGTATGGATTCGAAAAAAGGTCCTTTCGATAGCCTATAAAACATGGTATATTTCTTAAAGCATTAGATCAAGTATATCAATACGAATAATCAGTTGGCAAGCAAAGGGGCAACCAACTCAGCTACCGATGGGGCGGGTGTTACAAAGAACGATGATCATGAGAATAGTCAAGAGACTAGAAACGATCATGAGTAGGTCAACAACGGAGAGGGCGAGAGTGAGGAGGCTGACAATCGCTGCAAAGAGCGGCTCACGCCTTCACTGATCAGTGCAGCATGTTCATCGTAGGCTCAGGACGATCAGCACATTATCCAGACAGAAGCCACCCTCGCTGACGACGATGTCAACACATTAGCCGTGATCCGAGACTATCTTGAGAGGTTTCAACCAAGCATAGTTCTAGTAGGTCGTACTAGCCCTTCGCAGCCATCCTCTTCTTAACCCAAGTGCCCATATGCCGAATGAGGCTGGGACCGACATCTAAACGTAGTCGTGGTCAAAGTTTAGATGCAGCTGTCGTAAAGGAGGCCTAAGGGTCAGTTTCGTGCAGGAGGAGAAATTGCAGAATGCAGTGATCCTCAGAAAAAGTAAACTGGCATGGAACCTTGTGGGGACGTAAGAAGAAAGTATGTAGCCTTGCGTCTAAGGTAATCTGATCGACGTCTTCGCTTCAACGCTAGCATGTTTGAGGCAAGTCAGCTCGTGTTGGGGTAAATAGTGTTCGAGGGTCTACTGAAGTTGGTGTGGACCCTAGTTGTGGAAAAGGAAAACAATGGCGAGTGTGCATGTGCGTCATGGCGCTAAGGTGTGACAAAGCTCACGACGGTGTATGCACTTCGCTCATCCTTATTCATACTGCTGCGTTGCGCGTACACCGCTTTCAGGCAAGACCGTAGTGATGGAGTTCGTCCTAGTATTCCTAGACTCGCTCTTAGGTTGCCTGAAATGCATGTTTCTTGCTGACCACTGACTTGGATGAACAACAGCTCTAACTCCACATTTAGAAGCTTCCTAAGGGGTCTTATCAGCGAGGTTAACACGACGAGCAACTCTCGTCATCCTCCGTCATTTGGCGGATACATTATCTCCGAAGAAAAGAAGTGCTTAGGTGCGAGGGAGGGTGGTATGGTACTGCCGAACCGAAGTATGAAGCCCCTAAGAACTACCGCTTTGCAAAACGAATGCCAAACGGCCAGCTAAGGGTTGTTTTCAAGGGATGGTACCCGCCATCGTGTCTCCAGCGTGCAGAAGTTGGCAGTGTTGCGAAAGCCACGCGTGTTCAGGTCACCAAGTTTATTTTCATATCACCAAGTTTATTTTCATGTCTGTCAAACTTCGTGAGGACATGGCTCATTCTTGTGGGCCTTACTACTCAAATTTGTACGCTTACTCATGCCTCAGTATCTTCTCGTCTCTACTTTAACTGTAGTTTCAGTCTTGGAAACATAAACTCCACGATCTCTAGAGGTCACACACTTGTCTCTATATCGCGAGCTTCATTTTCAGGTACCGAGGCGCAGGTCATGTTTGCTTGTCTGAACAACAACGTGAAAAAAAGGTCAAAATAGACCCTGAGCTGAAGAGAACTCGGGGTTAGCGAGCATTCGCTACGTGTATACATGTGCTCCATGCGAGTCACACACAGTTCATCTGAAAGTCATACCACCGGAATCGAAAACATCCACCATCATTCGCTAACTGCAGCGCACAGTACCATGCGTTCTAGAGGAAAAAAGAAGACAGACACCGCAAGAGCCTCCTCCAAGCCTAGAACGAAATTTTACAGTTTTACCCTGAATTAAACGTCGTACCATGGATGTGCCGAAAAGAAAAGAACAACAGCCGATGGCTTGCAACGGGGACGCAAGAGGGCAGTGCGAGGTAAGTCGTTCGCAGCGAATGTTTCAACACACGAAACAACAGTAAGTCCAGCCTCACGGTCTTCACCGTTTTTTATTCCGATCTCGAACCCTGAATATGCTAACCTGAAGATCGGGCGAGTATGAATGCAAGGCGAACTCAACCTCTCCCCACAGCGACGATAGCAAGTATACTTGTGAAACAGATGGCCGCATCAATGACCCTGGACCCTAGCTACTGCTACTATACTCAGGGCTTCGCCATAGAGTTCAGTTTCAATACCTGTTACCACTAGTAGTCCCATGCCTCAGCCGACAATCACCGACCCTCAGCACCTTGCCTTCCCGTCTCTATCTTCATCCCTTCCGCTGAAACCACCCCGCGACCACTCCGCACGTGCAGTCCAACCTAGTCTCGCCATGCATTCCCGGTCCATTTTCCCTCGCTTACGGCCCAAGCTCTCCTCCCACCACCTACTATTCTTCCTCGTCTCGTACGTAACCCACCTTGACCACGAAGCTACTTGGCCCGAGCCTGTCTATGTATGGGACCCGGTCCAGAAAGATTACCAGAGCGCATACCGAGTATCCGAGACTATACAGGAGTGGTAAAATAGACGAGGGAAAGCGAACCATGGTGCGGAATGGGCAATATGTCAGGTAACCGAGTGTATGATTTGAGGATGTGCACAGAATGAACTACACGGGTGAGAATGAGATATGGGACTATCTAGGTGTGATGTTCAGTGAGCTACTTTTCTTTGTTGTACTACAGAATCGACTTATCCTGCTCAATCAGCAGGCAGGCGCACGAAGATAGTCGAAGCGGTGTTGAATTCATGTTCCAAACGGATAGTATGAACTCAAATTAGCGCGCACCTACTCCCGCTGTTGTGAACCTACCTAGATACCAAACCTGACTATTACGGGAGAACTTTGGCAGTAAATGCGCGATGTGCAGTCCGCCGAAGAAGAACTGAGGAAGGAAGAGAAGAAGGTGAGCGAAAAGATCAAGCGTGGTCTTTGCGAATTTTCGTGGTCGCAAGCTGAATAGTGTCGCAGGATTCCGAAGTTGGTCGACGTGGCGTGACCATGGTCTCCCGGCTAAATGTCATATTGGCCTACTTCATGGTTGTGATCCCAAGAGTCACTCCACTCAACACCATGGTAACGCCACCTCACAAATGGCTCACACATCTCCCCATGGGGATACAAGTAATCCTGATAAAATGTTTTCCACGTTTTCAGACTTGATATATAAATCTACCTTGTCATGCATCTAATCTCATCTGGTCTTCAATCTGCTAACAAGAAGTCAATACAAACTCGTTGCTCTACACAATACCGTACCAATCTTTCAAGTTCAGCACAGACACGATGCAGTACCACTTCCACATTCCACATCCGCACTTACGCATGCCACATGCACATCTGCATATTAGACAACACTTGGATAGGTGGCTAGCTGATGTCGCCGAAGTGTACGGCCGTGCTGCTTGAACAACCAGAGCAGCAGCGAAACCGAGGTAATGCGCAAGGCAGGTAGGTAATAAGTAAAACTCTCATGTAGCTGCGACACGTACTAATTTCTCGCGATAGAAGTGAGACGGGAGATGTAAGGTTGTGTGTTGTTAATGAAGCGAGGACCGGCGTATGGAGTTCAGTTCTTGGGATAACCTGGCTAAACTGGGTAGTTTGAATCTATATCCATGTTGACAAGATTTGATATTTGCGAATGTAAAGACCGGCTCTAGATTCATCCGACCTTGCTTTCTTGTCAGCTCATCTCGCGATTTCAAACAGCGCACAAGGCACCGATTTTAACAGGAAACATGAAGATGTTGGGATCGAACGCATAGCATCTAGGCCCAACTCACCTTGTGCGCTCAAATGCAATTACTCGACAGAGAAGAAAAAGGTCCGATGAGAGCGCAGCGGCAGAATCCAGACTGCCGAAGGAAAGTGGAAGAAAAACAACCGTCCACCGAATACTCACCGAGTCGCGAATGGCGGTGGTGGTAGCATGCGCCACAGCTCCCATTATACTTTTTGTTCCTAAGACCCAGGCTTCGATCCGTAGATCCACCGAGCCTCATCATCGGGCAGAAGGCATGCAGTGGGAGAAGAGCCGAAACATATGTACAGTCGCACAAATCTCCACTCTGCTCCTCTAAGGGGGCCCAAACTCTTTCTCTTTACAGACGGGTACGACGTCACACATAGATTTGCGCTACCGGTGGATCTGGCCGGCGACCAGGCAGGCGGGTCAAGAGGCAGGGCGGCTATTCTCATCACGATATCTGTGTATTGGACTGGGGGTGAAATCCTGCATCCCACTATAATCCGCTCCTGATCTGTCGTCGGCGATCTAGAAGTCCGCGGAGTTGGATGATCCGGACTGGGGTATCGAGTCAGTTGAGATGGGAAATCGCGATCGTGAACATGGACATTTGTGAAGATTTGCATCATGGGTATAACTGTTGTACGAGGATTAGGTCGCCGGCTTGCTGGATATGTACCGGGGTTAAAAGGGTGAAAGCGTCATTGGACAGAAAACGGGACTGGGGTTCATTGATTTGGAAATGATGCCTGACAGTTCGGCGAGGCTGCGCATATTGGATCTGTGGGTTCGCACAGTATTCCGCAGAAGGCAACTCCAAGATGCTGCAGTGTTGGCAGCAGGGTACAGAGTAATCATTGATGGGGCATCGTCACGATGCGAACGCGAATCGGGCAGAATGTGTGATGATGGCATTGGGCTGCTGTCGCAGTGCGCGCGATGCATGGCAGGTCTGTTCAGGAAAGGCAGGTGTTGTCTACCGTCCTACCATGTCCCGAGAGAAGTGAGACGAGCGTTGGTGTTGATGTCTCATAAACGTTGCTGTCCGATTGACTGTTTCTCGCACAAGGGTGCATTAGTCCCGAATGCGAGGTACATGGCCAAATGGGTGCCTGGTTCGCGGGAGATCAGAGATCAGATTGCTTGACTGGACCCAGCGCCCAAGGGAGAGGGCTCATTCGTTCGGCCGCGATCCGGAGCGATAGGTATCTACAGCAACTGTTCGGCCTCTCAGATGGGAGCCAGCCACTGGGAGGAGCTTCACGCTAGCAAACCTGGGCAGGGGTACGACTCTGGCTAGCTGAGGTGGTCGCTGACTCCGAGAAAGTGGCTTGTGGTTGAGAAGACGGCACATTCCAGCGCGTGAATATTGAACAGAATGATCCCCACCCCCATCGTCTATCGCTTTGAGCAGAGGGGTCAAGATAGTTTGCAGAAAGACCGAAGTTGTGAGCTGGCAATCATGACGAGCATATGGCCATGATTCAGGCTGACACTTGGCAATGATCGCCAGGCAGCGTGCGAGAGTGGATTGGTGGAGAGCCCCGCCGACAGACGGCCCAGAAGTTTGTTCCTGCGTCGCATCCCGATCAGGCATCGCACCACGACTTCCATGCATCTTCTCAGGAACAGGCTACAGCATCACAGGACCATGATCTCGACATGGTAGCGGATCCATCGTTCGGCGCATGGGGCGCGCTGCGCTAGGCAGTTTGGTGCTTTTTGCTACAGCTGTCAAATACTACTCTCACCGCCCTTGGCGCCTCGAAACATGCAGTTAGCCCAGCGTCCGTGAGGTGGAGGGGTACACGTCTCCCAGACGCGTTGTACCACGATGACAGGGCGGGCGGTGAGATTTGGCCATGAGCTGCTGTTGTTTCGAAATGTTGAACGTGCGAGAAGGCCAGATGCCCACTGTGCTTTTCGTTACAGAATCTCTCGCTTACCCACCCCAGATACAGACATTGCGCTATCTACGTCAGGTGAGCTGTCAGTCTGGACTATCATGCTGGCGTTGAGGGCTGCATGCTTGCGTGTAAGGAAGATTGACAGCAGACTGACCAGAAGGTGCGGCTGAGGCGTCTGGTGCAAGTTCCCAATCCGTGGCTGATCGGCGTCCGCGATCAGATTGCAGCAGGAGGGGTTGAGGCTTGAATTATGCCATGTCTGACGCTTGTGATAGGTTCGTCGTGTAGAGGCGCCACGCTTCTCGAGATTGTGGAGTTTGTGCAGGCCTGAACAGCCAGCCCCTAGGCTCAGCACACTAGCATCTGCCATGGGGCCCCTGCGCAGACGGCAACTAAAAGCAACGAACGCTGATCTGGTCAGAGCGTGAAATGACGGAAACGGTAGAGCCGCAGCCATGTACCACGTTTTTGGGCGCGATCCCTGGGGTCAATCGGCGAGCGCGGCGCTATGGCGCATGCTGGGGTGGATGCCATCCTGATTCCTTACCCAAGTCACGCTCGGTATATAACACTTGATCGCCCTAGCCTTTTGGTTCAGTCAAACTCAAAGCCCAGCACAGCAACAACTACTAGCCTTACATCGAGACCCTCCACCACCAATACAATCAATCATCAACATACATCGGAGCATTCTACCAACCACCAGCCAACATGTACCAGAACCTTGGACGCACACCCAACTGGGAAACCTGCTTCAAGCAAACCCAACTCACCGAGGAGAACTTGCGAACACATACTGCCACCCACAAGAAGGTATGCTTTGACCTTGGATGACGTCTTTATCAGGTCACTGCTAACAGTACAACAGCTCGATAGTGCTTGTGAAATGGATGACCAACTTCACTACCGATATGACGGTGACTTTGCTGAGTCAGACGATGGAAACGTGGAAAGCCAAAGAGAGACCATCGCCTTGAGAAGAGCAGCATCGTTGGAGGTCTTGAAGGCGTACGGCGGGTGCTTCGCCTCTGGCTTCCTCGCACTACAAGAGCCCCTCCCATCAAGGCCAAAATCCAAACTCAGGTCATACGAGAGCGCATACAGCGTCGACATGTCAAGAACGGCTTCCAACGCCACATCACTCGAGACAGCCTCAAGCAGCTGGAGCAGCAACGTCGACGTGCCCCGGCCAGATTCGTCTACATTGGGCGCACCAGTACCGGAAAGCAAAAGTAGAAAATGGAGCTGGCGAAGCATGAGGAGGAGTCGAAAGCAAGCTGCGAAGAAGATTGAAGTTTAAAAAAAAAGTTATTTATTGGCTGGCCTGTCGGTCTCTACATTTTTCTTGTGTATATGTTTATTAGCGAAGGCGTTGGGGAATCACGGATACCATGGAAGACTGCGGAATCATCTCTTTTGTCACGAAGCCAATGGCAGAGCCACTCAAAACTCGACGGAAAAAGCACGACTTTGTAGTGTTTAATGTACATATTATACCAAGAAAAGACGGCCTTGATAAGCCTTTTTCGACAAACATGAGCTACATGTACCTTGCAACTTGTGCAGTGTGACCCTACAGTACCCGAAGACCGGAGTCCAGACGGCCAAGCTTGGAGAGCCGGATATGAAACATGAGAGGATAATCGTCTCGCATTGGTTGAGATGTGGAGAGGACCATCAGGAGATGCATCAAGGGCCGACGGACATCTAGACTCGACGACCTGATGAGGAAATCTCAGGCGACAAGCTCAGCCCACGTCTGGGCCATGAGTAAGAGCCGTCTTGTTCGGAGGTCACGATGGTGTTGCGGATGTACTGCGGACTCGTCCATGCATGCCGTGGGGGACGTCCTGCAGGCTGACGGACAAGCACCGCCTGACCAAGCAACCGAGCCAGTCACAGTACGCGCAACCCTTTTGAAGGTGCGTCCAGAGTTAGCCAGGACAAAAACAAAATTTCCGCAGACAGCAAGGCATTGAAGCTCAACAAGATGGATTGCCGGGTGCGAAGAACAAAAGACGACTCGATTGCTCGATTGTTGGAGCACGAGGCCGGGCAATGACGTACCGGTGGGGCGCTGCGAGGGAGCGGCAAAAAGCTCGGCGCCCGCGTGGAAGTCGCGAGGGTGCAGGTGGTGATGGTGATGAGGCAGGTACGCCCAGGGGTTCCGAGGTGCACGGGATCCTCTGGACGTGTTCGCTCGCTCAGCATCATGCCGCCTGGATGAAGCATTGATAGCAGTCACGCCGCTTGGTTCTGGCACAATGCAGCTTCTTCACCGCCTGGTCTGTCATTGCCTATCGTGATAGCAGACCCACCACTGACGCCTGCTGCTATGCATTTCTATAGCCATCGGCGGACCTGCCGGCCTTGAATCCCTCAAAACTACTACCTCCCGCCCATTGGAAACCCGTCTTTTCTCTCCAGTCCTACACCGCATACGCCACCCGTACTAACACTTACAACATATCGTCGTGTGACCGCTGCTTCTCCGTCCCTATAGTCTGAAGCATCTTCATACAAAGGTCCCGCCCCACCCCCACCCCAGCCCTCGACCACCGTTCCAGCTAACCCCAGAGAAGTACCTACCTACGCCATAGCACCATCTTCACCACCCACAACACCCAACCCTGCACCCATTGACTGGTGTCTTCGCCCCAACTCCCCCGTAGCATGAGCTCGCAATCTTCCAAGCCCCGCCGAGCTTCGACTGTTCTCGACCCGTACGCTGCACCGCACATATACTATGGCGAGAGTCACTCGCGGAAGCATACCAGAGCCAGGACCTACTCCGCTGTGAGTACCGCGCTCCTCCCTTGTTCTACTGTTGGGACGGCACTAATTGAGCGCAGAATGTAGATAATTCCACGCGCAATGCCCCAATTGCCGAGGGTGCCATTGCTGGCCGACGCATCAGTCACGGTGCGTGCCTTCCACAGCATTCCCGACGCGACATGTGCTGATAACACCAGATGAAATCTCCCTGCAGCCTCGCCGTTTCAAGATCAATGTCGAAGAAACGCTCCAGCAGCTTCTCGCCCGCGAAGACTCGGACCAGAACTACCAGATCACAATAGACGACAAGGGACCCAAGGTACGACATGATGCATCTCTAGAGAGAACACGGCTGACAAGACACAGACCTTGTCTCTCGGTACTCTTGGCTCCAACGCCTTCAAGAAGCACGATGTCCGCGGCACCTACATGCTCTCGAACCTGCTCCAGGAGCTCACACTCGCAAAAGACTACGGCCGCAAGACTATCGTGCTTGACGAGTCACGCTTGAACGAGAACCCTGTAAACCGCCTGAGTCGCCTCATCCAATTCTCCTTCTGGGACGGTCTCACACGCCGTATCGACGGCTCCAATATCGCCAAAGTCGGTGTCGATCCCAAGGACTGGACAGACGACCCACGTCCGCGTATATACATCCCCCAGGGCGCACCTGAGCAGCACGAGTACTACACCCGCATTGCTCGCGAGCATCCCGACATGCGTCTGGATGTCATCTGGCTGGACAAGGATTGCGACAACAACGATTACGTGCGCGATCTGAACAAGGCACCCGGTCTGCTCGCTATTGCTATGGAAGAATGGATAGATCCAGAGACGAAGAAGAAGGACCTGAGGGGTCTGCCGTTCGTCGTCCCAGGTGGCCGCTTCAACGAGCTCTACGGATGGGACAGCTATATGGAGTCGCTCGGTCTCCTCGTCAACGACCGTGTTGACCTAGTCAAGTCCATGGTCATTCACTTCTGCTTCTGCATCAAGCACTACAACAAGATCCTCAACGCAAATCGCACTTACTACCTTTGCCGATCTCAGCCTCCCTTCCTCACCGATATGGCTCTGCGATGCTATGAACGCATCAAGCACGAGCCTGGTGCGCTCGATTTCCTACGCGAAGCCATCCTTGCTGCCATCAAGGAATACCACTCGGTTTGGATGAGCGCGCCTCGCCTAGACCCCGTTACTGGGCTCACCAGGTACCGGCCTGGCGGACGAGGTGTGCCACCTGAGACGGAAGCCAGCCATTTCCACCATGTTTTGATGCCGTATGCTGAGAAGCATGGTATGACATTTAAGGAGTTCGTCGATGCATACAACAACGGACGTGTCGAAGAGCCTGAGCTTGACGATTATTTCCTACATGACCGTGCTGTACGTGAATCTGGCCACGACACTTCATACCGTTTAGAGAGGGTCGCCGCAGATCTTGCAGTTGTCGACATCAATGCGCTTCTTTACAAGTACGAAGTCGACATTGGCCGTTGCATCCGCAATCACTTCGGTGACAAGCTTGAGATCCCAGACGGCTTCCGCACTGGTGACATGAAGCCTGGCCACGTTGAGAACTCTGCCACGTGGGAGCGCCGCGCTAGAAAACGCCGCGTTCAGGTGGACAAGTATCTCTGGGATGAAGAAGCTGGCATGTACTTCGACTACAATACAGTCAAGCAAGAACGCACCGGCTACGAGAGTGCCACCACTTTCTGGCCCATGTGGTCAGGTCTTGCTACTCCTCGCCAGGCTAGCATTCTTGTGGAGAAAGCCCTCCCTAAGCTGGAGGCATTTGGTGGGCTTGTTTCGGGTACAGAGAAATCGCGCGGCAAAGTCGGCCTTGACCGCCCCAACCGTCAGTGGGATTATCCATTTGGCTGGGCGCCGCAGCAGATGCTCGCTTGGGTCGGTATGCAGCGATACGGGTACGATGCAGAAGCCCAACGCCTGGCATACCGCTGGCTCTTCATGGTCACCAAGGCATTTGTTGACTTCAACGGCGTTGTTGTTGAGAAATACGATGTCACGAGGAAGATTGATCCTCACAGGGTGGAGGCCGAGTACGGTAACCAAGGCAGTGACTTCAAGGGTGTTCCTCGCGAAGGGTATGTCCAATCCTTACATTCTTGTTCATTCACGACTAACATTGATCAGCTTCGGATGGGTCAACGCAAGTTACGTTTACGGTCTCACGCTCCTCAGCGCACACCAGCGCCGTGCTCTCGGTGCGCTTACCGATTGGGACAGCTACTCAAAAGCCATGGAAGATCTTGGTATGATGTAAACGACTGCCAGTTACTTTGTTACGACTGTACGATGTACATTGCATTGGATGTTGGGTCTGCTTCCTGATTCGAGTTAGAGGCGTAGTAGGAAATCTGTCTGAGCTATGCTTATGGATTTTGCTTGCAAGTCCAAGGGAGAGTGCTAGACGTATGAGCACAGCAAATTTTAAAGGATGTGGTACTGCAGGAGCTTTCGGTATGGTGCTAGGGGCTGGACTCGGCATGACGGTGTAACTTATACCTATGATCAAACGAAATGCATCAATAACGTTAATTTTCCATGCCTTCTTTGGAGTGTCACAGACTTACAGTCACAGCTCTCATGAGTGCCTAGTGATGTATCGCAAGCCTATCTCAGAGATCGTGGCCCATCATCATGCTACGCGCTCGCCCCACCAAAATCCCACGCGTCGCGTACCTTTCGACACGGGCGTGACCCTCGTCCAGCACCACCTCCACCACACAACATTCGCTTAGGTTCGCCACCAGAAAACGCAAGAGTACTACATTCCTCCATTGGACCTTCAATATGCCTTCGGTGCCGATTCACCTTCCTTCGGCAACACCCTCTCGCGCCGAGAATCCTCTTCCACAGCTCCTCCACACACCCTCTGGCCTAGCACTCATAGAAATTCAAGGCACAATCCACTTCCCAACGCCTACAGAATCCTCCGGGCCCTCTACACAAGTTGGAAAGCTCGTCTTTCCATACTACAATCCCAACATCAACGATCCGAGCGACACAAAATGGATGAAGCGCGTATACATGTACATTGGCAAAGGCCAGCGCATGACAGGCGAGTGCAAGAAGTTGCCCAAGCCATATGGGGTCATGCGCAAGAAAGAAAAGACAGATGTTGAAGATGTAGCCATGGGTGGCCTTGAACAAGAGGACGGTGCGAAGGAGGAAGAGCTGGAGATTGTAGAGGTGGTGAGGTACAAGATTGTGTTTTCTTCGCGACCGGAGCCGATTAGTGGGGTTTCTGAGGTGGAATGAAAAGTCGGGAAGGAAAGAGAAGACGTGTTTTCGCCCGAATCCGAAGTTGAGGAGAACCACTCTTGGTGGTCTAAAAGCTTTCGAACGATCGCGCAACGATGAGAAATACACTTGCATATCGTGTCTGATATGACAGGCCTCAAGTCATCGATACAACCTTCGCAAATTAGCGAGAGCACTCGTTCCAAGGTTACGACATGATTCACGGGACACACCAGCGAATCTTTACGCCCAAAAACGCGAAAAGTATGACTAGGTCGACATTGCAGACTTCCGGGAGGGCGTCCAATAAGCCTCCGTTATACGCGATAGGAGCTGTGACACGTTCCGTTGCCAACCTTCGTATTCGCTACTGCCACAAGGATTGGATTTGAGCCTCTCAAGACTCGGAATATTGATTAAGCAATTTGGTGTCGCACAAGCATATTGCTGTTCAGCCTCGTTCCTGGGTTCTGGTGCTCGCTTGCAGGCATATTGCACTTTAGCCACTTTATGCGGCGACCACGGTCCGACTTATATTTGGGTCATGCACTATATGCGGTCACATGGTGACATTCTGGAATACACATAGAAGATATATGGTATCGGTGTTGCATACCTTCAGCTGGTCATTTCTTGGGAAGATTCAGCAAATTCATCATCTGTTTAAAGCACCATTAATCACAAACTCAACATGCAGTACTCAACTGCGGCTCTGTTAGCCTTGTTAACTAGCACTACTTATGCTGCTGTGGGAGATTGGCAGCAATGTACGCTCGTCTCGAAGTCGTATGTAGGCCTTTGCTAATGAAAGATCAGGTGGTGGTATGAGTTGGTCTGGTGAGACCACGTGCAGTTCAGGTGCAGGCTGCGTCAAGATCAAGTGAGAGACTGGTTGTATCCTTCTCTCACGACACATATCTGACAATCTTCAAGTGACTACTACTCTCAATGTCAACCCGGTGCAGCCCCGGCGCCCACTGCGGAGCCACAACCCGACCCTGTGCCAGAACCAACACCTACAACCTTTACAACAGTCTCTCCAGGTGCACCCACTGTCAGCAGCACCCCATCGGGAAGTGGGCCGGGCAAGACACTTCAAAGCGGCTACTATTGGATCCGTGCAGTCGCCGCGCCCAACTTCCACAAATACTTCCAAACCAAACCCCTCTACTCGACAGGATCAGCCCTCCTAGGCGACTACACCACAGCCGGCCAGTTTCAAGTCGTTGACGGTCAACTAGTTGAATTAGTATCCGCTCCCGGTGAGCCTGTCAAGCTTCTCTATGCTGTGGTATCCGAGGAGCGCTCTATAAACGGCATGTCTCTTGCTGTTAGCTTCTCCGAGAGCAAGAACACATACGGAACGTTTGCATGGGGTGGGGACGATCTCCAATGGAGTGTTGCTGGTGTCAATCGCCCGAACAAGAGTGCGTGGTATGTGTGCACTGGGCAGAAACTGTATATCAACTTGGGTAACTACTTGTATCAGACGCCAAGTGGGTGTGCTGATCAGACTGTGCATTACTACAATGATAAGACGGCGAACAATTAGCAAAAGAGAGAAGGAAGCAGGATATACGGTAGAGCAAGAATTATAGATGCTGGGATGGCTGATGATTCGTAGCCATCGATTTGGGGAAGAAAACCACCCCACCACGAGACAGATTAGTGAGTGGTAATACCTGCAGTGTTACGTACCAAAACAAGAACAAGAAGGCGACGTTTTCAGGTGTTCACATGAGGTGTCAATTCGAAATGTTTTGCAATATGTCCATACATCGCCAAAATTGATGTATATCGAAACGTCTTGATATCCAAAGTCCACACGCTCCATATGCCTCATGGCATCCATATGACTTACATGCTCTCCTGGAGATCTATAACCAACGTCAAATGCTGACCTCATCTCGGCGACCCTAAAGCCTTCCACAGATGACAGCGACGACACTGCCCAGGCTATCACACAAGGGTTGGAGCGGCCAATCGCATCCATGGACCGGGTCTTTACCGTACTGGCCGGGTGCACAGTGCACGAGAGGGCAAGTAGGGCCGCGGCCACCCAGATAGCGCTCAACATCTTGGAAAGGCGCGGCGTCCTCAGCGGAAAGGTTGTACCACATGCGGCCATCATGGCCGTCCGCAGAATATTCAATTTGGTAGACGCGTAGATCCGCTGGGTGGTAGGCGACCTTGACTGTATGTTCATCAGTCGGTGTTGTTGAGAATGGCATAGGGATGAGTGCAAAATGTGCGAGAATACGTACTGACGTGACTACGCTGATTCATCTGGCATGGAAAAGGCGCCTTGTACCTCTGGCCTGGCTTGATTTCGACCATGCTGGTTTCGCCGGGGTTGTCGCATTTCTCGTGGCTAGGTCCAGAGCTGACTGGGGAGATTGAGAGACGAGCCCAGACAGAGAAAGAACAATGGTTCCTAACTTCACCGCGGATCTGAGGGACATTTGGATCACTCGCCATGCCAGGGACCAGAACGGAGGCCATTGATGAGCCTGGTTCGATAGTAGACGCCAGGAAGTTGTCCGGGGTGAGGACATGGCGCCAATCCTTAGACATAAGGTTGGGATTTGGAGAAGTCGGTGCAGCGTTTAGGAGTACAGTCAGGAAGCCGAGCGCAACTGAACATGGTTAGTGTAGAGAAGATAACGAGGTCCAAGGAGACTCTCACCAGCGAAGAATTTGGAAGAGTACATATTGTACTTGACGAATGGATCTGGTTGTTTCTAAAAGATCTGATAAGTGAGATAAGTGAGGTAAGTGAGTAAGACTGAGTGCTATATGAAAATAACCTTCGGAGAGAGATGCCGATCAAGGAAGTCGAGGCTGATATAGAAGGAAGGAACAAGAGGGAGATCACATGTTATAAGCCACTGATTTGGCGCTAATGGTGCTATTCCAGTGTGCTCCTACCGGTATTGCGATCGGAAGACATATGTGAGCACCTTTGCGACAAATACGTATGTGGAGTAAGAGGCGGTAGGCGCACGGGGAGGATGAGGGCACTCAGAAGACTGAAAGCGTTCGCTGCAGTAATTGGAGAGCATGAAACAGAACATGGCGACTATCGAGTTGTTTGAAATCAGAGATTACGTTGTTGGGTCATGGGAGAATTGAATGCCTCAGATATTGGGTGTTTGTCTAATGTGCTCAAGAAGTCGAACAATACTGTGAGTAGTTCACCGGTCTCTTGGCACTTCCGGTATTAGGTGTTTTCGTGACGTTTAGCACCCCACCACCCATTGTGCTTGTGAGTCGAATAATTAGCAATAAGGCGCAATTGTAACGTAGGGTGAGGCTTTAATGTTGCCTACGACATGAATGCTTCAGACCCAGACAAGCCTCCTCATAGCATAGTCTTTGCAGCATGCCATCCTGCAGCCCAATGCCAGAGCCGTGCATCGATAGTCTTGCCCTCCTGGTCGTACTTGACTAGGCGATCGTATAATTCATCAATCGGCACCACTACCCTCTCGATGAACTCGCCATCGTCAAGCACCTGCTCTGGCTCCTTGTCACCTTCCTTCAAGTTGATCTCCACCATGGCCAGCTGCATGTTCGCCGTGCTCAGACCAGGATCCGAGACGATAGTCGGGCTGATAAAGGCCAACTTGCCCTTGTACCCAGTCTCTTCGTGTAGCTCTCGTACGCTGGCCTCACTAGGTGACTCCTTCTCGTCAACTAGACCGGCAGGAAGCTCGACGCAGACGGCGTTGACAGGCGGGCGGTACTGCAGGATGATAATAGTGGAAGGCGGGTGCGAGGGGTGGCGGATGATTGTTGTTATGGCTACAGCATCGACGCCTGCCTTGCCCCGTGTCTTGCGTGCCGCGGCTTCCCAGACGCGATCTCTACCCGTTTGGTCTTGCCATGAGATTTTCTGGAACTCGATCCATTTGGCCTCGGTTGCAGGAAGCTCTTCTACCTTGATGATCTTTGGTTCTTGCGGCATGTTGTAGGCTGCGCGGAGTCGTGTACGGGTATGGAAGGTGCGTGGGAGGAAGCTGTTGAGTACAGTCTGATTGGATGATTGGACTGTGCTGCAAGGGCTGGGTTGAGTCGAGGTCGGGATGCGTTTCACCAGGGAACAAACCAGGCGTCCGTGCATTGGTAGTGATTGTCAACATGTATTGAGCGTGGACGCTGACGTATGAGACTCGGAGCTACAGCATCAGCCCCACTTCGCGTCATCACGAGGTCACGTGCGCATACAAGCTATATGGTCTTTTGAGAACCAAACGACACGCTGCAACATGGTAATGATAGCCACCCTCTAGCTTACATAGTGGTGAATGGATTATTTGGAGACGTGAACTTTACAGGGTGGTATCACCGAGGTGGCCCCCTGATGTCCGTCAACTTAACCATCAACGGACTCTTCTCCCAAGTATTGTACGCCTTCAATCCCTCGAACTCATTCTTTGGGTGCCAAAGCGGCGCTCCATCCGCCAGCTCGATATCAAAGTTCCAGAGAAGCGCGCCCAAAATCAATCGCAGCTCGACATATGTCAAGTTTCTGCCAATGCACCCTCGTGGTCCGGTTGAAAAGGGCTGCGCCGCTTTCTTGGAGTCGCCAGCAAACTTTCCTTTTGACTCTGGCGTGTCAAGGAAGCGCTCAGGAATGAAAGAGTCGGGTTCTGCGAAGTTGGACGCCGAGTGCGACGCGCCCCAGGAACTGACACAGACGGATGTGTTTTCGGGAACGGCATGGCCATCGATCAGCGAACCGCCTTTGGGCACTGTGCGGAGAAGACCGATAGGTACTGGAGGGAAGATTCGAAGACCTTCCTCAATGCAGGCATTCATGTACGGTAGGTTGCCAAGGACATCCATATTGATATCCGCTTCAGTCTTACACGCGCCTCTTAGCTCATCTTTCAGCTTCTTGAATGTTTCTGGGTTCCTCAAGAGGTAGTTTGTCAACCCGCAAAGCTCTGTTGCAGTGGTTTCACTCCCTGCCACGATGAACAGCGCTGCGTTCATGATGACCTCGTCGTCGCTGACTTCGTTCTTCTTCTCTCTTTGTTTCAAGATATACCAGATGAAATCGCGATGATCGTTGTCTTTTTGATTCAATCTCTTCACAGTCTTCTCGGTCGAGTTGCGTAAATGGCGGAAACGGCGCTCGCGGACGACCGTAGGAATGCACCACATGAGGAACTTTTGAGCGACAGAACCGGGCCTAGCGAAGCGGCGGGTAGCTTGTTCAATAGCGCCGGACTTTATGGCTTCGTAGATTAATACAACCCAATTTGCCGATTCCGAACCTTCGCCTGTGCATAGTGTGTCAGTACAAAGTAAGAGACAGGTCGCACTAACTACTGTCTTGGTGAAACGTACCTTCTCGCAGACACCCGAAAGGCTCGCCAAAACTAAGATCACCAATGATATCGAAAGTGCAAAAGTTGAACCACGATACCATGTTCGCCGGTTCACCTCTGTGTGCCTTCTCCCTCAATCGATCTACAAATAGATCTACGTATCCCTTCAAGATCGACTGTTGTTCCAGCAGTGCCTGCTTGCTGAACGCATGAGCAAGTGCTCTCCTCTGCCTCGCATGGTGGATATCCGGTGCCATTGTCAGGTTGGTGGCACCTGGTATTGCTTCCACCGCACCAACATGAATAGGATCTTTATCCATGTTCGCAAGTCCAACCCGGTGTCCATAAATGTCGTCCCATGCTTTTGCTGTATTGAAAGAGAGCTCGTTGGGCATGACACGCACGACGGGCCCGTATCTGTCGTGATGAATCTTGTACTCAAAGGCAATGCGACCACGTAGCAAAGAAACGATGGAGGGTATAGGAGAAATGCGCCATAACAGCGGTCCAGGATATTTGGCAAGCGGGTGAAGTGTGAGGTTATACACAGCTGTCACAACTACATATGTGACAAGCTAGGGCTGTCAGGTCAGTTCTTAGACACGAATTCAATAAGAACGTACCGCGACGGGCGTCCATATAGCAATCAGACGAAGACGATCTTCATCTACAAACCCCATGGCGAATTTTATCTTCTGACCTATCTTTTCAACATTCGAGAACCAGGAAAGACTGATGGCAACGGCTAAGTTGAATCGAGTGAAGTAAGGTTAAACAGAAAATTGAATCGAACGATTGATGAAATATATCAATTCTGACAGGCTCCTGTGACCATGACGCTACCAGTACTGCGATGTGTAGTCATCCGGTCTATCTGTAGCGGCAGCTGCTCGCCAAAGCATTTCCGACGCTTTGTATGCAAAGGAAAATGGGAGACTTGCCAAAAGCATCAGACCATAAGAACTGACCGTCAAGCGAGGTTCTCGAAACAAGATTGCGCTGATTCACAGCATATGCCGTCGCCTTGAGGCGTAATTACCCGTAATGCGAACTTAGGATAAGCAACCACCTCGTCTTTGAGAACGGTGAATTTCCAAAGTTGGAGTTTGGATATGCTTTAGCGTGATGTAGCGTGAACGCCCCGCGTGCCCGCATGTTAACCCCGCACAGGATTTCAAAGTTGCATCTGGCGAATAAGCGCAAGTCATTGATACGCGACTCGTGAAACGCGTCGGAACGATGAGGCTTGAATCGTAAAGGTAGTACAATATTCAAGGCGCCTTGCATGACATCGATGAAGACTGGAGCGGAGGGAATCGCCTGTAGCGAGTTTGTAGTCACACCAAATTGTTCTTCTGCTGTGCTCGGTCTAGCAATATGGATTGCTCAACCAATATTCAGCTTGCGTGTAAGACATCCATGATACGAGGCGTCCAGTCCATGTCCTGAGTACTGTCGGATAGCAGTATACGCCTTGAAGCTTCACCGGACCAAATGATTCTTGACACCTGGCCAATGATGTATGTTCGAGATCTTTGGTGGTCATGTGTGGTACTGTACCGCAATAGGCGCTGTTATTAGCCCTTGAGCACTGATGGTCTTGATAGCCTCCAGCCAGATCTCCCCCATGTGAAAATACCCAGCGTACGATGGATGCAACCCATCAACCAACTCGCTAGGCCCGATGATGCTGTGATCGACGACCGCGAGCTTGAAGCCCTGTTCAAGCTTCTTCCTCACCACCATAGGCACTGCATCGTTGAAGGCCTCGATATTTGCCCTAGTCTGCATCTTCTCTGCCTGTATGATCTTTGCAACGAGCACAACGGCATCCGGACATACATCCAGCACTTCATCGAGTAAACTTGCTAATCGATTCGGCGCATCAGACCATCTTTCTGCCATACTTTCAGGGCGAGCCAGATCATTCGTGCCAACGTGTAGCAGCACCAAGTTTGGTCGCATCTGTAGCCCGTCTCTCATTACGCCCTGCAGCTGGCTAATTGTATGCCCCTCATGCCCCTCATTGTCATTGTTGTCCATGAACCCAGAGTGCTGTGTGCCAACAAAGTCAACCGAGTGGTAGCGCGCACGTACGAGCTCACGTAGCAGTCGCGCGCGATATCCATCTGTTCCGTTCTCTTGGTTTGGTTGCCAGCCCCATGTTGTTGCGTCGCCAAGTGGTAGTATGCGTAGTGGGAGGTTGAGGTTCGCGCCGGGTTGTCTGTGGGGAAGGCCAAAGATGAGTAGGATCACTGCAAGGATGTTAGCGATACACAAGATGTAATTGTCTTGACGCACGAGTGAACAGGGATATTCACTACATTCTCCAAGCAGCGTCGTGGAGTTCTCAATGCTTCAATGGGGATTTGAGTCGACTCCGTGCATAGCATTAGCATAGCGTTAGCATCGCGACGTACCTAAGCAGATCACGCCCACCAGGCCTATACCCTTCGTGACAGCCTTGTATCGCAGGCCTCCAACGGATGGATACATCGTAGAATGCTGAGAATTGTCATTTGTCGCGGAGATCCGAATCGCTTCGTAAGCGTTGCGGTCGTGCAGCTGTGAGGGGTTTTGCTATAAGTCGGTGGTGAACGTCATAGCTCTAGTCATATAGGGGCATTGCGCTATTCATAGATGGTGCTACTTTTACTAGGAGACGCGCGTTATAAGCAGGAACTGGATGCATCTTCAGTTTCCGCTGCGCCAGTCGAAACGGCACTGGACCCGGCAATAACGAGTTCAGGAGGCGTTACGTCGGACCCTTCTACGCACGAACCCCTTGACATGAACAGCAGAGCCTTGCCTCCACAACATCATGGTATAACCTTCGCTTTCCTCATGCGATCAAACGCAGTCGTCCATGTTTCCTTAGTTGCTATTTCCTCTGTATACCCAACCTTGTGTGAAGCCTCCATACTCATCTGGCGGTCGAAATCAAACATTGTCATGATAAAGTACTGGTGCATGTTAGCTACCACGCCCGCGAAAGACACCCTCAGCAATCCTCTTCACTTACCTGGAATCCCGGATGCGTGATATCGCTATCTACGCTACCTTTCTTGAGGTTGTGCTTCTTCTCTAGCTCCTCCCACTCCTTCTTGTGCGCGTCAATGTACGCTCCAGGCTGAGGTGAGCCCTCTTCAGGTCCAGTACCCTTCAGACCAAAGTAATCACAGATTATCGGCCACTTGCCGCTCCAGCTATCTTCTTGACCACCTACGTTAAAACTCTGTGATGCGGTTTTCTCTGGGTTCAAAGACGCATGGATAGAGAAGTGCGCGACCATGTCTTGCGGAGACTCATTGTACTTGTTCACCCACGATTTCTCAGTACCAGGGAATGGGCACTTTGCGCCTTCGCCCTCAATGGATCGATAGAGCGAAAGATACAAGGCAAGTGTTTGCGCGAGGCAGTATGCGTTGTTATTTGGTACGAATCCAATGATGTTGTCTGGTCGGACCTCACACCAACTCCAGTTCTTTCCTTTGGAGATGCGTTTCAAGCAATCAATCTGGTTGTAGTAGAAAAGCTGTGAGAGGTATGGCTCAGGAATCGGTGGCAATGTCTCCTTGAGTGGTAGCGCATCCGCAAATGGAAACTTGTCGAGCATCTGGCAGCCGTAGATTTTGGTGCCCGTGGGAAGAAGTACGTATGACAATTTGGATGAAAGATGATCGATGGCAGTCACGGCACGCTCGAGCATGGCTTCATTGGTCTTGCACTCGGAGTCGGGGTCATCGATCTGCTTGTATGCTTGGTCGTGTTAGACCCGGCAAATTTCCCAGGAGCCTTTAACTTACAGTAGAAGTACACTTGTGTCACAGTCTCGACGTCTTTGACCTTCTCTTTGATTTGCTCCTCCAGCTCCTCCTGCGTTCCTTTGACTAGATCGACACCAGATACGATTTGAAGTCTGGGGTCGTCAGGCCAGAGAGCCATCTCACGTGTCAGTGGCCGATTGACCATAGCTGTGACCCTGGAGAAGGCATCTTTGGAGGGATATCCGTTGAGGATGGCATTAACAATAGACCACCCTGAGATACCGGAAGCGCCGTAAACAAGCGCGTGGTTGCTCATCGTTCAGACACTAAACACACGTCAAGATAGGTTCTCCGAGAAGCATGCACAGTGAAGAGCTCGTGGGGACAGGAACGCGACGCGTATCAGCTAGACCCTAGTATATGTACTTGCTTTCACATTTGAATTAGCCTATATCGCTTTGGAATGTACTATGACTACCCAGGCCAGCCACACTGCAATATGCAAAACCCTTGTGCTCGCAGCAGTCTGGTGCTGTCAATGCTGATGCGGAGAACAATATCCAAGATGTGTCTGACGGACTCTTCCCCGCAGCGTCGACCACCATGACTCGTGCAGTGACGCTCTTTCGGTTGCTATCCCGACTGCTTGCAGTTCTCGGAAGAAGCCGAACAGCGTTGTTACAGTGCATGTGCGGTGCGATGTGAAGTCGTCGTAGACAGAGTGTCATGGTCATTGTCAGCATCTTCATGTTGTTTGCCAGGCCATGGACCCCTGTCATGGCGCCTCTCCGACCCTCCGACGTCGGCCTATCTTATCATGCACGCTAAAATTTTGGGAAGTTGCGTCACGGCGAACAGTCACTTGGAGTGCATCGGACGAGGCCTTGAACTTGTTTGTAGATTGCAATGGCTTCACGAATGGCTTCCAAGCGCGTATGCGCTGTATTGCGTACATCGCGTGTCAACTACACGTCGGCGCGGTTTGCTTCGGCAGCCTCTGCAGTTAGGGGATCCAGTCTACCACAGGATGTAAAGGATGCCATAGCCGTGAGTACCAACCAATTTGCACTCTTTTGACGCCTTCCATAATGACTCGGTATAGCGCGATTCTACACTGGCCACGCCCGACCCATCCTCATCCTCCAAGACAGCCGGCCTGGTCAACCAGCAGCTACCGTACATGGTCCCAACCTATGTACGGCCACCGCCCATGTTCGAGAAGGGAGAGGGGTGCTACATGTGGGACATTGAGAACAGGAGGTACCTGGACTTCACAGCTGGTATCGCCGTCAATGCGCTCGGGCACTGCGACGCTGGGGTAGCCCAGGTCATTGGAGAACAGGTGCGTCTGCCACCACTACCAAGGATACAGCCAACTGACAACTGTACAGGCCAAGCAACTCATGCACACTTCAAACCTCTACCACAACCCGCACACAGGCTTGCTGTCCAAGCAGCTCATTCAGCTCACACATGCGACTGGGGGCTTCGCCAGCGCGACTCGCACCTTCATCTGCAACAGCGGTTCCGAAGCCAACGAGGCTGCCATAAAGTTCGCGCGCAAGGTCGGCAAGTCAATGTCACCAGACAAGGACAAGCATGAGTTCGTGTCCTTCCACAACTCATTCCATGGCCGGACTATGGGAAGTCTGAGCGCGACACCAAACCCCAAGTACCAGACACCATTTTCCCCAATGGTGCCCGGCTTCAAGTACGGCACCTTCAACGACGTCAACGCCGTCAACGAGCTAGTCACCGATGCCACATGTGGTGTCATTGTAGAGCCAATCCAAGGAGAGGGTGGCGTAAACGTCGCAACGCCCGAGTTCCTTCTCGCGCTGCGAAAGAGATGCACAGAAGTCGGCGCAGTCCTCATCTTCGACGAGATCCAATGCGGCCTAGGCCGAACAGGTACTTTCTGGGCACATGCAGGCTATCCCAAGGAATGCCACCCCGATATTGTCACCACGGCCAAGGCACTTGGCAACGGTTTCCCTATCGGCGCCACTATCGTCAACGATTTTGTCTGCGAACATATCAAGACTGGTGACCACGGCACCACTTTCGGCGGCAACCCTCTTGGATCGCGTGTCGCTTCATACATCCTCTCTCGTCTGTCATCGCCAGACATTCTCGACTCGATACCCGCAAAAGAGCAAGCATTCCGCAAACACTTTGATACTCTGCGAAAGCGCTTCTCAAGCCAGATCAAGGAAGTCAGAGGCAAGGGACTTATCCTAGGCCTTCAACTCGATGTAGATCCCACGCCTATCGTTACTGCTGCTCGTGAAAGAGGTCTCCTGATCATCACCTGTGGTACAAACACCTTGAGGTTTGTCCCACCACTTGTCATCACCGAAGCAGAAATCGAGGAGGGCATGCAAATCCTGGGCCAGGCCATGGAGAGTGTATGGATCAAGCACGATGACGTCGAGGGCACGGACGGTCAACAGGAGATGCGATAATGCACGTCCTGGTTAGCATGGCGTTCATCGGCGTTCTAGACAGGTAGCATTGTACATATTTCACCAAAATGGCATAAGGCAGATGAAGTTGAAGTGTATCTAGAGGAGTGTATTATTGATGTTCGCGCTCAGATACTGTATTGCATCGAAGCAGTAAGAACAGAAGCCGAAGCCAAGAATGACAGGTAAAGACGAAAAGAGGAAACGCTCCATCGTCACTGGAGGTGGATGAGCCTGCAGTTGTACGCAGAACATGGAATAGAACCCGTCGTACCTCAACCATTGCCGAAGATACTAGCCGATGGCGCGAATGAGGCTGCACCAGCCGCTGACATACTACCGTCGTGAGTTTGCCCTCGCAGTGGCAAGCCACGATCCAAGTCGGTTCCAGAGGGTGTCGTCGCAATGTGGGCATCATGCACGTTATTTAACTTGCCTTTTTTTGCACCCTTGGAAGTCTTTGCCTTCTTCTGCGGTGCATTTTCGGTCTTCTTCTCTGCAACTCCATACCGATGGTACCTGTGCCGGTTCGGGCGCCCGAAAACTTGCTGCGGTGTCTGCAACAGTGCGAAGCTTGAAGCTCCTTCGCCCTCGTCGTCCCCTACAGATAGTATCTGGGCGTTTTGAATAATCTCAACGATGCCAGCATCGTCCTCAAGCTCTTTGGCTTCTTGATGATCAGCACGAGACATCTTCTTCGCGCGATTGAAGATTGCATGCTCAATCGTGTTTTCAAGAACAAGGGTTTCAACGAGCACTTCTTTCGTCTGTCCGATGCGATGGGCTCGTTTGATGGCTTGGGCCTCGATGTTAGGCCTATTGATTGGGTTCACAATGAGCACAACGCTCGCCGCATTCAGATTCAACCCCAGAGCACCACACGCGACGTCGATGAGCAAGACACGAACGTCCGGATCCTCGTTGAACAAGCGTACGTACTCAGATCGTAGAGTGTTGTTCAGAGTTCTGGCGTAGATGCGGTGGTTGACATACATCGACTCGAGGCATTGGGCGATATAGAACGCCGCGTTATCCCCGTCATAGAAGATGATGATTTTATCTTCCGCCTGATGTTTCATCACCTTGTCTAAGAGATAGGTAAGCTTGGCTGACGTCGTACCCACGATACGTGTGTTCCGCAAACTCGAGTCTTTGGCAAGTTCCGCTGTCTCGTCATCAAAGGTGAGCTTTCGTTTCTTTGAGCGAATAGGTGATGCACTATCTGTGTGATCTTTAATGCCATTTACGGGCTTGGCTCCTGTTGGTTTTGGAGGAGAAGCTTTGCTTGTAATGGTCGATGCCCGTCGACTAGTCAGTGGCTGCACCAACGAAGTTGGAACTCCAGTCCTTTGCAAGGGCGCGCCATCGACCATACCCTCGCTCGACCCTTTGGCCTTGCTTTCTTCTTCAGCCATCGCGATAGCCTTTGCTTTCGCAGCATACCCAACAGCCTCCAGCCCGGCGGCGGGGTCTAGCGAGCGTATGCTGCTATCGACGTAAAGTTGGCCTTCAATGAGTTGTGTGGCTCCGATCATGATAGGCTTCGCCGGGTAAACAAGTGCGAAAGCCTCTTGGGCCTCCTTTGGCCAACTCTCGACAGCTACGCCTACCTCATGAGATGTGCTCAATGCCATCCATTCAGCGGAAGCTGTAAGTTTTGATACGACTTGGCTGCTCTCCAGGAGTGATTTTGCGTCATCAAGGGAGCAAATTTTGTCCTCTTTGGCAAGGTACTTGTCAGTAGTCTCAAGCGTGGAGACTACATCAGAAAGACTGAATCCAGTCCATGTAAAGTTGGACTGACGTAGATTCCTGATGAGGCTATGACGGGCTTTGACGCTGTTTTTGTGAAAAAGGTAGTCAACATCGGTCCTTTCACTTGTAATGGCGTTCGCTCGGAGGACTTGAACGAAGAGATTGGCTATCATTTTATCAAACCAACATGGCTTGAGATACACAACACGGTGTCTCATCGGAGGCAAAATGATATCTTTCTCAACATCTTCCGGTCGTGTTTTCACGACCAAGCCTTCCAGCGTTCGGCTAAAACACGATGAGAATCCGGAATAGGTCTTTCTGTAGTGGTGCTCGTGACGGTAAATATATTCGTCCCAATCGAGTTTGGCTTCAGAGTTGTCGCACCAGGGTCGGACCATGAGAAAGTTTGAAGCGAGCATGCCTAGAGCCTTTGCAGCTTTGGTGTCTGCGTTGAGTTCGAATGATTTCCTCTGGTCGATAGCGAGCTCGCGCTGCAACACATGGTCGCTTTCCACGTCAACTGTGGACATATCCACCTCCACACCCACTAAATCCTTCGCAGGTGCTGTGAAAACAATATCAGTCTACGTGTAAATGAGGAACTCTCCTTTGTGACTTACTTCCTGATACGACCCAGCGTCTCTCGGCCTGTATCTGTTTAGCAACTAGTACAGCATTGGAAACAGAGCTCGAGAACGAATGGCCTTCGTCGATGATGATACGTAGCCAGTGTATCTTCTTCAATGGCGACTCGTAGACTCTATCAGTGTCAACACAGCTACAATCAGGTATTCTGGTTGCTCCTATGTAAGGGCAGTTGCAAACACGAGAGACACCAGAGGCCATACGTCGTCCAAGTTCGTCCTGGCCGTCCTGTATCTCCTGTTCGAAGCGGTTGCGAGTAAACAAGACCACATCGAACTTCATGAGTTCAGTAGGAGCTGGCAGTTCGCTCCGGAACTCCATAGTCTCGTTAGGTTGTTGAGATATCTTGGTCTTACTTGAGCGCTTGGGCACAGAATCCACCACGAGAATCTTTAGTCCACCTTGAAGAACATGCTTCTGTATCTCCGACTGCCACTGATGCAGCAAGTTCCGAGGCACAATAATGATGGTAGCGGAAGAGAGCACCAGTTGGCGCGGTAGTGGTATGCGGGTGTTCCTATTCATACGTGGGAGATCTGGTGGTATCTCATAGAATGGGATGTCTCGGTCAAGGACTTTCATGAATCTCGTCATGTCTCCCGCACCGTTTGCCTCAGATTGCTCAAAAAAGGCTTTTGCTGGAATGGAATGCCGACCCGCGGCGGAGATTGCCATATCTGCCAATGATCCAGGTCGATTTCGGGAAGGAGGTACTGGCCGGTATGCAGCGGGCATTTTAGGAAGATGGTTTTTACTTGCCAATATAACAGCTAGGCAGATGACTGTCTTTCCTAAGCCCATAGTTTCTGCTAGAATACCACCCCGGTTCGTTTCGTAGTAGCGCGGCTCCTGCAAAAATGATCCATCTCGAGCCCCGAAGTAAAACCTCTTCCCGTTTGGTGCGGTGCGAACCTCCAACCGTGGATCAAGCTGCAACTGTGGCGAGGCTTCTCGTTGCAGCATCAAGCTCGCCGAACGTGTCTGATAAGCGTAAAGCCTGGTTTTGAGCCCCGGTAGCGCCTGTTCGCCAAGATCCGACCACTCGGATACCGCTGCAGATTCTAGTACGTCTTGTACGGCAGCACGTGTATAACGACACTTGATTGCCGCTAAATTTGGCGCAGGGGATGGTAGCTTGTTGAACAGGTAATACAACGAGGACGGTTCTGCGCTGGCCCAAGGATCAAAGTAACATATCTCAACCTGCCCGTAGTCACCGTTCCAAGTAGTCGATGAGATGTCGATCTTATGTAGGAGTTGTCGCAAAGCCGTCTTCAAACTCCTGCTATTCCGGTCGATAAAACGACGACCCCAGTCTTCTGGTAACAGATAGACGCGGAGGAGACTTCGAAGAGACGCGCTGTTGAGCGTTTTATTATGGAAAAACAAGCGAATCCAGCGGGCTTCCAATAGTCTCGATGCTTCTGTGCCAATAATTGTTTTAATTTCGTCCGGAAGTTCGCGGTACAGTAGTTCAATCCAATCGCCACTCGATGGTGAGGCTGATATGATATTGATAGGCTGCTCGAGGTGAAGGCAGCCAAGAGCGATGTACTGATCCATGTCTTGTGCCTTGGTCTCCGCGCTTTTGATATTGTTGTCGGTTGGTGAGAGCGCTGGGGTAACGGGCGTAGTCTCTCCGGTCACTGCAGAGGCAAACGCCGAAGACACAGACCTAGCTTCGTCACGGTCGTTCATCTCTTTGTCAGCTGCGTTATCAATTTCCTTGTGTGTCGCTCGACGGTCATGTCTGGCCACTGCCCATGGATTGGCCAACTCAATTGATGATAGTCCAACCATCACAAACGTGTATCATCATTGAAGTCGATAGGAGCAGCCGCAAATCCTAAGCGGTTTAGCACCAGATCACGAATCGAGAATGGTTGTCAGTGAGCGGATAGATAGAGATGAGAGGCAACCGCCAAGTACACGGTGTTAGCGTTTCGCGCTAATGCTTTGGGTTAGCGCGGATGATCAAAATGAGGGTTGACCGGCAGCCGAAATAGGATGGACCTCCTGTTTGGTAGTGATAGATCACCGTGATGATGACATGAGTGGCTCTGTGTTGTTTTCTCGACAGTTGTAACATGTCAGGGATGTTTCATATCCGGTGGCAATTATGTCTACGCGTGACGCGACTGTAATCAATCCGCGATATTGCAGACCAGGATCAAGCAATGCGTAGACGCGATCACATATAAAGAGCCCTGGAGAGCGAAGTAACTGTCCTCATTGTGTATTCAAATCGTGAATTCGGATTCTTGTTGCAATGCTCTCCTTTGTCGCTCAAGTCTTGCTCATTGTCTCAGGCGCACTTGCGGTGCCAGTTGAGAACGCTGGAAACTCAGCAACCGTAGGCAAGATACGAGGCGTTCGCGATCCGATCTATCATCTGTATCTCCAGGCCAACTCTAAAAATGGTATGCCACCCCTCATATATCAACCTTCCTCTTTGTACTTCTCCAGTAATTTGCCGTTGACACACATAGCATCCATACCCGTCCTGGGCCCCGAAACAGCAGCTGACGAATTTACTATTGGTGGCACAATTCAATCGAAGAAGACAAGTCTGTACCTGAACATAGCGACCACGTCGACAAGCTACAAACCATTGGTATGGGGGACGACTGGGGATACGACAGCATGGGGGTTGGAGGGTGACACCATTATAACTGTACAAGGTAGCAGCTACGGTCGGCGTAAGCATCCCAGGAGGTGTAGAAGGCACGGTTCGCCCTTTTTGTTGCTAACACGCGATGTAGAGCTAAATTTCCTCGTATGCAAATCGACGGACGCAAGTTACTACGACTTGTATCTTCAGACCGGAAGCGACGTTCCGAGTGGAAGGACGTGCAGTAATTACCAGACAATACATCTACCGTGTCTCTGCTGAAGATTGTTACTGCTGGGCCACTTGTTGTTGTAGTTCATGTTCTTGAAAGAGCAGATACAAAGTAGCAAAGGCAGAAGCTTCGCATCAGGTCGCCGACCTTCGATCACTAATTTAAACGTGATATGGATAGTTTTGTGATCCTCCGCAAATCAATCTTGGAAGACAGCGAGGAAAGTGAGAGATCTGTCCGCGGCAGTGCTAACCACATCGGGTATGGCACGTTTCGAGACCGAAGAGACCCACCGAGGGGATCCACCGATGATTCGATGATTAGTGACGTATCGACCTTGTTAACTCCGAACAGCGTAGCTCTTTCGTTGATGATTAATGGTACAGATGTGGGGAAGATGCTGTTGCATATCACTGTCCCCGCTTCCTTTCTTCAAACGTCCATCGATTGAAGCACATCAACAATCATGTCATACAGCAGAATAGGAGTCGTGACCGGCGCGAACAAGGTACTCATACACACCCACGGTCCCTTCGCAGGTACTGGACTGATTCCTATAGGGCATTGGACGCGCAATCGTCCAGCAGCTAGCCCTCCAATATCCCAAGTCGCCGCTTAACAGCGGACCCTTTTTGATTTACCTGACAGCTCGTGATCAAGGCAGGGGAGAAGCTGCCGTCAAGGACCTGGAGCAAGACGCGCAGCTCAAGGAGGCAAAGGCATTGAAGGCCGATGGAGGGCTATCGGAGATTAAATTCTACTTGCTTGATATCACGAGCAGCAGCAGCATCAAAACGCTCGCAGACCACTTGAAGCAGGCGCACGGAGATGGCATTGACTTTGTCATCAACAACGCGGGAATTGCCATGGATGGCTTTAGTGCGTATCGCTTCCCGTACCACGTATTGCTTATGCTAACGGCTACAGACGCCGATATTGTCAAGACAACCCTCGACTGCAACTACTACAAGACGCTCGAGGCATGCCACGCTTTCCTTCCCCTCCTGAAGCCCACGGGCCGCATCGTAAACCTCGGCAGCATGGCTGGTAAACTCAACAAGTACTCCGAAGAAGTCCGTAACCGCTTCCTCTCCTCCAAGACCGAGGAAGATGTCACAAAGATCATGAAGGAGTTCGTTTCTGCTGTGGAGGCTGGCAAAGAGAAGGACGCTGGATTTCCTAGTGCAGGTTATGCTGTGAGCAAAGCGGGTATAATTGGAGGCACACGAGCGCTGGCCAGACAGGAGAAGGAGAAGGGAAGCAAAGTGTTGATCAACGTCTGCTGTCCTGGCTACGTCAATACCGATATGACGAAAGGTGAGAATCTCCCCTGTTCGGACTTCAAAGGAAGCATTAACTAACTTGGCATACCAAATTTTAGGCAACGGAACACGAACTGTAGAAGAAGGAGCTCAAACGCCGGTGCTGCTTGCAATCCATGACATTCAGAACAAGACGGGTGGCTTCTGGCAGTACGAGAAGGAGATCGACTGGGTTGGATAGAAGTACAACAAAATAAAAAGAAACAGATCCTCCAAAACTGATCCGCAATTTTGTCTTGTCACCATGCCTATGATTCGATAGCTGGAAGTTTACACGCATACAAGACACACGCTACAGTTCTCTTACAACAACGAAGTGGAAAGGAGCTTCAACAGCAAGAAACTTGACGCGTTTACAGGGCTAACGCGTCTTACATTACTAGCGCGGATCTCTTCTGGCGGTAGAAGCGACGCGTGAGGAAGGGGCGATAGAGGGAGGTGCGTCCCACGTTGAAAGAGCAACTCAGCAAGACTTCCAAACTTCAAACAACTCTGATTATGCATATTCTGCGTACCTGGGTGGAGCTGGGCGATTACTATAACCAGACACCATCGATAGATGTCTCTCAACTTCACCAAAGGCGAATCTAAGAGGTTGTAGCTGTGAACCGTGCCGGGGAGTGTCTTTAGCTGCAGAGGTGGCAAAAGTCGTGCCTTCCTCCAAGACCAAGATGGACCCACTTTCGAGTTCGACATTGTGCCATCTCGTGCAACACGCGCCTTGTGACTGGACGAGCGAAATTTAAGGTTATCCGATGAGTGGTGACGCGTAGCTGCTTCGCGTCTTCCTGCAAGACTTCCTGCTCTTTGGCTATACCACTCCACCGCCCTTGACTGACACCATGGCCACCAACGTGAGTAGGACTGCACAGCGGAGATGCCGTACCTGTAAACCATTGACCAGACTAATTCGAGTATCGCAGACTCATGCTACCGCAAAGCCAGCGAAGCCAACGCCTCTCGACTGGGTAAGTTGACCGCAACTCCACTGCCTCGCTCCTTCCAACTTTTTGCTCTCCACCTCTTCGCTCTTCCACGTCTCCACTTCCTACCTCTCGCACTTCTCATCTACTGCACTTCTCACGTTGTTCCATTACCCATCTCTTTCAACTCCGGTGAACTGGTAGCCACGCTCTTGCACCTAAGCTAACATATTGTTAAGAAAACCTACTGGGTAGAGAAGAAAGAGAAGAAGGTACAGGAACAAGAGCGCAAGCGAAAGAGAGAAGAGGACGCGCAAGACGTGCCGCCTGCGTGAGCCCGACTTTGGTGACTGTGACAAGAAGAAGAAGCCCCAGATCATACTGCCGTTGCGTGGGGCTGCAAGTTCGAAGTTCTTTACTTGTTCGTTAGCGGAAAATGGGATTTTCAAGCAATGCAAAGCGATATCTTTGGCGCTCGACCGAATTATAGAACCACATTGTCGACGCCTCCCCATCGAAGAATCAGTTTCATCATCACTTGGTGTAGCTCGGTCTCCTTGGTGTAGTTGGTTATCACGTGGGTCTCATATCACCATATATGACTACTATCATAGTAGATATCCCAAGGCCGCCAGTTCGAGTCTGGCAGGGGACAAGTTGTTTTTTTCGTTCTTGCAAGTTCACGCGTATGCTAGAACTTTGTCAGGTTGTATTTTTTTTTTTGGAATTATCCTCGATAAAGTGTCGTGGGCTCTCCAGGCTACAAACTCGCAAGGAGCAAAGCAAAACTAGTAGCGAGGTATTCTTTGACTTGATATCGTTCTTTCCTCGTATTCACTTTGCAGCAAGGCTGTGTGGCTTGGAAATCTCAGCCGCGTTCTCACAACGAGAGTAGGTTGGAACATCATCTCAAATATTGGGATTTGACGGAGCACATCGTAGGATTGAAAGCATGGACGCAAAAGCAATATTAGCTGATTGAGTTGTGTTGGTGAGCTAGTATGGTCACGGCACGCATGCACGCAGCGATGTATGTTTTCCTCGATGCCTCCCGCCATTAGCCATCGACGCGTCCCCTCAACACTCACCACCCTTGGAATGTGCAACGCCCGCCAGCTACGCCTGGTATAGTCCCGGCTATATTAGAGGAAGCTGCGGGGGTCTTGAATATACCGAATTATAGATGTTTCAGGCATCTTTCTTTTGCCAGACGCGTCGCACAGTAGCAAAATCGGTGTTCACGTGCAGCCGTGATAGATCCGCGTTGCTCAGGGGCTTCCGAAGCGATTACGAAACCCGTTGATGTCATGATTCAACGAACATCCAAATCGACCTCATCAACTACAATCATAACCCATCAAGATTGATGGGCATTCATCTCAATTCAGCAGTTAAATCCTACCAAATTCCAGTCTCATACTATCTGATACGTGAAGATGCCTCAGGCGAAGAAACAGAAGACCGTGCACGATTCCGGCGTTTTCCTGGAGGAGTCGGGCAGTGAGAGCTCAGATTCTGCTTTTGAGACGGTGCGCACCCACAAGAACGACAAAGAGAAAGGCGCAAAAAGCAAGAACAACAGCACGGATGAGACCCAGTCAAACAAGCCTGCAAATCCAGCGCCGTATGATTACGTCTGTATACCTCATCCTTTCTTCGACGTAGAGGACAGGAATTGGCTGAATTGGACATTGGATCCGGACGCCTACATTGAAGATGAATTGGAGGTTTTTGAAAAGCTCTACAAGCCTATTGACGATAAGTTCAGAAAAGACGGTGTCTTCAAAGCACCGCCGAGCAAGTTTCCGGAGCACAAATGGGTGATGATGTGGGATGCTTGGCTGAAGGTGGACTTACTAGGAAGGAAAGCCAAATATTGCGATCCTGACGGTTTCGGCATGGAGCTATACCAAGACTGGCAAGGATGGGGAGTACAGGAGATCTTGGAAAACATGGTATGTGCGAAGATCGACGGGGTATGCTAAAGCTGACAATGAAAAGCTGATCGAGTTCGACGAAAGCTTCCGGGCCAACGATGACCGCATTGAGAAGATGTGGTCGGTGGTTAGTGCAGTGGGCCTCTGGATGAATTGCGATGAAAACATCGACGCGCTCACGAACAATGAAGACGGCAAGACAACCTGCGAGCTTTTTGGCGTACTGGGCTGCGCATTACTGACTGTGCTTGCGACCATTGAAGCAGCAGGCGAGCTCAAGCCAGATTCCCGCTTTCTCGACTTGACTCTTGGTATCTCATATTACTTGGAATTATCGCACGATCTCCCTGCATATGGCATTGAAGGAGAATGTGTAGCTTGGCGCAAAGAAGCCGTCAATTACTTCAAGAAGGGCAAGCTCGATCCCGAGAAGGGAACCTATACAACGAAGCTGCGTATAGAGAAATTGTCCAAAGTAGGCAACTTCGATGGTGACGACGGCGACTACAAGGAAACCAATGGACTTGTTGAGGAGGTCATGACTGGGATGACGAGCTCTGAGAGACTTCAGGCTGAGAGACTTCAAGCTGAGAAAGCGACCGCGAACCCTGTCGGCAGCTCTGCTGCAAATCCGGTCATGATCCCTGAAGACGACGACGCGAACAAAGAGAACGAAAATCCAGAGGCCACAGGCGACAAGGCTGTCTCTTCGCTACCGACTTCAAATGGCAAGAGAAAGAGGGGTTTGAGCGATGCAGAGAACGTGAAGGATACGAACAATGGGAAGAAAGACCCATGGCACTGGAATGAGAAGTTCAACGCGTACAAGGAGAGGCAAGGTGAAACATTGGGTGGTGAAAAGTATGACATTACCAAGATGACCAGGGCAGACAGAGCAGCTACGTCGTTCACTGGGAAAGATCCCCTTGCAAAAATCCCGGTGAAGTATCTAAAGGAAAATCTACTGGATAAAGCTTAGTTGTAAGGAATAGGATCTGTCGGAGTGTAATACACGTTTACGATGATATGTGCAAGTTCCTGTTTTCGATGTCTAGGAGGCGTTTTTCAATCTAGACTGCTATTGCACACACCCCCGACTATCCACTGGCCAGATCTCCTCGATAACCCCCTTCCGATACGCATAATAGACATTATGTAAGTTCACCGTCGGATCGATATGGCTAGGTACCATCTCAACCCTATCTCCTATCTTCAACTCTTCACCCTTGCCTTCCTCCCAGGCAAGACTGCCATGCTCATCACCCAGAACCCCATACGTATACCCCGGTGTCTTGCATTCTGCAAGCCCAGAGTCCGTCGTCAGCGACTTGAGTCCTGCATCAATAGTAATGATATTCGCGCCCTGTTTGCTGAGAACTGTAGAGAGGATGGTCAGACTCTGAGCGTAGTTCGTCGAACCAACGGCGTTGCGATAATCCGTGTCCATGAAGAGGAAAGAGCCAGGCTGTACCTCGGTGATTCCAGGGACGGTGACACAGAACTCTGCAGTTCCAGTTCCACCTGTTGTTACTACATCGATGGCATGACCTTCTTTCCTTAGCGCATCGGCAGTAGACGTAAGGATCTTCATGCTCTCAAGACACTGGCTTTTGCGCTCTTCGAGACCATGGACATGTTGCAGGTGGCCTTCGTACCCTTGTACGCCGATGAGTCTGAGATGCTTTGAGCTGGTGACAAAACGAGCTAGTTCCGAAGCTGGTCCCCCGGGTTGCACGCCTGTACGATGCAATCCCACATCGAGATCGATGAGCGTCATAACTGTGCCCTCGAAATCGCTTTCTGATAGTGCTTGTTCAATGGCGCTTGCGCCCTCTTTGCTGTCGACAACTATTCTTACATCTCTGTACTTCTTGACCAATTCCACTAACCTCTTTACCTTCGCAGGACCGATAATCTCACATGTAATCAGCAGATCTGTGAAACCCTTCTCACACATGATTTCTGCCTCGCTGAGTTTCGCCACGCATCCACCTTTTGCACCCGCTGCGACCATCTTCTTCGCAATGATCGCAGATTTTGAGGTCTTGAGATGTGGACGGATATTGACACCAGTAGGGAGGAGTTGTTTCATGAGTTTACTTAAGTTGGTCTCCATGAGGTCCAAGTCCACAATCATGGATGGCGTGTCTAGCGATTCCAGTGAGTCGCCCACCTTAGGAGAGTACGGCATGGTTGTGTTGTGTACGAGACGCTGGTAGGACCGATGGTATGCAGAACGTTGTTGGTGGTAAATTGTGAAAGCAGCTCGACCACGACTCGAAACGCATATATGCCGGAGAATTACGGGCTTAGTCACAACGTATCGGAGTGCGAACATCGGACACGGCGCTTGAAGATAGGCGTTAGGAGTGAAAAAGTGGGTTGCTTGATCGTGATAACCCGAAATGGTAAGCCGGCGGCCATCCCACCTTCCTGACTGAACACTAGCCTCTAGGTTTACGGACCGTTCATGTCGTACAACCGCGAGGTACCACAGAGGGTATGCATCAGCCTTTTTGTCATGCGTGTATCAATAGAGACTACATTCAGTACGTTCAAGGAGCGTTGAACATAGGTTGCGGTCACGTTGCACTCATCTCATTCTGTACAAGCAATTTCGCAAAACTGAAGTCCAGCCTAGAAACCATTTTCGATAGTCATCTGCGAGTCCGCACGTGAGAGCTCGTTTCTTCTAATATCTACTCAAAAAGAATCCCGGAGTTGTTCGCCTTTTTTTCCTTCTGAGTCATGATCCTACTGAAGGAGATATGGCGCATACCTTAGGGATAGGTTGTTCCATTGGGTAGCACTACTCAAAACGAATGAGCATCTTTGTACGGGCTTGTGCTTAACAGTACTTTCGAACCTGACGAATGAAGCCCGTGAATCCAAAAATGGTGCTTCCATCTATCAAGCCTTGCAGCCTTTGTGCCCACTTTGCTGCCACATCGTAACACTCTTAACCCTCATCTGCCCATCGTCCTTCCAGGTAGGCAGCCACTGGTCCTTGGCTTCCCAAAAGTCGAGCTTTGCCCGAAGGCTCCTGTCAATCCATGGCTTACCGCTCTTACCATCCTCAAACCAGCCATTTGTTGAGCCAACAGCAAGGTTCACGACAAGATAGAACTCCTGGTCGAAAGGAGCTGTGTTGCCTTTGGTGTGCTTCCATGGATTCTCAAGGCGGGTGCCGTTGGCATCGGCTTGAGGGAAATTACCGTACTTGAAAAAAGGCTCATCAAAATGCGTGTACATGACTTGTAGGAGGCGTGTATTGATATAAGTGAAGATGTACTTCTCGCTCCACTAAATGCATGGTCAATACCGTCGCGCACGATAGTATGGAAAGGAAAGTAGGGGTATTACCTCAACACCAAAGGTGTTGTAGTCGGCTGCATATGTAGTGTGCAGCGCCTGGCGCTTGACATTGTTGCGCCACCAACCATTGTGGTTGGCGTCAGGGCCGAAGTGCAGCGTGCTCGAGACGACGTTATTGCCGCCTTGCGCATAACCTGGAGCATTGCCGCGGGACTCCGCGATATCGATCTCACCAGAACGAGGCCAGGCGCCATATACGTTATCCTTGGGTAACATCCAGATGGCGGGCCACAGCCAGTCACCAGTGGGCAGCTTGGCGACGACTTCGACGCGGCCGTACTTGATTGAAGCACCAAGTTTGGTATTTATTCGGCCAGACTTGACAGGATTGACAATTGTACCGTTAGTCGTGTTGGTAGTGGCGACACAGTCGGTCCAATCGGAGCCAGTGCATCCCTGTCCACGGAGATCGATGATGTAGTTGCTGCCGATGAATGTTTCGTCTTGGATTGTTGGCTTTATAACGAGCTCGCCGTTCTTGATGAAAACGTTCTCGTCTGTACCTGTAGTCATCTCGAATTGGCCGTTGCTACAAACATCAATCAGTCCAGGTGTAACAATGGTTCGAGGCAACATACCCATAGCCGCCCAGCTCGACTTCCTTAGTCCAGACGTTCTCGTTCAGCGTGGTGAAATTATCATGGTAGATCTCGCAGTATTTGTGCCTGCCTATGACTCTGAAGCCGTCCCAGATCATGATAGCCACTACCATGAAACCGAGTCCAAGCCCGATAAGAGGAAGAATTGTGCCCCATTTCTGCCTGGGATGCGGCTTGTCGAGCCACGGCATCTGCACATCTTCGGGCTTAACCCGTCGTGAGCGGAAATACTGACCTGGTACGGGTCCGTAGTGGAAGCCAGAGCCTGTGGCTTGCTTGCCCTTGAAGGCTTGCTTGCTGTTGGTGCTTTTGGATTTGTGGACTTTCTCTGAAGGGTCCCCCGAGCGGGCTACAGGGGTGATGATGTCAGGAGTTTCTGTGAGGTTCTGCATAATGTGCTGGTGTTATAGTATAGGAGGAGAGAATAATGTAAAGTAGTAGACTTTTTGTAGCAGGCAAATTCGATATCCGCCTAACATGAAACCTACCACACGTGTACGCATCGGGAACCCTGTGGCCAGTAGACAGTATTTCAACGTACTTACAGAGCGCATGTTCGCATAGCGTAAGCCCGACTGAATGTTCAATGGGCGGTCCAATCCAATTACGCGACAGAGCGACCGAGTCCCTTGGTACGAGTAGATCCCGTTCGCCAGGCTCCACAGTAAAGAGAACATGTTTCCTTCGAACCGTAAGACAGATATGGTGATTGTTGGTCTTGTGTGGGTACTTGTGGAAAAGATTGACGGCTGAGAACCGGCGATTGGATGAGCCACTCAGCACGAAAAGGCTCGATTTTTCGACAGTTGTATCTACCACCGAAAGCACCTTACAGGCATTCGTCGTGTCTCAAGATGACGACAGGATCATGTAACAAATAGCGAATACCTCTAGGTTATGAAATAGGTTTTTCTGTTGAGAGATACAGATCAGTGAAACCGAACCTTTATTCTTTCGTAATTTGAGCGCGTCAGCGCCCTCAGCACTCTGAAACAACAGCTGCACCGAAGGGACATATCACGCTCAAGACGCCCACGACCACAGCGCGTCGCTTGTTTCGCCCGCGCATCTATGCGCCCACTGCCAGACTCAAGTATATGCCCCACACGACACCCACAGAGCAGCCAAAGAGGACCCTCTTGTCTACTGGCACCCACAGGAAGCTGATAAGGCTTATCGCAGGCCAAAACTTGTATCCGTCCTTCATCATTGGCCATAGCTTGTTCGCGCAGTCGCTCGTAACCACGTCCATGGCGTTGACGCCAGGTTTCCCCTGCGCATTGACATAACCCATATATGCCAAAAACATGAGTGTGTTGACGACTGCGCCGATGGTCTGATCAAGCAGGAACTTGATAAGGACGTTGGTCTTGTTGAGGGACGTCTTGGCGGGATCGGATTTCGAGCCTGGCTTCTCGGACGGTAGAGCAGCAGAGGGCACATTGGTAGGAAATTGCTCTTCTAGGTAGCCTTGCCAGACAATGTTTGGCGGGGTGCTGAGTACGCTGAAGAGCGCGAACTTGAAGACTGTGGCATAATTGAGCGCAAAAGGCGTCTGGGCACGTGTCAGCTACAGGCACCAAATAACCACAAATTGCGCAACTGTGCGTACGCCGTCTTGATACGACGATATGGCTTGCGCAAGCACATTCGAAGTTATGCTGAGCACTGCGCCCTGCAGGGTCTGCGATACTATCGACATGATTTCGTTGTTGATCAGGTGTACAAATATCCACAGCCGCGATTGAACAATGGAAAAGTAGGATGAAATTTATCGCAGGTAGGATAAATGCAGAAGAGGAGGCGTGAGGCGTGTGTAGGGCTATGTGTATCAATGTGGCCAGCACATCGACTATTTTCGGGAGTATCAACAATGTTTCGCCCATGGCAAGTCGCGTCCCGCCATCCCGCCATCCCGCCATCCCAGCCCGCGTCCGCCCGTGACGTCAATCAAGACGTGCAGCCCAACACCGCGTTGATTAGGACCGCTTTTCCATAGTACCCTGCCTTGCAGCTCCTTCTCATGAATGGCCCAATGGCAGTGTCGACGCGTACTTACTGGACTGCTGGATTGCACCTGAAGAATAGTCAGACCGTCGCAAAACGACTAGTACGCCATCTTACGTCCTAAAGGAATCGCTGCGGAGTAGAACAAGGTATGCAGTCGCAAACGATGTTGGAGCTAGCCGATAGAAGTTTCATGTAGCTAATCTAACTTAGATCTAATCTTGAACCTCATTCGACCGCGCGGGCATTCTAACAGGCTGATAGCGCGAAACCATAGACCAATACAATCTTGAACAAAGACAATAAGCCATTCGCACTGACAGGACCCTTTCGTGATCACACCCATATTCGCGTCTCACCCAAGTGTAATCTCTACCTTTTCCTTTGCCTCGCTCTCCCAAACGTCCTTCCTCACTCTTCCAAGCGCTTTGCGATATGCAACGCCTTCCACCCGTCTTACCCAGAGTACATTGACGAACTCGTACAGCCCTTGCTTCCAACCGCAATCTTCTTGGTACCATTCGTCAAAGTTTCGAGCATCGATTTCCCAATCCTCGACCGAACCAGCAGATATCTCAATAAGCTCACATAGCTCATCTCCCATCCGAGCCGGGTCGTAGAGCGCGTCCGCGACTTCAGTGTGCAAGGGTGTAGTAAATGAGAAGCTCGGAAGAGCTTTAGAGGTATCCCGAGAACGGTGTTTTAGGGCTGGGGCTGACGAGGTTGAAGTTTCGTCACGCGCATGCGAAGGTATAAAATTGAGTCGGAGACATCCAGCCCAACGACCAGAATCCGTGAGAAGTTGTATGGAAGGACAGCCTGACGTCGTGTTGAGGAATTCTTTGCCCAGTGTAAGGAAGGCGTGTTTCGTAATACAATGTAGAAACCGAGCGTTTACCACAGGTTGCCGGCGGCTTGTCTGGTCGAGGATTGGGATGGGGAAGCGGAAGGGTACGGAAGGGTCACACGAATGTCGAACTGCATTTCCGTCCTCTCCCAAGCTTGTAGACAAGGTCCATCCTGGAGGTAGGCTATCCCCCGGCTTGGTAAACGCTGGCCGCCTAAATTGCAAAGGCATAGTGATTAGAGAACGCTCCGACGTCAGCGTTTTTGAATACGTCCATTGAACAGTACTGATGGTCCGCCAGGAAGTGTATTGTGGTATATCTGAGATAGGCGAATACTCGAACTGGTAATTGGCAGCACTTCTCCAGCTCTCTGAGTTAATGATGCCTTCCCATCCTGCCCAAAACCATGAAGGTAAGATTGTTTCGCCAGCAGACAGTCTTCGCGGTTTTCGCCTCTTTAAGAATGCCCATGGTTGCCACAATAGCGCGGCATCAAAACACATTGTTGGTAGACCAGATATGAAACCTCCTGGGAACACGCTGCTCAAATGTGCCAGACAACTGATGAACGCATCAAGAACATCTTCCGGGAAGGTCAAATCCCGTTCGTTGAACAAAGTCATGAGCCTTGTGAATCGCATCATATCTGGCCAAAGTGAATTATGGAGACCAGCAACAGGTACGTCCATTTTAGTTGCAGAAGTATCAAAGTTTGGTGTTGGGGTGTGGGAAGGAGCGAGTGTAAGTCGGGATATATCCTGGCACTCGTGCCAGGAAGCACATAGACATTCCCAATTGACTGTATCGTTTTGAAAGATGACCCTTCGTGTAGAGAATATGTATTCCTGAAAGGTCCAGCCTCGCGAATACCACTTGGTCTGCATGAGTGATACCGCTTGATCAAGCATATATTTTGCACCATCCAGAGGTTGTCCGTCTGCCCTTCTCTTCTCTTGTTTTGAAGGAGAATCACCATGAACAAGCGCCATTCTACGATGTCCATAAAGACTCAGGCTCGCTTCTTCGTTCTGAGCTGCGACTAAGGTAAAGAGTGAACCTGCATATATCTCTCCCATAACACTTAGTTGATGGTGTTTGGTTGCGTCATCGTCTTGGATGATTGTGATCCGATCCACCCATAGATAAGGAAGCCCCAAATCCCTCATCAGATTGATGGCGTCCCTGATAAGACTAGGTAGCGATATGATCCCGTTGTAGAGTCCGTTATGCTCTTGGAGCTCTTTCAGGTTCGATTTCGTGGCGCAAGCTGAAGCCTCTGCCCTACCCCAAACATAGCTCAAGGCAACATAACGCGGGCGTTCAGGCGCCGCAACCAAACACCCTCGCTCAACATCAACCAGGTAGGACGGAAATGGCGAGTGCATCTGTGAGATTCTGCTACCATGGCAGCGTATTCCATGTAGTTTTTCGCAACGATCTATCCACGTTTGGATGATACCGACATCCAGAATCGTAGCGTCCTGAGCTAACACACTAGTGTCTGCCTCTGAGTCCCTCTTCTCAATGTAAGGAAGAAAAGGGACGAGGTGAGTAGGCATATCCTTCCATGACACATCGGTGTTTCTGGGTGACGCTGTGCGGCAATGGCGTCGTCGGGTCTCTGGGAAGTGCACCGCCGAAGACACCGTTTGGCGAGCGAGTTCTTCAGCTGTATCGGGAATCCATAGCTCCGTTTGATGGTGCAACCGGGGAATTCCAATCCAGCCCTCTTGGGGAGCTATACTCGTGCCGGTAGCCTCAGTCGTTACTGCTTGCTTGTCTTCCTGCATTCTGCACTCTGCTGCTACCACGTCCATGGTCTGTACTAGGCCTGACGCGAGGCGCCTTTTTCGATAAAGTTATATGTTGACCAGATGCTCATGTGGCATGCACATAATTCGATCCTCTACGTGATCCGCTCTCAGGCGCCTCTTTCTTTCAAACTCGCTGTGCACGAATTTGCTCGATATTTTATCAGGTCCGAGGATACCAATGCCTCTTCCACAACGGTGGAGATGGGTTCATTAACATTGGAGACGACATCGTTGGCAGTGAAGGAATATTCGAGTGGTGACGCAAAGTGAGGGGTATGACCCCGGTGACAGGGGCAGCCAGAACTGGTTAATGAACTCTCTATCTCGGTGGTAGAGGAGAATCTGATGCGCAAGGCTGACAGGACAGGTACTCGTCGGTCGGACTCCGAGTCATTGGACTAGCTACTGGTGCAATTTGATTACTCATGGACCAGGTGTAGTCGCTTGGTATGGCTGGGTCAACATTGTATGAAGCTGGTAGGGAAGTCGCCCATTCTCCTATCTGTTCCCCTTGTTGACCAGGGGTGCAAGCGGCGTGGTACGGAGAAACCACCAGTCTTTATCCGGTATCGATTCTGGTGATGATTCAGCTGATCTCTTGTGATGATTCACAAAAACGAGGGACAACGATGGCTGCGCACATCTACTTCATGGCAAGCCACGTTACACCACTCACTGAAGCGCGTCGAGCAACGAGTCGCGGTCTTAAGCGGTCGATTCTTCTCGGTAGAAATCCGCCATGCCCTCTTTCACAGCCTTTCGGAGTTGCGCACCCGCTCTGCCCAGCTCCCCGCCACCTTTGGTAGCCTGCTCCAGACCTGCGATGATTGCAGCCTCAGCTCGATCTCGAAACAATCTTTGCCGATCTTCACGGTCTTCATACATCTCTGCTTCTTCGTCTCTGGCAGCACCAAATAGGTTCAAATGCGCGTAGGCATTCGATCGTTCGGAGAGCACGTGATGCTGCGTATGCCAAAGCGGAAAAGTGTTGTCGCTGAGGCCGATAGAAGCAGCTGTCTGAGCATGAGAGAGCCCGATGCGGAGGAAAGAAGTCAACGCATTCATTTGCTTGACTTGCATCTTCGTATCGGCCTTTCCGTACGATTTTCCAGACGACCATTTGCTCGATGCTTCACTTTGCCAACCAAGCAAAGTGAGGAAGCATTTGAGCATCTTCACCCACCCTCCAGCACAACTGACAATTTCATCGCCTGTGACCACAAGCAGCCATTCCAGCACCTCGAGGCCAAATACACGAATTTCAGTTGCTAAGTGCGTCATTGCAGCTCTTGTGTGCAGTAGCAGCTGATCTGCGTGGCTAGCGATATCGATTGGTGGCAGACTTTGCAGAAGCTTGAGTAGTTGCTGACGAACATTATTTGATCCGTCCAGAATGAGCTTTTGTGCCACGGGAATGATGACAGACGAAGGTTGCGGTAATGGAACTGTAGGTGGGTTGCTTGTGATGGCTGATGTTAAAAAGGCCAAGGATTCTTTCCGCTGTGCATCTGACTTGTGATTTAGTAGACCTAGGTGATGAGCGCATTGCGCTTCTAAACTTGGAGCACTGGTAGAAAGTGCTTGCTGCTTAAGAGAAATTGCTGCGATGTGTTAGTTGAGAATGTGAAATTTAGTTTTGTAAGTCTCACATTTGGCTCGGAAGCTGGTATCAGTGCTATTCGCTGCCTTGGGTCTGGCTTTTCCGACCTTCAATTTTGGTTTCTGTTTTGGTCAGCTCTGTAATTCGTAGAAATCCTGTACATGCTTACCTGGAAGTCTTTCTTCTTGTTCTCCTTCTTCTTCTTTGAGCTGGCGGTCATGATGTCGGACTATTGGAACCCTGCAAATCAAGTTCGCGACCCTCTGAATCGAAGACCTTCTCCTTACGCGTGAAATGTCGAGGAGGTGAACGAAAATCTTCGCGTTAATGATTGAAGACGCGTTCCCTACTGATGAGCGGAAAATTGAAGATCTACAGATGCCGCTAATACCAAAAAGGCATGGACCATGTAGCTCTTGGCAGGGTCCAGCCGCGGTGGTGTACGACCATGTCATTATTAGCATCTGTAAACAGCGACTGCATCTCTTAGTCTCCATTGTACCTGTTATGCAACATGGCTCAGAACGCTGTATGTATCAGTCAGTTCTTGTAGTAGCAGAACACTAACGACTGCATAGCCAGACGAGACACTTTCGCTACTCACGCGACTGAGCCAAAAGCCTGGCGTTCAGAGCACCCTGATTTTGTCGCGCGAGAACGGCACCATAATACGCACTTCGGGTCTCATATCGAATAGCTCGTCGGCGAATCCAAACAGCACTCTACCGGCATCCGGGGAAGCTGCATCCGACAACTACTCGAACGGCAGGAAAGAAAGTGGGATACACAGCGCTGAAGACGTTGCGAGCATGGTCTGGTCATTCTTGACAGCAGCAGGGAGCCTCGTAGACGAGCTGGACAAGGATGATGAGGTCAAGCTTCTCCGACTGCGGACAAAGAAGAACGAACTGGTCATCGTGCCAGGTATGTTCCCCGCACATGCAATGGTGGGGCTTATGCTAACGTCTCCAGATCCCAAGTTCATTCTCGTCGCTATTCACGATACACCTCCAGCATAGGCCATACTACCAACTCATCGCACATGTTTCCCGATCCCCGCAAGCGTTATGATACCCAGTCGTTCTGATTTGAATACAACAAAAACCTCAGTTACCAATGAGACTCACTAATCTCGACTGCGTTCACGTCCACACCGTCCTTGAACCATCGTTCTACGCGAATTTCAGTCGATGTTTCCGCTTATACATGCAAGCTTGAAATACTCACGGGTTTCACCAATCTCGATATCGTTACCGCTCATCTGCCGCTTGCGCATCTTCCCGTCTTCTGCAAATGTCCAATCCTCGAGACCATAGCAACGCTTCCACTTCATGCCGTCATGGGCATCTTGAAACTCATACCAGAATTGCACGGCGATTTTGTTGTCAGTAAAGGCAAATAGTTCTTTGCGCAGCTGGTAATTCTTCTCCTTCTCCCACTTCTTTGTTAAGAAGTTTTCAATCTCCGCCGTACCAGAGAGGAAAGACGATCGATTGCGCCAAATACAGTCGGGTGTATAGGCTTGTGCGATTGCCTTGGGATCCCTGGCATACTTAGTAGGCGTGAGGTAGCTGGTCACAATGCTGCATACTGGCCATTCCAGAGGTCCTGTGCCTTCTTGACCTTGGCATGGGCGGATTCTTGAGTAAAAGGTGGTGCGAGTGACATATTCGGAACGAGCAAAGCTAGATAGGTTCAGACAGATTGTAATAAGAATCAGTTATATATCATCAAAACAACAAAGACGATCACTTTGAAGTTGAGTCATGCTGAGTGATGAGATGCCGCTGGATGGATGCCTCGTATCGGCACTTCGGCATGCGCTTACATGCATCCCTGTGGAAAGAAGCTCAGTTACTTCAAAATGGACATCGAGCATTTAGACCTCCAAGATCTCACCTAAAGAGGATCAGAGGACATACAGCCAGTGCGAGTAGAACGTTGGTTCGACGAGTGACAACACAAGCTCTGCCGAAGAAGAAGATTCTGGAACTGGAGGAAGCAAAAGAGACGCTCAGTTCTACACCGACCAAACGCCGAGGTCCAGACATGCCAGCATCTGTGTCCAATCTTGGAGAACAGAACAGGGTGTGGTTGGCGAGTGCCAGTAGATAGCTTTCATCAATAAGCTTCCAAATGTCATCAACCACAACAGGTCGCATCGGGCCCGTATCGTCAGCGCCCTATCCATCTGCTCAGTCAGGTACACGCCCAGACGCCTCTCTAATAGGCCAAAAAGATTTGTCAAAGATACCCTGCATTGTCAGAATGCGTTGGCTGGTACCTGGCGTCATACGCCATACGCCTCGGCCGGGCGCATGCCGGAGCTGTGCCCCACTACGAGATCTCGAAGCTTCAAGCTTGGGAAGCAGGCGGGTGCCCCTCCAAATAACTAATCGGCGTAGTCCACAATAACAAGTCACTTCCTCTCACCCCACTCTGCTGTTTAATTTCCAATTCCTCAATCTACATAACCTTCTACACAAATACACCAGTCAATCATAATGGCTCCTCTACAAGTTGGCGACAAGCTCCCCGAGGGCGTCAAGTTCGAGTAAGTGCAGTCGTATCGAGCTCCGCTCACCATCGAAGCTTTTGGAGTTTACGCTGACATTGTATTTTCTCCGTGCAGATGGGCACCCATCACCGACAGCGACCCTACCGTCTGCGGTCGTCCCCAAGAATACGATGCCAGCAAGGAATGGGCGGACAAGAAGGTCGTCCTCTTCTCCGTTCCCGGCGCTTTCACCCCAGGCTGCCAAGCATACCATCTCCCTCCATACATTGCAAAGGCCAAGGAGTTCAAAGAGAAGGGCGTTGACATCATTGCTACCATTGCAAGCAACGACAGCTGGGTCATGAACGCCTGGGGCAAGGTCAATGGCGTCAAGAACGACGATGTTCTTTTCCTTAGCGACACCAAGACCTTTTTCTCCAAGGAGTACGGTTGGCCTGCGGGTATGGGCGACCGCAACGGTCGCTGGGCTATGGTCTTCGATCACGGCAAGGTCATCTACGCCGAGAACGAGAAGAGCCCCGGCGAGGTTTCGGTAAGTATCTAGTGGTCCTGAGAGTAATGATCTGTTCCTAACGATGTATAGGTTTCTAGTGCCGATGCCGTTCTGGCCAAGTTGTAAGCGCTACAAGCTCAGTGTTCGAGAGGCTTTTGCACATGTCAATAGATCTAGCTAGCACCTTGTAGACGAAATACCCAAACAAGAATAATGACAGTGTACAAACGCAACCTAAATGTGATGTTGTCCTGCCACGTCAGTCGCCCACTTTTATCCATGTAGCGTTTATAGTTATGTTCGAACGATCGGCGGTGTAGGCCAGGGACGGCATGGAATTGGAAGTTCGTATTTGTATTGAATGCTGGTCGAATGCTCAGCCTGGATTGCAACTTTTCCACAACATGGCTTGTTCGTAGGCATCGATTCTGGCCCTTGACCGTCCTAGCTGCGTCCGCCCGAGTATTCGTAATAAGCCCATATATACAAACGCCGTCATGACTAATGCGCTCAATCAAACTATGCTCTGGTCAGCGTACGTACACGGGTGTCTCTAGCGTTTAACGTACTGGTGTAAGGAAGGACTCGGCCACGAAACGTGCTCTTGCGTTCAGCTAGAAATGTGTCAGCTTCAGGCCAAAGACGTAGGCCTTGGTTGGCTTACGAAGAGCTTCATTTCTGAGATCTCCTTGTCTACCTCCTCCATGAACTGGATGATGAAGTCGACCAGCTTGTGCTTCAGCATCTCCTCGGTGTGGAAGTTGGTGATGAGGAACGAGATGTCGTAGCCCTTGACTGGCTTCCTCCGCATGATGTAGAAGGACTCGGCTCTTTGGGTCAGGAACCGTGTGAACTTGTGGACCAGGATGTGTTCAATCTCATCTGCCTGCTTGATCTTGATGCTTATGCGCACACTGTTGATACTGGGCTCGATGTACACGCGTTCCTCGGCGTTCCTCGACACGGTAAGCGGGTTCAGGATGACTTCGGGCGAGCTCGCAGCCTCGATCTCGGGGACATTGTGGCGTTCCGAGGCCTGGGACGCAAAGTTGGAGAGGGAGAGGGCGGCTGTGAGCGACGAGCGCACGCACTGGAGGTACGGGCGGAGTGATTGCGACTGCGAGTGTCAGCGTGAGCATGCGGCTAGCCGGCAGTGGAGTGGCAGCGGCAGCGGCAGGACGGGAGAATACCATTGCGGATAGAGCTCAGCACCAGCTCTATGCTATGTTGGAAGGGTAGGGCTGCCGTCGGGGGAGAGCGGGCTGCTATGACATGCCAGTACGGCGAGTTGGCGGTGCCTGCAGCTGGTCGCGCTAGTGGGGTAGAAGCTCCGGGCGGCGGCTCACCTTGGCGCGGCCGTCCTTCCTCATGCTTCCATTAACTTTTGCCCCACGACTGCATTATAAACACTCTCTCGCCTCGCCGTCCCTACAGTCTTCTATACCCTATCCACAGTATAGTTGAGAGCATCACCATGGCGACTATACCAGGTACGCCCGGCGCTGCACCTCCACTCGCAACATGGCACGACTAACCCACACCGTTTGTAGTAATCGTAAAGCACCAGGGCAAGAAGCACGAGGTCGACGTCGACACCACCTCGACCGGCGAGACGTTCAAGTACCAGCTCTTCTCCATCACCGGCGTCGAGCCAGAGCGCCAAAAGGTCATCGTCAAGGGCGGCCAACTCAAGGATGACGCCGACATGTCCAAGCTGGGCCTGAAGCCAAACCAGACCCTCATGATGATGGGCACGCCCTCGGGTTCGGGCATGGTCATAGAAAAGCCCAAAGTCCCTGTCAAGTTCCTCGAAGACATGGACGAGGCGGAAGCTGCGCAGTTGGAGGGCGCCACACCCGCAGGTCTGCAGAACCTGGGTAACACCTGCTACATGAACTCTACCCTGCAGGCGCTACGCTCTATCCCAGAGCTACAAGAGGAGCTTCTGCGATACTCGGACAGGTACGTTTCCTTTCATCGCACGCATGTGCTTCCACTGACTGTTTCCAGCAACGGCGCCAGCTCGTCCAGTGCCGCACAGCTCAGCCAGTTCGGTCTCGGTGGCCTTGGTGCCTCGACTGATCTTACGGGCTCCCTCCGCGACCTCTTCAAGCAGATGTCCGAGACACAGAATGGGTTCCCTCCACTCATGTTCCTCAACGCTCTCCGAACCGCATTCCCCCAGTTCGCCCAGAAGTCAAAGGACGGCCACGGCTACGCACAGCAGGATGCCGAGGAGGCTTGGTCACAGATTGTTGCGCAGCTGCGGCAGAAGCTAAAGATTACCGACAACGAGACAGGGTCCGGTGCAAACAAGCAGAGGGACAGCTCTTGGATCGACAAGTACATGGCGGGCAAGTTTGAATCGGTCATGGAGTGCGATGAGCCTGCAGCAAAGGAGGGCGGCGAAGAGCCCGTCCATAGTGAGGACCTCTTCTTCAAGCTCAATTGCCACATCAACGTCGAGACAAACCACCTGAGGGACGGTTTGGCTGCTGGCCTGAAGGAGCAGATTGAGAAGCGATCAGACGTCTTGGGCCGCAACGCGCTTTACACCAAAACATCCAAAATCGCCCGTCTACCGAAGCATCTCCCCGTTCACTTTGTGCGTTTCGACTGGCGGAAAGATACCAACAAGAAAGCGAAGATCATGCGCAAGGTCACTTTCCCTGAGGAGTTGGACGCGTTGGAGTTTTGTACAGACGAGCTAAGGAAGATGCTTGTCCCCATCAGGGACAAGATCCGTGAAGTTCGCAAGGAAGAGGAGGATGTGGAGCGTGCCCGCAAGCGACAGAAGCGTATGAGGGCTGGTGAGGAGAACGACAGTGATCCTCTTGCTCGCAAGGAGCCTCTGCAGAAGAAGAAGGATGCTGCGCAGAAGAAGGAGGATGCTAACAAGCCGGCTGAGGATACCAAGATGGAGGAGGTGGAGTACAAGACTGACGCTCAGGTTGAGGCGGAACGTGCTGCATCCATCCTCGCTGCCAAGAAGGAGCTCCTCGCTCTCGTAGATCCCAAGATGGGTGCCGACGAAGGCGCCAACCAAACTGGTCTCTATGAACTGAGGGGCGTCATTACGCATCAGGGCGCCAGCGCTGATAGTGGCCACTACACCTCCTTTGTCAAGAAGCAGGGTGCCAAGGATCCTAACACTGGCAAGCGGAAGGCAGAGGACGGGAAATGGTGGTGGTTCAACGACGAGAAGGTATCTGAGGTTGATGCGGAGAGGATACAGACCTTGTCTGGTGGAGGTACGTGTCCCGGATCGTTCGAGATACTATTTACTAACATGCTCTAGGCCAAAGCCATTCGGCTCTCATCCTCCTCTACCGCGCCGTTCCTCTACCCGTCATCGATGAGGACGTACAGATGGGCGACTCATAGGCTGACTCGACGTTCTACTTTATGCCTGACGCCTGGCATCTGATGGCCACAGGAAAGCCGAAGCGTAAACGGAATCGGCGCAGCATGTAATGCATGGCATTCGGCGTTGTACGAACTGCAAAGGCAACAAGATGGTACGCTGAGCTTAAGTAACGATGGCATGACTTCAAGACTTTGCATTAATAGACACGATATTAGATTGACAAAGTGCACGTTTTCACGACCTTGATACCAGGAATTAGACATTTACCTTAAGCTCTTTGCTATTTAAGCTTATTGATCTGATGGACGTGCTGGTGCCGGCACAACGCTGTTGAGCAAGAGTGTGTCATATGTCAGTATTGGTATTTGCTTGAAGCAACTAATCTCGCAGGAGTTCACAGAACTTTATGTCAAGAGAGCACTTCAATAACGATGTGTGTTTCTGTTAGTATCTTCTCTTACAGTTCATTTACAGCAAACCCTTTCCTATGCAGCATGTATACGCAAGAGGAGTCGTGTCATGTTCAGTGTCGGAGGCGTATCCCAATATTTCTCGTCCCCTTTCGTCCTCACCTCACCACACGTACTAGAAGTGCGTCGGAGCCTGCTGCCAAGCCCTTCCAGGGTCGTTACGTTCACCTCCAGGACCGCTCCTTCCTTCTCTTCCGTCTACCACAGCGTTTCTGTCTTAATAAGTCGTGTTACTCGCAAGACGCCGCAATTTCCTACCTGTATCATTACGCCAGTACGATTGTCAATTCTATGTATTAGGTTTCAACAATATGTTTTACAGTCACGAAGGTGAGCTCGAATTCGAGACCTTAGATGCCAAGAGCAAAACTAACTGTCGTAGTACTCACGTCGCGCAAATATGGCGTGGCGACTGTGTGGTATGTCGGAAAGACGTCCAGCTACTCCTTCCCAGTCCTGATAGAGGTGGCAGGATTGTCGCGACGCTTGGCCAGTCCAGCAGCCTAAGGCGCATCAACCGCAAGCAAATCCTCGAGGTTGACGTATCCAAAGCATGCCAGACCATCGTCGATCCTGTGGCGCCAATGGCTCTGCGCCTGCAGAGCAATTTGCTGTACGTTACACCAACATGTCTCCTCTAGAGAACAATCCACTAATGCATGTAGGTATGGTGTATCACGCGTATACTTACAACAATGTGGATATATTCTTTCAGACGCGGAGCAAACGCACAACACGCTGCGGCTGATGCTACGCACAGTCAAGAACACTGCACTTGATCCAGATGCTGGCAAAGCTAGGTAAGCAAACACCATGATTGCACCCTGAGCGCTTCGCTCACCGAGAGTTTACAGACCAGAGCAGCTCATCTTCGAGGATGATCCATCTTTTCTTCCCGAGCTCGCGCTCCCTCCTCCAGATTTGCTTTCAGAGCTAGACCACAACTTCAATCTCGACATTACGCGCTCTGGAGACTCCCAATCACTGACTCCATTCGGCTCCCAGCGATCACTATCTTCCTCTCATGCTAGTGCTATCGGTGGACTCATCTTGCCTACGTCGTCTCCTATCGTGGCAGGCGAGTTTAGACTCGAAGGCGACGATGGAATGAGTAGTGGTGGTGTGCCAAGTATCATGGATTCTCGCAATACGATAGAGATCGAAGATCCAGATTTCATGTTCGCAGATGATGGCGAGATCATTCAGTTCTCACCACGGCGTTCGGTGGATAGAACCACAGCTAGAACCCCAGGCGCGACGATGTCTAGCGATGCTAGAACGAGCGCGTGGGCTCCGAAGGAGCACACCAAGGGACATCGGGCTGGTAATCAGGTGAGTTTTACTGCGCTCTTTCATATCTTTTCGCATCGCGATATTAGCCACTGGTCTTGCGGTCTGGCCTCGCTGCCCTTACCTGGGCTCAGGATACAGCGACGCACAACCTCACTGCTGCCACCCGAGCCCACTCGGGCGCATGAAGACGTCCTTGTTTGCCTTGTGTTCTGCACCTCTTCTCTCTCCGAATCCCCTGTACCCTCTCACAACTTTCGCTTTTGATCATCGTTACATATCTCGCTACCTTTGTCTTTCAAGATGGAGACTGACCCATACCAGTTTCCTGGTGATCAAGCCGGTATGGAATTCCCGATATACGACGACGATGTGGCTGAAGGCAACGCATTCTCATCAGCCGGTCAGCAACAGTCCAGTGCACATTCGGAATTTGTCGAATCTTCTGACACGTTCGCCGCGCCCATGCACCGACGCCGAGTTCCACGGATTGTTCCTACCGACTCAGCCATTGAGCTTCGTAATAAGGAGTTGGCAGATTGGACAAAGAATTACCGTCAGAACATGAAGGCCGCCGCTCAAAAGAAGACCAAGAGCTGCATTGCTGCCCAGGCCAAGAAGAATGCTGAGCACTATGTCTGGGGGTCTGGTATCGGTGGTATTGGTCAACGCATCCTCGGTGGCCAAGGCCCTAGTCCGTTCGACATGTTCATCGGGGACAACCTCTTTGAGTCTATCACTGGCTTAACTCGCAACAAGACAGCTGGAGCAAAGCACGATCGCGACAGTGGTATTGATGATGCTACTCAAGAAGAATCTCGTCGCGTGCGTCAAAAAACCGGTGAACCCGAGATCGGTCGTTCAGCTGACAACGAGGATCTTCCCATACTTGGCGCCGATGACATCGCTGTCGAATTACCTCGTGAAGGCGTTTCCGCTCTTGATGATCAGCAGATCTTCTCTACGATGCCATGGAACGTGAGTGCTTCCATCCGAGGTTCTTCAGCCATACCCCGGAACGGACGTGTGGATATCATGCACTCTGCTGCCCAGGGTAGACCCGGAAGTCGCCTTGTCTCTGCTTCTCCTCTACAGGGTCGTGGAAATCCCATTACATTTGAGGGATTGAGGAACCTCACGAGCGATGTCGATTACGGTGGTGACGAATTTGGCCTACCAGGCCCCAGCTCGGACTATCCTGACCCAGTGATTCGAGGACCATCCGCGCGCATTCGCGAAGCTCTATCAACAGAAGACGAGAACTTTCTTACCTTCGTCAACGAACGCATTGTCGAGAAGCGCAGGGGGGTTCGAACATATCCAGAACATATGTCTGATGTGCTTGGAACCGAAGCAGCTGCTGACGTTGAAGACATCACTTTTGAGGAGCTCCTCCCGCCTACTGAGAACACTAAGATTATCGCTTGTCAGGGTTTCATGATGGTGCTTGGACTCAGCTCCAAGGGCATGCTCGACGTTCAGCAGCCGCAATATCTGGGAGATATCAGCCTCAAGCTTACTGAAAAGGTCAAGGCTTTGCGAGTCATTGAGATCAGCGACAGTGAAGAGTCTGATGACGATGAAAATGGAAAGGAGGACGGTATCAACCAAGTCGACGAGGTAATCGATCCACAAGGCATCGCAGAACAGCCGGAGGCTCAAGATCGAGAGATTCAAGAGCACCACTTCATGGACGAAGTAGAGGACCAATTCCAGGAGCAGTTCGCCGCTGGCCAGACTGCTCAGGAGGACGATGACCACGACTCGCTGTATGACGACTAAGCTATTTGATGTCATCCCGTTCCGGTCAAGCCGGTATGTACTTTGCTATTTACCGTATGTCTTCTCATAAACGAAGTGGTTTTTGCTTTCCATCTTATAGCTAGCTACACAGCACTAAAAATATCGACATCCTACATTTCCCGTTCTTAGGCATCAAAGGAGAGCAGGCAGACGGAAAACCATATTCAAATCAAATATCCCAAAACTGCTACCAAAACATTCAACTACATGTCCGCTTGAAAACACCTAAACGTAAAGATTGAAAGGTAACAAGCATGTTATGAAGTGATCGATGTATTTGCGAATACGTGGTGGTCGCGACATCGACAGCAGATGTGAAAGACACCGATGTGACCTATGACATGCAGGGTGTTGTATATAGACATAGTGAAGTGCCAGGAGTGCTGTATTCACGATATCCAAGCTGAGACTTATGAAGCGCTGATTGACCGCAGCGCAAGCTGAGAATAAGTCGTGGGAGATTTACTAGTTGCAAAGCCAATGGGTGGTCAATGGTGGAGCAACGCGTAGGACGCGATCGCGGAGAACGATCGACATGCCGAGGCCCAGACCACCACGCGCCCTGCATCATCATTTACGTTCTATACGCAATCCTATGTGCAGGGACAGACGGAGCGTTGCAGACCATACCTCAGCCGGACAACCACGACTACCACTTTCCGTCATGTGTGCGCGTATGTTCAGCAGGCATGAACCTGTGATGCAAGAAGTATGACCCACTCTTGGGCAGGAACGAGCGTTTGAGTTCTCACCGCCGCGTTATCGTCCAACGACAACGACGAAGATGAGTATCCTGAACCTCTAAACACGCGTCATCTTCATTTTCGAAGCCACCATGTCTACGCCATGGCACCTTTTGATAGCTGTCATTGTAGCTATAGTAGCAGTCACGTACAGCTATAACCAGTCCATACTTCTTGCTGCGCTCGGTCTAATACCGTGTCGTCCATCGTGCCAATCGGCCGCTTCGAGCACTCATTCTGATTATCCTGGCCATGACTGCGCCGAAAAACCTCATCATTCGAGCTGGAATGCATGGTTTCATCCTGATACAGACGACGTCACAACAACCAATTCTGGTCTTGGTGCAGGAGCGGTAACGAAAGATTGGAATATCCTATACCACCTTGGGGGCAATGGGCCGTGGGTGGAGAAGGTTATCGATGTTGTTGATGGAGGTATCAAGCTACCGAACGGGTGTGAGGTGGTACAGGTCCATATGATGTCTCGGCATGCTGAGCGTTATCCTACGACGAAAGCTGGCAGTACCCAGAAAGCAGTCGTGCACCGTATGAAGGAAAGTGGGAGGGTTTTCACAGGTAATCTGGCGTTCTTCAACGACTGGGAACTCTTTTGGTCTTCGGATGATACCCATCTAGAGCAGTTGACATCCACCGGCCCCTTTGCTGGCACACTCAGTTCTTTCACTACCGGTGTTCGTCTGCGCACCCGGTACCAACATCTTTTGGAACGTACCTCTCTTGAAGAAAACCCCACCAAGTTCTGGGCTAGTGATTCCAACCGTGTCATTGAGACAGCTAAGCACTTTGCTGCAGGTTTCTTCGGCATCGATTACAATATCACCAACAAAGCTATCCTACAAGTCATTTCCGAACATTCCTCACTCGGTGCCGATACGTTGACACCTGGACGAACATGTTTGGCCAACAAGAAAGACGAGATGGAAGGCCAGCGAAAAGGATATCGTCTGTTGAATGAGTACCGGGCAAGCTACATGCCTGCCATTCGCGAACGCCTAGCCAAGCAGACGGACATGTACTTCGAGGATCACGAAATCTATGCCATGCAAGAGATGTGTGGTTTTGAGATTACAGTACGCGGTCGCAGCGACTGGTGTGACGTTTTCACTCAGGACGAATTCCTCAGTTTTGAGTACGCACGAGACGTTCTGCATTACTATCGTGCAGGTTAGTATTGTCTCCTGTACAATATGCATGCGGCACGCACTAACTTCATACACCCAACTTTAGGTCCAGGCCAGAAGTATGCAGCAAGTATGGGGTGGCTGTGGCTAAACGCGACGACGAATTTGCTGGTTGAGGGGCCGGACGCTGGTCCGTTGTTCTTCAGCTTGTAAGCCTCTATTAGGCCGAGCCGTATCTACATAAGCTGATCATAGACAGCAATCACGACGGTGATATCGCACCACTCATGTGTGCGCTTGATGTCATCAACGACGAAGAACATCTGCCCATTACGCACATCGCCCACGACCGTAAATGGCGAAAGTCTCAGGTTTGTAAGTGTCCCCGTCCGAACTGCATGTGAGACCTATACTGACTTCGTATGCCCACTCTTAGCGCCAATGCATGGACGTATTATCTTCGAACTACTGTCTTGCAAGACAGATTCTCAATCTTCGCCTGGTGAGTTCGTCAGACTCAACATCAACGACGGTATCACAGCTATCCCGGGCTGCGACAGTGGCCCCGGAAAGAGTTGTCCACTAGCAGAATTTGCCGCCCGGACAAGGAAAAAGGGAGAAGAAGTCGGAAACTTCAACGAGTTGTGTGGGCTGGACGGTGACGCTACAGAGCGGATCACTTTTCTGCGTCAAAAAAGCGAAGTGTAGGATGGAAAGAGCTTGTATTTCTAGCTTTTACCTCACTCATACCACACTCTAAAAGTATACATGGTATTCCACGTTGGAAATCCATAACGAAAGCAACAGTGTATGCCTTTAAGGTGGGCTTTTGTTCTTAGGGTACAGCTTAATAAAAGCGACCTTGCATATCAGGACTTCAAGACTAAGCATACACATAGCAGAACGGCCCCGCGATCGTGCTCTGTGCGTCTTTGATGGTGATATTCGGTTCGCCAACATATCCTACGCTCAGTACATCGTCAAGAGTAGCATTACGGCTTGGAGGGTTGTTCAGGAAAGTCATGGTTCCGGCGATAGTATTCGGCCTGATTCTTAGATCCAGGGCCTGCCACGTCCACCATACTCGATCGATCATGGCGTGATGGAAGTAGAAAGATGGATCTGCTGGTGAGTTGAACCTGCAGTGTGGTCAGTATATGATCTATGCTGAAGACGAAGAATAATCCAAGGTTGGAAATAAGGTAAACAAAGCCAATTGTAACATACATATCCATTCCAGAGTCACCGCCAATAGTGTAATGACCTCCGCTGCAGATTTAAAGATACGAAGTCAGTGTATGTCTCACATGCATTTCGTACAAACACAACTTACTTGTGGACGCCCATGACTCCTAGGGTGAAGTTCTGCATCTTGTTCTGGAAGCTGAGGATGTCAGGGTAGTTCGTAATAAGGTCGAAAACCATCTCGTCTCGTGTCTCGTTGGAGGCCTGGGTATTGATATCACGACTAAGACAACGAGGGTTGTAGCCCAGACCATCGGCTTGTGGGTTCGGTGGTACATCCTTCGCGGTCGTTTGTATGGGACCTAGATTGATTTTCCAACTGCCTGTGTTAGCCCGCTGCTATTCTGATTCGGATCAGGGGAACATACTCTTTGAATGGGCCAGACTTGATGCAGCCTCCACCGTTCGCCGAGTGGAAGGTGACCATGCAGCGCACCTCGTTCGGTAGGCACCAAGATCCTCGTCCAGCGACGTACTCTCCGTCACCCGAAATGCTGGTCTTGCTGCCGTCGAAGAGGGGCGATGCGAGCGGATCCTTTGCCCATTTTGACCAGTTGTTGTACGGGAGATAGCCGTTGTATCCGCACTCATTGCGTAGAGCTTGTTCGTAGGCTCAGATGTAGTAGTGGTGCCAGCTGAGGAAGTTTCCCTAAGCACATCAGCCACTTGCATATGGTCGTACCTTACCGACGTACCGTTCCATGAATACTCATCGTTTGCAGAATGTGGGTAACAATGAAGTCATCAAACCGGCTCCTTGCACCTGAAGCTATTGCTGCCGGTGTTTTTGCCGGTTTCTTGCCCAGACACTTGACTGCATCGATGTAGTTGAGCTTCTGACTTTCCGATAAAGTTGACCTGAACTTGCATAAGTTGAGTCGTTTCGGACAGACTGAATGTACTGCTTACCATTCTTGTCGAACAGCAACATTCTTCAATGTGCACTTTCCTGCGTCTGGGTATCCATGTTGAGCCACATTGAGCGAGAGTTTTGCCAGTGCTTGAGCAGCAAGGGCGTCGTTTCCTAAGATAGTGGCACTAGTGCTACCACAAAACACAGCTAATGCCAAAGTTGTAGCCTTCATGTTAAGAGGCCCGGATGACAAGGTACTGGATAACGTCTTTACTGGCTGATGCGGTACCGACAGACATAAATACAACGTTCGAGCTGACCGACTTTATGTTAGCAGCGAGTCAGTATGCTCTCTAGATCTTAGACTTGTACGTGCAGCTTCCCAGTGGAGGTTAAAGTTATGTAGGTAGCCTTGGAACTTATGCATTAGCCGTCAGCTGTTTTGATCTCCAGAAGCCCTAGAGGAGCAAAAGTTGCCCCCTCGAATCCCTGTGGATTCTCTAGCAGTAGTGTTCCCTGTACAGGAACTAGCGGCTCGGAGGTATATCACCGCGGTTGGGAACAGGCCCAAGACCTTGGTGGCGCCGTCTAAATGCGATAGCGTTCGGGGGCGGATCGGGACGTTGTGGGACGTTCCGTGGCGCAGTTTCCCATGAACGGCGCCATGTAAGAATATCAGATATAAGGAGGGACGGTTACGCCACATCATTCCAGGAGAATGTTGTAGCAAGGACGCTTGGGTCTTTTGCACTCTTCTCTTGACACTCGTTATGTTGCACTATGGGATATACTCAGGTAGTTTTACAGCAATTTCCCAGCCGCAAGTTTTCGTTATGGTCACTCGTGGAAGCTGATCCGAGATGGTTGCTGTGCCGCAAGCACGCATACAAGAAACGAACCGAGAGACGATTCTGCAGCAAGTGGCGTTCGTCTCCAAGGGGCGCCCTTCGCCCAGCCGGCGTCTATTATCCGCCGGTGGTTCATTTGCGATATCGCAAAGAGACAATGATCTCCGCTGTATGATATGATTTTGGAAAGATGGATGAGACAAACATACTGTGGCTACTGCTGCACACTTGAGGAATCGTCGCAACTATGGGAAGAATACCCGGGTAATTAGGTAGCTCATCACGTCAAGGCTGGCCGAGGTTGGGTAGTGGCTTGGCTGTGTGATGTTTTCCTCGCGCTCTCTGGCCTACAGCTGAGGTACCTTTCCTTGCACATTCCACTGTCTACCGTGCGAATCTAGTCGGTATCGAAAGCTGGTATGATAATCCGGGACGGATCGCTTAGATCATATAGACCACCTCACGGCAAGGTACCTAGGTAGTCATTCCTGAGCAAGGCCTGTGATTGGCAGATCACCGATATGTATTCCACAGCGAGTATACCAAATGTCCCATCTGGGAATTTAAGAATCCACGCCACACGCCCAGTTCTCTACAGCAGGATTCCGAAGTTCCAAGGGACCAAATATCCCGTTTCCTACCAAGTAGAGGAAGAGCACCTTGGGATAAAATCACAAGAGATCGGCTAATATGTTAAGCGGATTGGCCACCATCTTCATCCCGCGCGAGGTACTGTGCCACACCCAGGTCGATGGTACATATGATGTGCTACACGTCTGCGTATACCGAGCTGGTTACGCTTTTGTCTTTCTTGTTTTGTAGCCCATACGATAGCCTTTTCTTCCCCCTATCATTATGAATAACCTCCCTCCCATCTCAGATGCAGATATTGCGTACAGCAATGCCTCGAATCTTATGGTCCAGGCAGGTACCATTTTTGGGATCGCTTTGGCAATAACTCTACTACGCTGCTATGTACGCCTTGTCATGCTCAAATCTTTCGGCAAGGATGATTGGACCATCATAGTCTCAATGGTGCGCGGAACTGCTCGGACGTTCGACCTATGACACACTGCTGACTATGTATTACAAAGACATTAGCAATTATAGCTTTTGGTTGTTATGTTGCGAAAGTGCCCTTAGGCCCTGGGAAGCATCTTGCCGTCATACAACTGGATCAACCTAGATATCGGCAACTACTCAAAGTCCGCTTGGTTCATCAGATCTGTGTTACTGCAGGTATGACAGTGGTCAAGATCTCTGTAAGCTACATGCTTCTGAGGTTAGCTGTACAAAAGAGCCATGTGTACTTCCTGTATAGTCTGATCGTGTTTCTGGTTACGTTCATTATTGCTTGTACTGGAACGCTTGGTATATTCTCTCACTGACAAGTCACAAAACAAACTGACAGTCTTGCAGTAAGTTCTTTTTTTTTATCAAGAACAGCATACGAAGGAGCACACCACTCCTTAAGAAATTGGAGAGCACTAACAAGTTGCCACTTCCAGGTCTTTATGTGCCTCCCAGTAGCAGCTATATGGGATTTTAGGCTTCGCCCGCCACCCATGGGCACAGGCGGCGCATTATGTCTAAGTGTCAGTACCTTCAGTCAGATTGCTCTCTTCAATTCAAGTAAGTCTTCTACACTAGAGCCGTATGAACCTCTGCTGACATCCTATAGTCGTCAACATCGCTACCGACTTCTTGCTCGCCCTCCTGCCTATTCCGGTCATATTCAATCTTCAAGTTCGAATCCGTATCAAAATTATGCTCGCTCTCGTTCTCTCGCTCGGTATATTTGCATCTGTTGCTGGGATAATGAAAGCCCATGTAAGCAAAACCATTTTGAACGACCCCGAACGCTTCGTACATGACACATTCTCCATGTGAAACTTCATCGAGCTTGATGTCGGTATTTTAGCCGCCTCTTTGCCTACACTCAGGCCTCCGTTCAATCGCTTTCTTGAAGCTGCGCGATCAGTCGTACAGAGTCAGCCTACCACAACACCACGATTCAGCTTCCGAGAACCCGGATCGTTGGGATATGCAAAGCAAACATATGAGTTTGGCGAAGTACTCGAGTTAGGGCAATATAAGGTTGGATGCGAAACGACGGTTAGGGTCTCATCACGACTGCCGGAAGGTCACGATGCGCGTTCCTGGCGTCTTGACAAAGCGCATAATTCTGAGAGTATCATGCCACCCATTCATGGTTATGTGAGCCACTCGAAGGATATTCTGGTGACCAAAGATATAAGTGTGAGTTAGATAGCTGGCATAAATCATTCGAAATTCAAGTCGAAAGCGCCACTATCACCCTAGATGATGTTCAGAATGACGTGAGTGCCAACTCAGTCGCAGTCTTCTCACTTAACGAAATGACCACCCTCGCTCGCACCTAGTTGATTCCCGTCATCCAACCACTCTTGGATAAGCAGGCGACACCTGCTTCTGGCGCAATTCATCTGACGCTTTTCATCAGATTTTCCGACTAGATCATGCACACCAAGCTGAGGCTGTGTTCGTCGTCAGGTATGCGTCTGAGCCAGTCTGCCGCGCCGTAGACACGCGATATGTGAGGCGAGAATCGTTGCTGCAGGAGCAAGGAATGCGGCAAATTTCAGTTGCCGAAGGAAGCGCCAAGCACGCTCATCGCATCGCGCACATGGAGTACTTGCAACGAACACCCCATTGTAAATTTCATAGGTTGTCGTATCAGAGTCCCGGGTGCCACAGATTCTTCTTAGCGAGATGAACATGTCATGTTGTCAGGCGATGATGACCACGAAAGCCGGATGTCGGCCAGATCCTGCTGCTCAAAGTGTATGTTATTTAAAACTATACATATGGCCCCCTAATTAGGGTACATTAACGTTATCGCAGTAAAGAGCTTGTAAGAAGCTCGCTCGTAAATAAGTACAGAGGTAGAGAGCCCGCAGAGGCTACCTAGACCGTGTCGTCCTCGTGGCAACCATGCACATCAACCACCTTCAAGCGCAACAATAAACGACGCGACATGGCCTCGCTAAGCAGTTGGGAGAAGCACGATATTCTGCGCTGCGAGCGATTTCTGAAAAGGATCGAAGGCTGGGTCGACCCTACCTGGGGTTTTCATGTCTATGGCACCTACACACGCCCGCAAAAGCAAAAGGATTTAGACAAGGGGAACGATAAGGGCAAAGCCTAGGAGATAGCGGGTGAGTTATATTGATTCGAGCTCAGAGAGGGATATCTAATGGCTGCGTATCTAGTAGACAGCGAACACTTCCAGGCTGTGCTGAACAAGCTGCACGCCCACGCTGCTGATACCCTGCGCTACGAGCAATCAGAGCCGTACAATCAACAGTTGATTGACACTTTACGCTTACAACCCGCTGCGTACCTTCCTGGCGCTTCGCTCGCTGACGTCTGTGAACATTTCCGCTAGAACGCAGGCAGTTTTCTTGGCGCTAGAGGCGAAGTTATGGAGGAGGGTTACAACTGCGGTCCTAGGACTGACTGGTGTCTGATTATAGACGATAACTCACTCGATAGTATCAAAAATGGGCCCGAACTAATTGGACTAACGCCGCTAGACGATGCGATGCCCTGGACTCTAAAGCGTAACGCCAACAAGGTGTTTGTCAAGCTGCTTAGTAAGAACGAGTTTACAACGGAAGAGCCTAAAGTTCTTGCTGCGCAGGGTCGGGGCGGCACTGGCCAGAGGGTTGAGTGGCATGGCTGGTGCAAGTTCTTACCCGTGTATCTAATGCCTGTCTTCAATGAGACGGAAAAAGGAGATATCGAGACTTATTTCAAGCATCCCGATAAGCTCATCACGATCTAGCTATATGTTATAGTTATCTAGTAGTTTAAATAACTCTATTATTGTACTAGAAGAAGCTGTGCTAAGTCTGCTAAATAGCGTACCTCTTAACGTTAGCGCGCTAGTAGAACCGCTTGCTGTTGCATGGCATGCCATCTCCGCTGCGAGGCGCTAGAGAAAGCTTGGCATCGTGTGGCTGACTAGAGCACTCGACTCCTCGTGTCACAATCATTACCACGCCTCAGAAAAGGAATCAAAGAATCGTACTCAATATAGTTTGCTGCCTGCAGCTACGCGCATATTCAAAGGGGACATTCTCATCTAACGAAAGCACCGCCTCCGCTCGCGCCTAGCTGATTGCCCGTCATCCAACCACTTTCAGGCAAACAGGCGATACCTACGATACCTGCTACCTCCTCGAGCGTGCCCGGCCTACCACCAATCTCGTCCGCTAATCTCAGAGTTTCTTCGCTGTCCACTCCTGGTCTTTCTTTTGCTAGCGGGATCAATGCGTTGTACATTCTTAACGCTTGCTTCGGCGCCTCCGGCAGCCCGTTCAAAAGACCCGTATCCATAGGACCAGGGCTCACACTGTTGACAGTTGCGCGCTCAGCGAGTTCACGCGCCCAAACACGCGTCATGGCCTCTATCGCGCCCTTGGTGCCGGCATAGGACGTCTGTTGGATCAGACCCCATGTCGTAGTCGCGGAAGAAATGTTGACGATCCTACCCGACCTGTCGTGGGGAAGGTAGGGAAATGCGGCTTTGATGAGAAGCGCAGGAGCTTTGCAGTTGATGTTGAAGGTTTGGTCCCAGAGCTCTACGTCAAGTTCTTGGATAGGTTGCGCATTCACGACCGCAGCATTGTTGATCAGTATATCGATCTGGAACGAGGGTGTGGCTGTGGGGTTCGTGAAAACAGCCTTTGCCGCATTGACGATGGTCGCGGGAGCGGAAGGGTCGAGGAGATCGGCGCGTACGGGTAGTGCGGTGATATTGTACGTTGTGGAGAGATGATTTGCCAACTCCGCTGCGATCTTGTCGGAGCTCGATGTTGCATAGTTGATCACAACGTTAGCACCGCGCGAGGCGAAGTGTGTGGCAAGTGCGGCGCCGAAGCCTAGACGTAAGTCAGTTCCCATTTACTGGTATGTATTCACATTACTCAGGAGAGAAGTATCAATTCATGGTAGGACGTACTTCGCGAAGCGCCAGTAATGATGGCAAGCTTGCCTTCGAAGACTCTAGGAGGTGACATGGTTGGACTTTCTAAGTTCTATGGTATGTACCACGGGTATGCGGCCTATACAAGTATCCAAGGACGAAGTACGTGTACAACGCCCACCGCTTGCGCGATACCGGTAGCGCGGGGAACCCTTGACTTCTTCAAACTCTAGGGTCTGTGTAGGAATGCCTGGTAGTGGAGACTCTTATTTCATGATGTGGGTCTTACACTAAATTCCCCGAAGTAGCGCCTGACGTGCACAACTATACCGAGCATTAGAAGACTATGTTAATCGAAGCAATGTTGCGATGGTATCTGTGTTGCCGTTTGCAGGTGGTTGAGGGGCTACAGGAACTAACGCGAGAGTCTTCCCGTATCGTTCGAAGTCAAATTTCCCCTGACAGCAGCGTGCGTGGGGGTGTGGATTCGTTCAACGGACCTGGACGCTCACCAACATCAGGCAGTTCTCCACCACATCCCCGTCCATACAGCACTTGGCGATGTGCAAATCCTTGTACAGAGTAATTCTTGAAACAGGACTGCAGCACATACGTAGGAGGGTTTTTCCGGTCCACCGCCTTGCACAAAAGTCTGGACTCGGTCTTGAAAATGCATCAGTTCGTTCGGAAATGATATGGGAGCACCATCCAGACATTGCTCGACCATTCAAAGAACAAATCCATGGATCATATCACGCTCAACAATATAGAGCTCCAGCGAATTAGCTCTCCGAGGCTGGTACGATATGAGATTGCTGTGGAGAGTGTGCTTCCTGAGCATCAATAGATCCAAAAGCATCGGACATGTGTCGAACCGGGAACTACTGCAGGCGGGCGACAGTCCCGGTACTAAGAAGCCTCTGCCGCTCTACCGCCCCATTACCGTTATTAATATCAAACTTGCACGGCTTCAAACGGTCATCGTATCCCAGAGATTCGGAGCCGCGACGATCACAGCCTAATCCGGGGTGTTGAAAGGCTGGGGGGCGAGCGTTCTGTGGATGAGCCAGTGGCGCTCCTTTCTCCAGCTTTTGTTGTGTACTTCTTATTGCTCTGCATGCCCAGTGCTTGCGTTGCGTGGATTCGGTGAACCTTATTGTCCTTCTCTTCGATTCAGTCTTCTCTGAAGGTCAAGCAAGGCCATGGCGCCACCGACATCTCGCGATATGGCCCTAGCGGTCTTGATCCCATTACCATTCGACATTGTATCGACCATCTTACGGTTCTGGATCCGTTACAAAAGGAAAGCATGGGGACCAGATGACTGGGCTATGTTGATCAACTTGGTGAGCATTACGGATATCAAGGCTCAGCATCTACTGACATCAGTCTAGCCGTTCTGGTCGGTGAGTACCATAGCCACAATCGCTATGGCTTGGAGTGGCGTTGGTCAGTATGATGGCTCGTTGAGCGAGTATCAATACTCTAATTCTTTAATGGTATGTCGCAGTTTCCACTCGCCTCGACCAGACTTGTTATTGAGAAGACGAATTAACAACGACAAGTGGTTCTACATTTTCCAAGAGCCGTGGTGCTTCACTCTCATCGCGATCAAGTGCAGCATCGGATTTGCCTTGATTCGAATCGCAAGCGGCAAGAAATGGATCGAGATGGTCATCTACATATGCATGTTGTCTTGTGCGATCGTCATGGGCGGGACGGGAATGTACCTCTTCTTCCAATGCTCGCCCGTACAGTATATTTTGCGTTTCTCGTTAGAAAAAGGCCGGAAGCTAACGAAGAGATAGGAAGAACTGGTATGTTAATATGCCAGGGGCATGTAAAGAGCGCACTATTCAGACGGCACTTTCGTACGCCGTCGCCGTAGTGTCGATATCAACGGACTGGATCTTTGCGACCCTACCCATATTCCTGCTTTGGGATGTACAACTAGACTGGCGAGTCAAAAGCTCCGTGATAGCCATGCTTGGTCTAGGAGTCTTGTAAGTGAATTTGCAATTTTGGGCAACAATGCTACCTGACCATGCCACTGACATATACACGACAGCGCCTCCATTGCTCCAATCGTGCGTCTTAAGTTTCTCATCGGCTTAAACGATCCGAACAGGCTTCTACAGAATCTCGGCGAGATCCTCGCCTGGGCTTGCGCTGAGATGAATGTCGGCATGTTTGTCGCCAATCTGCCCGCCTGCCGTCCCATACTCACCAATCTCATCTCGCACTTTTCGTCTTCGTTCCGAAGCCGGTCTGGACCTTCACACAATTATGGCTCGTCGAAGAAGCCATATGCCCGTGGCTCACTGCGTGGTGGCGATCCCGCATCGAAACACTGGATGGAGCTTGACGAGCGACCAGAGAGCACTGGACTGAACAACCATTTGGGCAACAAATCCAAGGATGTGGGTGTCGAGACGAAAATCTATGGTTAGTAAGGTCGCCGGACAAACTGCGTGTGAGACGCCTACTGACATCTTACTCCAACTTTCAGGTGACTTGGATGAAATCAGCAATATAAGCTCTGAACGTGATGATGGAAGCCAGAAGCGTATTGTTAACAAGCGACCAAGTGGCGATGGCATTCAGGTTAACGTTCAGAAAGACTTCAAAGTCGAGATCACTAGCGGGAAGCAGTTACCACCGTTGCCTAGGCTGCCGTCGGAACCAGTCTGAGCCGTGGATATTGGTCTTAAGTTGTAGTAATATAAGCTAGAAATGTAGAGTGTTATCGCAAGCAGGCGTGGTTCCCATCTCCTTCCCTGTACTCAGTTAACCTGAAAGACATTCGAGATCAATACCCGTGCTTCTTCAACTCCTCCTCAGTCCACTCCCACAACTTCTTCCGCAGCCCCTCATCTCTCGCGTGTCCACTTCCCGAGCCCTTCTTTCCTACAGGCATGTAGAATGCGCCATTCTCCAGATGGTCCTTCGCAGTCGTGGCACACCATGTCGTGTTCAACGCGCCACCTTCAGGGCCCTGGTAATGACCTGGCAGTATCATGCCCACTAGTCCATATATCCATAACCCGACCTTCAAGAATACGTTCGAGCGGAGGTTATTGAAGAGGTCTGTTAGAATAACACCAGGGTGTAGAGACACAGATGTTATCGTAGGGTATTCGAGGGCGAGGGAGCGAGCGAAGAGTATGTTCGCTAATTTCGAGGCGCCATAGCGACGCCATGTGTTTTCCTTCTCGAGCGCTTGTTGGTCGAATTCAATGCCTTTGGATACGGCAAGACGTTCGCCCATGCTGCTCAGGTTCACGATCCTGACATCGGCGCCGGGTTGCTTTGCTGTATCTAGCATTGTCGGGATGAGGAGCTTTGTGAGCAGCGCGTGGCCCATGTGGTTGGTGCCGAATTGTATCTCATAACCCTCTTTGGTCGTGCTATATGGGGACGCCATGATACCAGCATTGTTAATGAGTAGATCAAGTCGCGATTCCTGGCTCTTGAACGTCGATGCTGCGTCTGCGATGGAAGAGAAGGACGTCAGATCGAGTGGTAGATGTACGATTTCGCAGGCATTTGGGACGCTGTTCTTGATGTCGGTGATAGCGTCGCGGGCTTTGGACTCGGTACGAGCGGCGAGGTATATGCGCGTAGGGTTATGGGCAGCGAGGTATGCAATGGTTTGTTTGCCTAGCCCAGCGTTACCTGCTCGTAGGTTAGAACAATGGTATGACAGCGCTTGGTAGACATTGGGAGATACGTACCACCCGTGACCAAGATGACTTTCCCCTCTAGGCTCCCAATATCCTTGGATGGGTCGAAAGACTTTCCCATGTTGATGCGCTTTGTTTTCTCACAAGATGCGGGTATGACGAAGTTGTATCTGTACAACAGCAGCGCAAACAGATGGTCTGCGATATGGCACAAGATATAGATGATGCCCCTTGACGTTGGTCCGGGACGCGTACTTTGTTGTGGCTGTTCGTTTGATAGAGATGTAGTCTCAGACTCCGCGGATATCCTGTTGGTCGCCTCCCACTGGGATCGGGAGCATAGTTGGCCTACGTACGTACCAGTTGACGGAGCGGTCCGTTCGCGGTGCTTTTGTCGCGAAAATGCCGAGGTCGAAAGCGCGCTATGACGTCTTCCATCGGACGCGTCTCGTTAACCCTTCGGGTCCTATCTACAAGTTGAAAGTGATTCATAGTTTGATGTCCGCGTGTGAAGGCGATGTTGATGCAACGTACGGGGTTACCAGCGCGAGTGTGTTATGTCGTGAGGTGATTACTACACAGTGGGTAGGTACCAGCTAGTGCTTACGACCTCCCAGCATGCACGCCAATAGTAAGAGATATAGGTAGACAACATGCTCATATATATACTTCAAATGGGGTATCACTATGCTAGAAGTCTAAGATGCAAGCCAAAATAAATGAAAATGCCCCCAGACCTGCTCTGTTGATGCGGTCCCTACGCCATTACCCTCCCCTCGAGCTAGAAAGTCCTGCTCTAGGATTATTCTGGAATTTCTCATAAGGGTTATTTGCAGCTGCCAGTTCTTCGTCGGAATCGATATCATGCACTACCACGTAATCGCGACGCGTCGGAGCAGTGGATGCTTTTGCTGCGGGTGTGGTTGGAGCAGAATGTTGCTTTGCAGGAATAGGTTTGGCCTTGAAAGAGGATAGAAGATTCTGTCGTTCTTCTTCGAGCTCGTTGTCACTTGTCAGATCGATGGCCTCTTTGCACTGGACAGAGGTAGGGCGTGTAACGCTTTTTCGCTTCCGCTTATTTGAAATTGGCGCGACTGGAGCCTTAGCTGGGGATGCGATGACACCCTCCCACTGCTTGTCTGTGTGAGTTGGCGCAAACGCACCGCGACTTGTAGGATGACATGATATCATGTTTGGAGATTGTGATATCGCGAAAGCGTTGTGTGAACCTTGGGCCATCTCAGGAATATGATCGGGTATTGAACAGAGTTGTGTTGACTGCTGCATAGGAGCTATTGGTGTACAATAGTCACTAGATCCTGAGATGCCAGTCTTTAGGACCTGCAGATCTTCAGGCTCTGTTGTGAAAGGGGTGTGCACGTTGGACTTCTGTGGGTCTTGCAATTGCGTTGGAGGTATGTGGTGTTGGTGGTATGCTTGGGGAGCTACATTCGACAAGCCTGAGGCTGGAGCCAGGGAAGCAGGTGCAGGACCAGTTCGCTTTCGTTTTGACGTAGCGATGCGTGATTGTGGCTCCTCCTTCACTTCCACTGGACTCCGCGGTGGCAGGGTGGAGACTTTTTTTTTCCGCAGATGTTGCTCTTTTTCTTGAAAGATAAGGTGGCGAAGACACGGTTGCTGTTGCTTTCGCGGCGCCAGAAGACATCGACTTTGAGGCCTGATCCTGCTGGTTTCGATCCACCGTAGTGCCATCTACCACGCCTCGGATGGCCGCCAGGTTTTCGACGAAGTCCCAGACAAACTTCCAAACCGTCGCATTCAAGCGAAGGTCCTTGAAGTGCTCACGAAGCGCCTCTCGAAGAGTTCTGATATCTCCAAGCAATAGTTCGTTGTTGCGTGTTTCCGAGTACATCGAGATAAGGACGGTTGCTGCTACCATCTCGATGGGCGCGAACGTCTGCACACCACTCAGATGCTTGTCAGCATTTGTAAAAGTGTCTGGATCTCGCTCTATAAGTTCTCTTAGAGTAGTCCAGACGCTCGCAAGATGTGATTTGATAGCATCATCTACAGCGCCAGTGTTGCTCAATAGTTTGGGTAGTGCGTTGTAGTTCGTCTTTAGAACTGGTAGCCCATTTGCAGCAGTGGGATGCTTGACTTCGATGATTTGGCTAAAGCAAGACAAGGTGATTTGAAAGTCTTTTGCTCGGGCTCGGTCCTTCATCAAGCCGTAGATAGCCGGAAAATCGTCGACGAAAAGTTTCGCCAACTCTTGCCATGGGCCCTGCTTCGCGCGCATCTTCTCGGCCACTGTGAGTTGAACACCCATCTGCACTCTAGCAAAAAGATCTTCTTCTTGTTCCTGAGTAAGATGTGTGAATTGGAAGGCGACAAAATCTTTGTCCAAGAACATCTTTTGCGCTTCCAAAGAGAGCACTCTCTTGTGTTTGGTGCAAGGAATCATACCCTTTACGAATGCCCTAATAGAAGACAGACGCTGCTTGCCATCCACACAAACAAGAGTATCGCGTGGTGTACTACCATCCGTGCCAGCACTCCGCTTCTTATTCAGAATGATGGGCGGGATGTAATAGTTTTCTATACGATCGTTAGCAAGCTGATCTGGCTTTGACGTTGCTTAGAGACTATACCCATCAAAGAATTGACCAGACCTGTCATACGCTCGGCTATCACTGTCAGTGTGCTTCTGTGATGACCAAACTGGATGTGCTCACCTGTCCAGACAACTTCACGTTGATATTCTGGATCAACGTCAATGACGCCGCTGTCGAGTTCCTCTGACAAATTTTAGCAGTGCCATCTGTGTCTATTCATTTAGGCTTAAAAATACTTATCAGATTCGCCAAACTTCGCATATTGACGTTCGGCTGCGGTAATTGAGGGCGAGGTTTGTAACCACCCTCATTATCACTGTCGCTGCCGCTTCCCGCAAAGATGTTGTCATCAGCTGCGATGTGTGTTGTCATTGTTACCGACTTCCATAAGTGTACAACCCTGGCGTGCTAGGGTAAAGGCACTGTATCGAATCATACCGACCACACTGACGTAGCATCAACTAGTCTTGAATTGGCCTTATGTAAGCTATCTCTAGTTAGCTAGATCGGGACTAGTCATAGAGCTGCCACCTTCACTTTCGCAGTAGATCAGAGGGAGTATGCATACCAGGAGTGAGGTGTTCGCTTTGTATCAACACATTAGTACTTCGGCTGCAGCACATGCATGTGGATATTTCCTTCTGCAGACAGATTTGTTGGGTTCTTGCATTAGCGGCTAATCGCTGGTACAAACAGCCAACGCCTGCCCATCTCTCCACGCTCAGGTGAGAGTATGGCAAGATCAACTATATGCTGACCTTGATGTTCAACTGCTTTGCGGCCTCGCGGGCCTTATCCGTATCCACACTTCTTATCTCATCAGGCACCATCTTTCCCTCGAAAGCGCCTCCGGCCTCTGCAATCAATGTCTCTAGTCCGTCTCCACTGGCATATGACCAGAACCTCACATACCTATCCACAAACTCGAGTGCCACCTCTGTGCCTGCCGGTATAAATGCCGTCTCGCCCGCCCTGACCAAATGTCCTGTCTCGCCATTCACCGTAAGCGATATCGCACCATCTAGGACATGATACACCTGGTGTACCTTCTCGAACATAAACCCCTTGCTCAGCACTGAGTTCTCCAACTCGCTCCCAGACTCAATACTCGTGATAGCAAAGTTACCCGAAGGTCCCTTACTCTGTTTCATAGTAATGAACGGCCTGGACAGAACTCCCTCAAGCAAGAAGCATGGCCCAGTATTCGCTTTCAGGAAATACGCTTCCTGAACCTCGGGCAGGACACACTCTCCTTCCTCGAAATCTGCCACCTCCGCACCCTGGAACTGAGGTTGGAAGACAACATCGAACCGCTCTTTGATCTCACGTATCTTGGGTCCAAAGACTGCTCCCGTATTCCTATTGTCGAACTCATCGCATAGTACGCCTTGGTAATCCTCTCCTACGAAACGGAAGAAGTCAACCCAATCTCCCGGTGTTACGAGACCCATTGATTCATTTGGACCTTGGTCTAGTAATTGTGGTTGGTGCACCACGCCCGGTGGAACGTACGCGAAATCACCTGGGTTGAGAATCCGACATTTATCACCAGCCCAGATCTTCAACCGGCCTTTTGTGCACATGAATACGTCGTGGGCATGATTGTGGTAGTGGAAACCTGGAGGGTCGGCTAGGACACCGTCTTGGCCGAAGACACTCATGGTGCCGTCGGTTTCGGCGGCCGAGCACATAATTCGGAAGACTGCTTTTGTGCCAGGAATTGTTATATGCTCGCCCGTGTGTGAGGGGAGGAGGTACGGTGTCGGTGCGCCGGCGGGGAGGCGGACGCGTGGTAGTGTGGACTTTTTTGTTTCTGACTTGGCAAGAGACGAAGAAGGTATAGCGGAGTCATTGCGTGTAAGAATGGGGAGTGATGCGGCAGCCGTGGTCGCCATTATGGACGATGCTTGTATGGTCGCTGTTTAGGTGGAAGTATACTGGAAGGACGGCTGTGGGCGAGTAGTAGAATAGAAAGGATTTGGTGTAAAGCGGCATATCAACCTTTATATACTCACCAGGTAAACACTTATCCACACGTGGATTTCTATGTACCCATCGACCTACTCATTCAAGCATAGCAAAACATCGTCTGACCATACGTACTTTCTCCACACTCCCATCTGCCGACACCCCGAGACCTGTAGTACTCCGCCTATCACAGAATGGCCAGCAAAGCTCATATCCCGCTATGTGCCTTCGGATCAGGTCGGAAGCGGCAGGTTTTTGTCTCCGACAGCAATCAAGCCTCCGACTCGCGGTGTAAAAGGTGCTTGAGATACTACAGGTATCCTAGTTCATGCCGGGCGCATTGCTCCACCAAGGGGGAAACGCAACACTACCAGCTCAACTATGATATCTTTACCATCTGCATTAGCACTGTTCTCCAATGGGCTGTTTGGAGTCATTAAAAAGGGTAAGATGCTTGTGTTTTGACAAGGAAGAGTGAGACACATCCAGCTAGTAGCAAGCACACTGCAGGGCTGCAACACTCGGCTGACCCCGCAATAGCGCGATTCCGCTCGGTATGTGGAGAAAGCTTACCGATGATGTACCTTGCTCCGCCCTAACTTTACTGGTAGTCGGCAACACAATAAGATCCGCCGCCTGTAAAACAATAGAAGTGTCCAATCTCGACGTCTTACAGCAGTCTCCACCGCCTGGCGGGATGGAGTTTCCTGCAAGCATGCTGGTAGCCACATCGTGTTCGCACTCCGACGTTACCGACGACCGAGTTCGCGGTTGCGTCGCTGGCTTCTGGACCCATATTCTTTGAGAAAAGAGTGAAGCTGAAACATGGGGATATCTATATTCAATTGGCAGAAAGATCGTGATTACACCTCAACGCCTCCTCTCCCTTTTTGTCCTACTACTGCGGTAACTGCCTTCTCGTCACATTCTACTTGGGACCACTCCACTTGCCACTTGGGCCGTTTCCCCTTCCTCTGAAGCCACCGCCACGAGCGCCACCTCT